CGTTAACTTTAATTGGCTGCAAGGGTATTTGGCATTCTGTAAGCCCAATGAGAAATCTTTTTTGTTGTTCAATATAATTACATACATTGGATACTCCTACAGCAGGCTCTCTAGCTGGGCGAAGTCTGATCCACACGCCTGCCACTAAACAGGCAGAATCTGTAAACAGTTCACGTAGCTCATTGAGGTGACTTTTTGTGCAGCTGCTGTTGCAGTTGAAGCTGAAGCTGGTTAACCAGATAGCCAATGGGCGGCACTTGCACACGCACACAACCACACACACACACATAGCATATATATATGTATATATATATATATATATATCTATATAGATCTGTAGTATATAGAGATCTAGAGTATGCACTTTTTGCGCGCCTCAAAAATTGTTATTGCACATTTAAAGGCGTCATTATTAGCGCTACATGGAGGCACTAATAATTGTTTGCATTTCAAATAGAAGCGCCTCACTAATTGGGCCTAGAAGTGGGTCTTAAAGCAGTTGTTGTTGTTGTCGTTGTTTTTGTTTTTGTTGCCGTTGCCGTTGTTGGGGCAAAGCTTTTGGAGTTTTGTTATCACATAAATTGTGCGCACAAATCTTGATCTGCAAATCATTTTCGACAACTTTACGAGTGCGTGAATATCGTGAATAAATGCGCCTGAAGTAAATCTCTGAATGACCATAGACACACATATACAAATGTCCGTTAGTTTTTTTGGTTCGTTATCTGTTGCTTAGATCTGCGTCCATGTTGCAGCCGCACATTTTGTTGGCCACATTTCCTGTCTTGTCTTTTTCTGTTTTTCGGCTTTTTTTTTTTTTTGGGCCAGCTTTTAAGCATGGCATCACTTTAGCAGCACCTACAAAATATTGAATTATTTACGCAGCCAACTAAAGCTGACATTTAATTTAAGTGCCAACACCAGGACCAGACTCTGAGAGCACCAAGTGCGCTTTGCCCAAGAACTGTCTATGTATCAAAATTTATACCCGCCGCTGGCAGCTAATGAAATTTATGCATTTATGCCAACTTGCTTAATGCTGAGATGCGGAGATGCCGTTGCCGTCGCCGTCGCCGTCACCATCACCGTCACCGTCGCCGCCGACGCTATGATCCATGTTAATGTCCATCAAGTAATGTTGGCCCGGCCTGACTAGCCTGGCTGTCAATTCGATTGTTGGACATGTCCATGTTGTTGCATTAGCTGCTGCATTGCACTGCATTGCGTTGAGATCAATTTGCAATTAGCCGCACTCGCAACGGATATGGTTAGCGAATGGGATGTATGAGATGAACGAACAGTTCGATTCGGTTCGGTTCGGTTCGATTTGGTTCAGTTCGGTTCCTGTGGATGCCCTGCGCGCTATCGCGACACTTGCCAGCTGCGTTGCCAGCCGTTTCCCGTGAGAAATTTCAATTATTTTAATTAGCGTTGCAATCCGCGCGGCTGCTTTATTAGGCGACGACGACAACAACAACAACAACAACTACAACTTGGATGATGACAACGACAACGACAACGTTGAAGGCGATGTTAGCGCGTCTGCGTCTGCGCAGAGTCTGAGTCTTGTTGCCGTTGTTGCTGCGCGGCTAAGCGCCTTTGAGCCAATTTCCGCTGCGCCGCACGCAGCGTCGCAGTCGGCGTCGCTGCTCGCTTGGAATGCGAATGTTGGTTGATAGCAGTGTCAGAACAGGATTCTGGAAAATAGTCGTCGTTGTCGTCGTCGACGTCGTCGTCATCGTCATCGTCATCGTCGTCGTCGTCGTCGTCGTTGCCGCCGCCGTCTAATGACATGTTTTGGATAATGATGACGGCAACGATTGTGGCAAGTCTGCCAGTGCCAGGCATGTGGCGATGATAAAGTCTCGAACTTAATTTAAATTGATGACACTGCGCACTCAGCACACTCAGCTCGGGCCATTTGGAAAATCGTTTCTTAACTTGGCGAGCAAATCAATCTGCATGCCAAAGCAGTTAGAGTCGAGTGCTATCTGTGTCAAGACACTGGACCACCCGGTAGATACCGAGATACCTTGAATAATAATGTATTTATGTATATACAGTGAAAACACAACTAATGCACAGCATTCTTGGTTAATTATAGTCTTCTATAGTTGATTAATTTTTTATAGTACCACTTTGATTATTTACTTTTCCACAGAAAATTAAGTTAATTAAGAGGATGCTCTTTTGACCCGAAGCGAACAAAATACAAAAATAAAATTATTTCTTGAGCGACCAAATATATTGTTCGATTTAAAAAATTATACATGTATTCTAAAAATATAAAATATATATTATAAATACTAAAAGAGGGAAAAGGACTCTTTCAGACTTTAGATTTGGACAAAGTTCAGCATCATTTTTGATTCCTTCAACATTTTTCTCAGGCAGCAAAAATAATAAAGTCCGCTCAAGGGAGCCAACACTGTATAATCCTGTGTGTTTGTGTGTGTGTGTGTAGCTGGCAAAACAATTCCAGGTGCTCTGTAATTGGTCGCTGCGGTGTCAATTGCAGCGTCAGCGCCGGAGCTCAATTACAGACTGCCTACGCCGCCTGATGCCTGATGCCTGCCGTCTGCCGCAGCTGTGCAGCAGTGCAGCAGTAGCAGTGGCAGCAGCTCTTCAGCTTTGGGACACAGCTCCCCTGGGGGCCGACAATGTGACTTGCTGCAGTGCAGCGCCCGCTGTGCGCGGGAATGCCAATTTCAGCAATTAACAACAATGGCCATAAATGCGTGAAACGCATAAGCTGACAGAGGGAAAGAGACAGAGAGAGAGAGAGAGAGAGAGAGGGGAGAGAAATAGAGAGCACAACAGAGAGCGGATGCAGCTGCTGATGAAAAGCTTTAGATAGAGAGGCTTACACATTCAGCAAGCGGATTATTAAACGCCAAACAGCAACTGGTGTTCGGGACAGGCTTAACTGCTGACACGATCTTGAATTTGAATCTGGGCCCATGCTCAATTCCAACGCCGCCATTTTGTGGCGGTTACAAAAAGTAAGCGGTAGCTACTACATAAATATATATTTATATATATATATATATATATATACAAATAAATACATATATATGCACTAGTACAATTCGCAGATTGTGGCGACCAGTGACCGAGGCAAAGGCCAATGGCTCACATTAATCAACATATCATATTGGCCACTGTTTGTGTAGAGGCACCGTATAATTATTAGGGTAAATAAATAATAATCATTATTGACGTAAACAGCTCAACTATGCAATGCCCCACGTAATTTGTAGTATGAAACAAATAAATTGTTTACTTATTGCCACTAAATTCTGAAGAAATATTTAAACTGTTTTATTCCAAAATTAAACCAAAAGTTATAATATTTCCCTGAAATATGAAATTAGCATGGCTTATTAAAGCCTAAATTAATTTCTTTCAAGTGAAGTTTCTTCATTGTTGAACCTAGCCAAGTCTTGATTAAACACCTGATACAGTTATCAACAATTTAAACATGCTAACAGATGTAAAATCACACCGTTATCTGTATAAATTTAATTTACATTCCAATTGATAACAGCGCCACAAAGAGATGTTTGATGATATCAGTTCCCTATTATTTTCCCAGTTCCTCAATAAGATCCAAATGAGCATGCAAAGTAAGTAATAATTGATTATGGCTTTCAAGATTGTACAATTCTAATTACGTTTTCGGATGAAGATCTTTCTGTTTCTCATTATACAATATCTGTGTGCTTAATATGTGTTGAATTGGCTGACGTGGAAATGCTATATACCCTATGCAGCGGAGAAACAATAACTGGGTATAGCCACCATAAATTGGTCCACAAATCTTTTTCTGTTTGCCCTTTGGCTAAAAGTGAAACTGAGACTACATTTTTGGCTTCTACTCCACGTTTATTCAAGGCACTGCAATCGAGATTCAAGTTCAATGACTCGATACAAAAAATTAAAAAAACAATGCTGAAACATTGTTAAAAGTATCTAAAAAAAAACCAAAAATAGTTGTGAATGGTAGCTGATATAAAGGTGTATGATCTGATGTTTTGGCCTTGATTGAGATTGAGTTTGGCCCAAGCTTGGGCAAATGAACTATTTAACACTATTTTAATGTTAGCTGTCAGTGGATTGATTGGCTTGAAGTGAGCTTTGTGCGTTTGATAAGACCGAAAACAACGGCAATAACAACGGTCAGCCAGTCAGCAAGCCAGCCAGTCATTTCCTGGCCAACGTCTCGACCCGCTGGCATTGGCCCTGCATAAGACCAATGTGTGTACAATACTGTTGTACCACATAGACAAGAGTCAAACAAAGAGCAGTAGCAAAAAAATAAAGTACAATTTGATAGAGATCCAAGCATTTCGTGAAAATGTGCTACAAATGCAGTCAGAGCAGAATTCGGAAAGAGACACGTTCGGCACAAATACAAGTTTAATTATTACACAACACGGGCATTGAAATTAAAAAATTGAAGACGTACAGAAAGCGCTGCTCTGCACCTGAAGAGTACAATAATAAGAACAACAGACAGACAGACAGACTCGAATTACCTGCACCTTATCAAATAAAATACACAAAGCGACGCATGAATCACACAAATTAGAATATCTATCGAGCAGCGAGCAGACTGTGACTTGCTGAATCACAAAAAGTCCAGATCTGCCCACGGATCGAAATATGCCTGAAAATGATATGGCCGTTGGTGTATTTGAGTACATTTATTTATGACAGCCTTTAAGATTCCATTCTGGCTACTAATTCAAATTCTTCAAAATTAAAGCGATTTTAGCACGTCGAAAACTCAGCCAAAACGCGTTCCAAGCCAGATCCCCACAACAACATCCACAGCAACAGCAACAACAACAGCAAAAACAGTGCGAAGCCGAGCCGAGGGCCGCCGCACGTCGCGTCGCATTGGGGGGCTGCGATTCGTGTTGCGGGCTTTCGCTTTCAGTTGCTGCTCGTTGCTGCGTCCGATTGGTGTTGCCTTAGTTCGCTGTCCGCTGTTCGCCGTTCGATTGTTCGCCGTTCGCCGTTCGCTTGTTCGCCGCGTCGTTCCTCTGTGTGCCCTGCTGTTAACGGTTAACGTTCTGTTCTGTTCTGTTCGTTGCATTCGCCAAAAGCCAACGGTAAAACGCTAAATCGTATATCGATAAGTCGATAAAGTGCAACGATTGGGAAAATGTGTCAATAATTGTGCCTGTCTCTGTGTCTGCCAGTCTGTGAGTGCTTGGCGCCAAAATCAAAATGGATAACGATTCGCATGCGCAAGACAATCATCGTGGCTCTGTGTCCTCCAGCAAATCACTGGAAATACCCGTAACACCCTCGCGCTCACCCAAAAAGGTTTCCTTCTCCGACGAGCTACCCAGCAGCAGCAGCAGAAGCAGCAGCAGCGCCAGCATTAGCGTCGTCCAAACGGAGCCGAGCGGCGTCAGTCAAGTGCTCCATCAGGCCGTTCAATATCTGGAGCGTTTGCACGGTGCACGCAACTATGCCACGGAGGAAGCACCAATTATCGAGCAGCTGCCACCTGCCGCTGTGCTTGATCTGGATAATGAATCCTTTGTGCAGCTGGAGTCGCAACATACGCTGAGCACGGTCGCCACCTCACCGAGCATTCTGATAGCTGAACCAAGTGACGTTGGTTACGGCAAGCAGGAAGTGCCATATGAGCCGCCGCAATCGAATTTGTACATGGAGCGATACAAGCTTAATTTAGATAAAAACTGCAGCTCCATGGAGCTGGAGGCGCGACGGGAGAAACAGCGCTGGCTATTGATATCTGAATGCAGTGCCCGCTTCGGTGAGGGGAAACACACACGTGAGGCATTTCGCAAGCTATTTCTAGACGAGGTAGGAGAAGATTACAATGCAGCAGCTGCATTAATTGCCAAAAATACGAAATAACAAATGAACTTAAGTATACAACGTGAACCGAGACTGTCATCGGGAATGAAACTCTCCAATGACCGCAACCTATATATGACCTTGTGCTACATATTTTGTGGTCCTTTACCTGATGCCAAAATAATAAACTGGTTTTTTTTATTTTTATTTTTATTTTTTGGTTTTTTGATTTATACTGTTTGTTGTTTTTGTGGTGCTCTCCCTCTCTTTCACTCTTTCACTGTCTCGATCGGTTTTGCGTTGAGCTTTGAATATCGTTTTTGTTTACGGGCACCAAGAAAGCTGTCCAACCAGTCGCTGGCCCAAGCTAACATGCTCATCCATTAAATATGCACATTTTTCATCGGGCTGGGCAGTACCTATCTCGTCCGATCCCATCTGCCAGTTCGTCGACTGAGACCAATGCAAACAACAAAGATAAAGAGGCAAACAACAAATAGATGCTTCTATGTGCAGACAATATCGTGAGATTGAATGTCATTAAGATATTAATAAGCATTTAATTAATGCATGAAAAAAAATTGCAGATTGTCTAACACCAAACGGGAATTAATCAGCTTTGATAATTTTGTTGTTTTTGTTGATGTTGATGTTGTTATTGTTGTTGTTGTTGTTGTTGTTCTCTCATCCCACTGCTGCGTATAAATCTCCCAGCTGTGTTTAGCGTATTGTAAACAAATGTTTAAATAAACACTGGTTGTACTGATCAGTGTAGTAATAAATTAATTGGCGCACATATAAATTGTATTTCTTTAAAACTTGTTCATTTAATTACAGGAATTTCAGCAGAAACTTTTTCAGCTCTTCGATCTTGAGAGAAATGGATACTTGTTGCAAGATCGCTGGATCGAACATCTTAAGGGGCGACTCACGTAAGTAAAGGATAGACATTGTATGTACAGTAGACACTCGAAAATGGGAACTCGGTGAAAGTTATATCGTATTTTTGTTACTTGTAATTTTTTAATTACTTATTGTTTTTAAACATTTTTTATTACATTCGCAATTACAATAAAATAAAAACAGTTTTTAAACATATTTTTTTATTATTTTAACTCCCTTGAACAAAAAACACTTTATTTTAACTAAGCAATTATTTTAAATTTAAATTTTGAAAGAATATTTTTCTTCTTCTTTCTTCACAATGATTTCATTTATATTTTGAGGCATAATTCTTATTTTCATTTCCTGATTAATTATTTGTAATATTTCTAAAAAATGGGTTGCTTATAACGAGTAACCACTGTATTTACACGTACATTTATGAAGCTTCAGCTTTTTTTTGCTCTCGTTTTTTTTGCCGTCTCTTCATTTGCCTTTTTAAAGCGGTGCCAAAACAATTAGCCCGCTGCCAGTAAAAAAGCTGTCTCAGTCTCCAAACCGATCCCAAGTTCGCACTCTCTCCCTGTTTCACACACACACAGCAAACACTCACAGCACACACACACACACCACAAGCACGCACACCCCGTTAGCAGTGCCCTGTTCCAGGCTCTGTGGCATTCCTGCTGCGCCAGTTGTGCGGCTACCAAGCAGCGAATGCCAGCGCTGCACTTTGCACGCCAACGGCGATGCCATCGCCAAATGGTGATGCTATCTGTGTTGTATGTTAACATATACAACAGCTAACATAGTCTGCATGCCCCTCTGCCCGCTGGCCCGACACTCTGGCAGCGACTGTCACTGGCCGCCTGTCGTAATGAAGTCATTCAAATACAAATATAGCGTGTCGGGCGCGGGAGGCTGGAGCTGCAGCTGCAGCTGTAGTTGTAACTGTTGCTGAAGCTGAAGCTGGAGCAGTGCTTACCACGACTGGTGGTGCATTGTGGTGCTTGTTACCGGTAATGGCAATCGTAATGTTAATACTCTTAGCTCTTGGTCTTTTCTTTTTCTTGGCTTCAACCTTTTATTTTTGCTGCAGCGACGATCGCCAAATGGATTTTGCCGAGCAAATCGAATCGGTGGCCTATGTCATCTGTGGCGAGAAGAGCCAAGTGAGCTTTAAGAATTTCCGCGATATCTGGCATACGCGAGGCGTAAGTAACAAAGCCCAATTTTCTAAGGGGCTATTGAGTTATATATCAAGCTATTCGCAGATTTTGGATAAGCTTTATCGTTTAATTGACATCGATGGCACCAATCTAATCTCAACGAATCAGGTCATGGAATTTATATCGCATCTAACCAACTCTAGGTAAGTTTCAACTTTTCCTATTCGCTATATATTTGCACAGATATTAGGTGTTATAAGAGTTAGAGTTCTTAAATTCAAGAGCCTTTTAAATGTATATCAAAATATCATCCGACTTTGATAAGTTTCAGATTTTAGAGCAACAACATTCCAATCTCGAGCCTTAGTTTACACAATAATCTTTATTTTAAATTGCAGACCTCGCACGGGCTTTGACAAGAGCTCCCTGGCTCGCTTGGAGCAGCTATTCCGCAACACTGTGGGCAACGAGCAGGAGATACGACGCGAGGAGTTCCAAAAAATTGTGACCTCCAAGAATGTAGGACATCTAATCAATTCAATTGCCAACAAAATATATTTTGTAATTTCTTTATCACTTGGCAGCCTTTCTTTACGGAGCGTGTATTTCAAATATTCGACAAGGATAATTCTGGCTCAATATCGCTGCAGGAGTTTATCGATGCCATACATCAGTTCTCAGGACAATCGGCTGATGATAAGATACGTTTTCTGTTCAAGGTCTACGATATTGATGGTGCGTCCTCATCCCTCCAGAATATCCTTTACTAATTTAATCCGTATTCCCCAGGGGATGGTCTTATACAGCACAAGGAGCTGCACGATGTGATATATCATTGCATTAAGGAGAACGGCATGGAGTTCTCCGAGGATCAGATTGAGGATCTAACCAGCGCAATGTTCGAGGATGCCGATCCACACAACAGCGGCGAGATCACCTATGAAGCCCTCAAGAATCAGCTGCACAAACACGGCGGTCTGCTCGAGAATTTAAGCATTACGTAGGTGATCGTTAAAAGGTTATTTTATATTGGAATGCCCTTAATAGTTTTACTTACACAGCATTGATCGCTGGTTGGTGCCCATTTCGGAGGAGCCATCGGCAAGCCACAAAAAGTCGAGACTGTGGAACACTATACCTCACCAGCTGACGCTGGCCTACATGAAGAACAACCAGGTCTTTGTCACATATCTGTTCTTCTACATTGCCGTCAATCTGTGCCTCTTCATCTCCCGTGCCATACAATATCGCGCCAGCAATGGCTTTGTGATTATTGCCAGAGCCTGCGGTGAGTACTTAACGAATGCCTCTGCAACATTTAAATATTTAAATTTAAATTAACATTTAAATAACAATTCTGCTGTTATCATCAAGCAGTGTGTAAAAATTCCACAAATAAGTCCATTACAAGTTTTCCTTAAGATTTTCGAACTATTTCAAATCATCTTAAAACTATATTTTTAATAGCTTCGAAAATATTCCTAAAAATATATTTTTTTACTACATCCAGCTTCCATTTAACTTAACTTTAATCAATATATTGAAATAAAAATGAAATTTAAATAAACATCTAAAAGTAAGTTAAAAAAATCCATGCAAAATCTTGTAAAAACTTCTCCTTTCTTCTTTCTAATTTCAGGACAATGTCTGAACTTTAATTGTGCATGGGTGCTGGTGTTGATGCTTCGTCACTCACTGACTTATTTACGCTCGAGAGGCTTATCCTCCTTTCTGCCCCTGGATCATCATGTCTATCTGCACAAGCTGACGGGCATCACCATTTCCGTATTTAGTTTGGTTCACACGATCATGCATCTTTTTAACTTTTCGATAATTGTGATCAACGATCCGAAGATCAATGCAGGACACTTCACCATTGGAGAGTGGCTACTGACGGATCGGCCGGGTTTGTTTGGACTGATACCGGGCTGTGCGAATCCCACGGGAGTTGCTCTTCTAGCCATTTTGATGGTCATGTTTATCTGCTCGCAACCGTTTGTGCGGCGCAAGGGCAGCTTCGAGGTCTTCTACTGGACACATCTGCTCTATGTGCCCTTCTGGATACTCACACTGTTCCACGGGCCCAACTTCTGGAAGTGGTTCATGTTGCCGGGACTGGTGTACATTGTGGAGCGTGTTCTGCGCTTCGTTTGGATGCGCGGTGAACACGGCAAGACGTATATTAGCTCCGGCCTGCTGCTGCCCTCCAAGGTCATCCATCTGGTGATCAAGCGACCCTTTAACTTTAACTTTCGTCCCGGCGACTATGTTTTTGTGAACATACCAGCGATAGCCAACTACGAGTGGCATCCATTCACCATCAGCTCGGCACCAGAGCAGGAGGATTACATGTGGCTCCACATACGCACCGTGGGCGAATGGACGAATCGACTATATCGATACTTTGAGCGTGAGCAGCAGAAGCTGCACAAGGGCGACGTGAATCAGCACATGCATGCCATTCCAACGCCCAGTTTTATGCTGTTGAATGAGGCACGCAATCCGGCGCTGGCCGAGATGACCCGTCTCCCGCCAACGGTCGAGACGACGCCCCAAACAGACTTCCTGGCACGCAACATGACCAGCCCAAGCGAACAGGCGCCACCGGAACGACCTCCGCGACATCATCGCAAACTGGTGGCGACTGCCAACACGGATGCGCCCACATCGACGACGGGCGTGAATCGCATCCGCAGCATTAAGAAAACGCTGCAGCGCACCTTCTCCCGCAAGGAGGCCGTCGAGCCGAAGAGCAAGCTCAGTCGCCAGCCCATGGGCATGGCCAATGGCGCTTTTATGGCGGATAACGAGCGCGACATCTTAAGGCTTGGAGCCACACAGAGGCCGCTGGAGAAGAGCATCTCGCTGCCGGACATCAGCATGAAGAGCAAGAAGCGCAGTCGTCTCAAGGCGTAAGTATTTCTGTGTGAAATAAGTTGATAAAGTAAGCAGATATTAATATTGGTATTGAGCAGCAGCAGCAGCAATAGATAATTACAAATTTATTTAGATTTTATTCATTCTCTGTTTTCTTTGTAGTCTTCGCGCTTTGGGTCGCTCCGAGTCGGAACGCGCCTTTGATGAGAAACGGATGCGTCGTGCTCGGAACAGCAGCGTTGGCTTGGCCTATCTAAGTCCGCAGAACAAATCGCTGGCGCAGAGTTTTCGCTATATGCGCAACAAGCCAACCATTATTGCCTTCAAAACGCCCAGCTTGGAGCTGAGCGAGTCGCAACTGCTGACGACGACGGCGGCGCCGGGGACGACGGGGTCGGAGAGCAACGGTGGCGCCTATGAAGTCAGCGCTGTGGAGCAGGGGCGTCTGGCCCGCGCGGAGAGTGGAGCAGACCGGTTGCAGCTGACACGTCTCAGTGTGACCACAGATGATAAGCCGCTGGAGGTATAGCACTTAGAAACTAATGAACTAACCTTAACTTAACTTAAGTTGAAGTCTAAGTCTAATCCAAATCCTCCTAATACATTGTTCTCCAAGGATAATGCACACACGGGCACGGGCAGCAGAAAGTCACGATTGCGTCGTCCCACATTTCTGCGCACGTTGTCCACATCCCTAACAAATCGGGGCACGGGCGGCGGCGGTGGCGGTGGCAGCTCCACAACTAACAGCAGTAGCAAGGTCACACTCGATGCGGGCGTCATGGAGGTCAGGGTTACACCAACACACATACAAAGTTCTCCTTCCCGATCCCAACTAACAATCCAGACTAATGAAATCTTTGTGTACAGATCTTCATCGATGGTCCATATGGTGCACCATCGAGCCACATCTTTGGCGCTCAGCATGCGGTGCTCATTGGCACTGGGATTGGGGTGACGCCCTTTGCCTCCATATTGCAGTCGATCATGCATCGGTATTGGAAGGCAAGGCACAGCTGCCCGCGGTGCCAGTTCGAGTGGTCCAGCGAGATACCCAAGTCTGTGATGAATCTGCGCAAGGTGGACTTTTTCTGGATCAATCGTGATCAGCGCTCCTTTGAGTGGTTTGTCAATCTGCTTTCACAGCTCGAGATCGAGCAGGCGGAACTGGGCGGCGCCATGGAGCGGTAAGTTGAAGCACAAAATATCTGAGCCCAACTAATGGATTCTGTTTCCTCCTTATGCAGTTTTCTGGACATGCACATGTACATTACAAGCGCACTGCAGCGCACCGATATGAAGGCAGTGGGTCTCCAATTGGCGCTGGATCTGCTGCACGAGAAGGTAATGAAAGCATTCACAGACTAGTTAAGAATCCGCGGAATATATCCATTGTTTCCAACAGGGCAAACGTGATCTAATCACTGGCCTGAAGACCCGCACCAATGCGGGTAGACCAAACTGGGACAAGGTCTTCAAGCAGCTGCAGGCACAGCAGAAGGGCAAGGTGACCGTCTTCTATTGTGGACCACCGCAGCTGGCCAAGACGCTGCGGGTCAAGTGCGATCAGTATGGATTCGCCTTTCGTAAGGAGTGCTTTTGAGTTAGCCATTCTCATGCTCATTCTCATACTATATATTTGTATCCATCTAAAGTCCTCTCATTCATGTCAATCAAATAGGTTTTGGGTTTCTTTTATTTAATTAAGTTTTCGATTTCTATTTATTCGTCATGTGTTTTGTTGCCTCATCTGCTATGCGTGTGTCGCCAAGCTTGTAAATATCAATACGTATATGCATTATAATAAAAATTGTTACTATATCTGTGGTTCTGGTTTCGTACAACTGGCTATTAATGTGCCTCATGTGATGTGATGTGGGTAAAGACAACTGAATGCTTTCTAAGGTTTAGCATAGAAAAAACTAGTGTGTTTTATTCTAAATGTTCTTGCAGACATAAATCTAAAAACTTTTAACTTAATCCTATGGCAGCTGTAAAATATAAAGTCGACCAAAGTAGACCTTTTACCAACCAATATTAAGATATCTTGATATATGTTTTCTTCATGCAAAACTCGAATTTTAATCGATCGGTTATAAAACAGCTAAATGATAAAGTAGTCCGATTTTGTCAAGCCTCTGTGAATTTGATCAAGATTATTTCAGAAACAGTTTTTCATATAGCAGCATATTTTTTTGATATAGGCATCTTGAACGGGCAAGTCCGACTTATTATTATTATTACTGTTAGCCTCTGCAAAGAACAGGATGCTGATGTTATGTTCTCGCTTATGTGCCGTCCAATCAATATTATTATTTATTTCCAGTCATGAATTTTGAATTCTTAATGCACCTTTGCAGGTGGCTCCGAGTTTTACATCTGATGCGATTTCTAAGCGCCTGGCTACGTCACGTCCTTATTTTGATATTGACATAAGTTACAAACGCTAACACACTCTCACACACAGAAACACACATACACACACACACACACACACACAGAGACAGACGGACATAAATAAATGTAATAGCAAGAATTGGTTTCACGTAATCTCAATGCTTTAACCAGGTGCTAAAGTTCATATTGCTTGGCCTCGACTTGCGCTCAATGGTGACTGTCTCGTCGTCAATGTTGTCCACGTTGTAGAATTCGCGCAGCTCCGCAATGGCCGTCTCCTCGATTTGGGTGTGCACCAGCGACTTGTTGCGCATTCGCTCGTAGGACTCGCGTTGACGCCGCTCATCGGCCAGGATCTTGGAGAAACTGTTGGCCTGATCGGCGCTAATGGCTGTCGTCGCCTGTGCCTGCGTTTGTCCACGCATCATATTGGCAAAAGAGGTGGGGTCCGAGATGCTGCCGGTGGCAGGCGGTGAGCTAAAAGGCTCCGCATATGTTGTGGGCGAACTGTGGGCTGTCACGCCCCAAGCATTGGGCACTACCAGGGGCGTGCTGTTCAACTCCAAGGGTGCGGAGTTATTGGCGCGCCAACTATGCGACTCGGAGGAGAGACGTTTGCGCTGCTTCTGCGAGAGCTTCTGTGACTGTGGCACAAGATTGCTTAAATCTAAATTGTAGCTTTTGCTTAGTGGTGTGCTGCACTCGGTGGGACTGGTTGGTGGCAGTGGTGGCGTTGTCTCCTTAATGGGAGTACGCTCTGTAAAAGAGCGTGGCGACAGCACGTTTAGCTCTGGGGATGGCTGCTCCTCCTGTTTGAGCACATTGTTAACTTTTAATGCCGTCTCGGCTAGCTTGCGCTTCTGCTCCTTTTTATCGACGACTCGCGACCAGTTCTTAGCCTCATTTGGCGAACTGCCCTGAGCAGCAGTTGCCGGATCAACTGATGGTTCGCTAATGCTTATCGAACGCATCATGCTCGATATTGCCTGCTGCTCATAATGCCGTGCATCCTGCTTATTGTGCAGCTCCTTTTGCTTGTGCTTGGCAGCCTCCTTTAGCTTGGCATCCTATAAGTAAGACAAAATATAAATTATAAATGCTATATAAATATACGTTTATAAAAATGTTAGGATGATTGCTCGATAAAAGGATCATTTAGATAGATAAGAAAATAGTATAAAAATTGATTGTAGATTCAAAACATTAAAAAAGTTCTAAGCCGAGCAATCACTATATAATTATATACATATATATATAGAAGTAGAAATAGATTAGATTAACCAACCGCGCCCATGCGATAATCCAAATCGACTTCGCAGCCGTCGACAAAGCTGAACAAGAGCTCATCCTCAATGGCCTCGGAGAAGGGCGTTATCTGTCGGTAATCAAACACCGATTGAAACATCTTTCTATAATGCTCATTAAGGTGCTTTAAGGTGCCCGCTTCACACTGCTCGATGCTGCGATAGCTGAGCACACGCGCCAGATTCTGGCAAATGAAATCCAGGCAGCCCTGCTGCAACAGCTTGCAGTTGTACATGACAGCAAAGTCGAGCATCTCGCCGCATTTGCGTATGCTAATCTTGTCCAGTATTAAGGATTCACATACGTTCTGCAGCGACTCAATAAAATATTGATCGCATAGCGTAATCATATTGTACAGGAACGTTTCCGTATAGTTTTGTTTGCAAAATGCCTCCGTGTCCAGGCTATACAGATAATCGAGCACTGGCTCCATATACTCAGCTGGCACTCCGTCAAAAGTGACGGTGGTGCGCTCGGCCCAGGAGTGCATGAACATCATCTCAAAGTATTCGAGACGCGCCACCAAAATGCATTTGTGCGCCTCCAGCACTTCACCATCCTCGCAAACGATGCGCACATCGCAGAGTTCAGGATAGTCCGAGCGATGCAGTCGATTAAATCGTTGTCTTCCAGGCAGTGGCAACTGTTGTTCGGTGATATAGCTGCAATATGAGTTATTTAAATAGATAAAGTTTAGATAAAATGCCAATGGGAACTCACTTTTGCACATATTTGGCCAGATCGTGCAGCTGAAACTTTTGCAGGTGTGTGTGAAACATTTCGCAGACGCGACTACGCTTCTGGGGATTCTTGGGACCGAGACTTTGCTGCATGCAATCGATATCTGATGGAAGAAGATTACAGAAGAGATAGAAGGTACAACTCAGAAACTACTTACCATCCTCTGTGGGCCAGTAGTTGGTGTAGATGTGCTTGAGGACCAGCTCAAACATTTTTCCCGTCAAATTCTCAAAATTCAGATAGATATCTTTGTCTAGATAAAGGCGCACTAGTTCGCGCAGTCCGGCTGCCCGATTGAAGATGATAAACTTGTGCGCCGCAAAGATCTCGCCATCCACATGGAAGATTATATCGTGCACGGCGTCCGCGTCGCTGGTGTCGTGGTAGAGTTTCTTAAAACTGTGCTCCCTGCGCGGCAGTGTTGGCTTACGAAAGTACTTCATGTGCGACTCCTGGAGCACGGCAAACGAAGCGAAGCTCTCATCGCAAACAATGTCCACGGCTCGATCAATATTGGGCACACGCTGCAGATCGATGCGTACGTAATGCTCTCGCGAGATTTCGGTGCGATTTTGATCGTTATTCTGCCAGATGTCCACGTTGGCCTTGGGCTTATCCTGCGCACCTCCAGCTGGCAACGCCAGCTGATTGCACTTGCCGCGATAGACGCAGCCATCCATGGAGAGCACCAGCACCTGGTTGCATTTGTAGAGGATGCGCTTGATCTCCGGCATGCGTATGGGCGCAAAGTTGCATCTGCAGCAGATGAGAATAATAAGTGACAAAATCTAGTAGTTAACAATTTTCTGCTTGCCTGTAGAACTGCTGTGTATTCTCGTACCAGAGAAATACCACATTTGTTTCGGTTAGCATCATTAGTTTGAGAGCAGCTGCCGAGCCTTTTGCAGAGTTCTTCAGATTGCCGCCCATCACCGCAATGCTCTTGAGATCCTCATAGCTGCACGATAGGTAAATTGATTTGGGATTACACACACACAGATCTATGCCCAACTCACTTGGGCGTCTTTATGGTTCGGGGCCTGTCCGCGTAGAAGAGCAGTATGAGCTTCTCTTCGGTATAGACCACGGTGGCTGCATTGTTGGCCTCCACAAAGCGGATGTGTGTGCGCTCCGCCAGCTTCATCTGTAACAAATGGCGACTTTAGTCGAACTGGAAAGTTATCGATTGGAAATTTAACTTGCCTGTGTGGGTGACACAATTGTCTTGGTATTGGCGCTGATGCCAAACTGTCCCTGATTGGCACCCCACACATAAATGCATTTGGAGCTGTAGGCAATGGAGTGCTGATCGCAGGCAATCACCCGCAGCAGACCAGTGGCGTTCTTGTCGCGCAACGAGACCACTTCCTTGAAAGTGGTCAACTGCTCGCCCGCATCCCGTACGCCCAGCTGCTGATTGTCGTTGACGCCGCAGGCAAAGACGAGCGAGCGATTGGTGAGGACCAGCGAATGCTGCCGAGACACACTGATGCAGATGATGCGCTCATCAGATTGCTTCAGTGGCACCTTCACGCGCTTCGGTGCCGGCAGACTGTTCTCCACACCGATACCGAGCCGACCGCCCTTGCCATGTCCCACGGCATACAGGTGGCCCTTCTTGTCGCAGAAGAGACTGTGATAGGCGCCCAGGGCAACGTGCTCGATCCAAATATTCGACTTGCGAAAGAAATCCACCGCCTGCGGTGCATTCGTATTCTGTTCATTGCCAATGCCCAGATTATAATTCTTATTCGAGCCCCAAACGAGTGTCTCATTTCTGTAGGAGTAAGAGGTGAACGGGATTAGGAACTTATTAACGAGGATTACAGTAGTCGGCTCATTATAAAACAAAATTGTATAAAAAGTTCACCCTTGGAAATTTCGACAATATTACATTTTTTATAATTAGTTACTCACTGCGAGTCAGAGCTGGGATCCAGGTCACACTTCCTGCAAATGGCCTGCAACGGACAGCGGGTGTCCTCATCCAGCAGCTCCAGGCTGGCGCCATAGCGCAACAATAGCACGGCACAATCAATGCAGCCATAATACAGAGCCCGGTGCAACGGACTGCTGCCCGATTCGTAGTCGCGCTCGTTGACGTTGGCGCCGTGGTTCAAGAGCCATTCGAGTATTTTATAGCGGGCGACAGATGCGCTCATGTGGACGGCGGAGCGACCCAGATAATCATGAATATTGCTAAAATTGGCACACGATTTTGCAACGAAAGCCGCCAAGTGTTGATCGTCAATAGAACGTTTTGTGAGCGCCGCAGTAATGCAATTGCCGTGCTGGCGACGACGGCACTTGGCGGTGCAGTCATAATCCTGGTTTTTTAGAGCTGACATGCGGAGATAATTTATAAATATCGCCTGAAGTTTGTCCTTTTCACGTGGATTATTGTTGTTATTGCAGCAATTGTTTTTGTGATGATGCGCCAACAAAGTATCGATACTTTGTATGCAACCAGAGCTAGTTTCAAAATAAACCAAGTGCTTGCCCCTATGCAATGCTTCTAACTAAAGAAAATTAAATATTAAGGAAAACATAATCCATCATTAGTTGCAATTCTTATTTGCACAAAATTGCGAAATTGCAAGAACTGCGATCCAACCTGTGCCGTGATAAGCTACTGAAACATACTCGTTACTGGCATTACTGGTATTTTCGAGCATGCCGCATGCGGTCACACTACACTCCACTTGTAGTAGTAGTTGTTGCGTGCACCGCGTATAGAAGATCCGCGCACTTGCTACGTAAGAAAGGGTGTTAATTTATTGATAAAATAACCAGCAGTGAAATATTATGTAAATGTAAATGTAAATGTACCAATACAAATTATAAACTCTAAATATGAAAGTGGCTGCAGTGCAACATAACTGATTCACAGACGATAGAAATAAGTGTGCACATGTGTGTGTGTGTGTGTGGTGATTGTGGTTCAAGCGGAAATCCATGGATATTGAGTCATAAGCCTCAAGAGGAACGCGTCATGCCGTTGTTGTTGATATATAAATATTAATTGTATATTGTCATAGGCATTAATTTGATTAACGGACTCACAATTGAATTAGTATGCAAAAGTACAAATTATAAAATACACACACACATACACATAAAGCAACTGCTGTTAGTGCTGTGTGCTAGTGCAGTTTGCTCATCTTTATTAATTAATTAATTACTTGACCTCTGGGCACGGCACTTGAGAAGTCGAGAATTGTTTAAAACAATTCATGTACATCCACATAGACACTTAGAAAGAGCGAGAGAGCGAGCAGTCGAATAGTTCGCGTTGAGTTCGAGTGCACGTAATACTTGTTTACATAGCTACAAATACACACGTACAAATGTAGCTACTATGCTGACAGTATGTGTGTGTGTGTGTGAGCGAAGTTTCTCTCAGTAGCTACGCTGCTGCTCATTTCGTTTTAATTTCTTTTTATTTACTTTTAGTTCACACAGATCAGGTTTTGCTACGAGCAACGCCAGCCAAACAGCTCAAGTGAAGTCCTCGTTGCAGCTGCATTGCATTACATTTCTTCGTCTCCCTTTTAACATACGATTCTAAGGTGCGAAAGAGAACAAGTGGCAGAGCAGGTTGAAGTTGAAGCAGAAGCCGAAACAGAAACAGAACCCGAGAACGCATCCCCGGAAATACCAATAGAAAAACGAGTAGGATAAGCGAAACACCAGATAAAGCGCATACATAAAGAAAGCCTCTAAAACGCAATGCGATCAATTTGAAAAAAAGAGAGAGAGAGATAAAGAAAGTACGAAACTAGAGTGAAGAACTAAACCAATGCAGCTTTTTGCGCTGCAGCACACACATACATAAACAGACGCACACACACATAATCTTTGGCACAATTTTCTGAATGGAATAATTATGTTGTGATGGGCTCGTGCTCGTGTACACGGCGACACTTTTTGTTGTCAACATGCTTCCTGCAAATGGTGAGTATTGTGTGAGTGGTGGTGTTGTGACCCTATTTACAAAAACACTAATCTCTTTTATATTTATTATTTATCTGTTTGGTATACATGCATGCAAACAATGCGTGATATCTGTTCGATTTCAATGCTATATAGATAACGATTATCGAACGCCAGGTATTCGACTTTCTCGGATACATGTGGGCGCCCATATTGGTCAACTTCTTTCAAATACTGTTTATAATATTTGGATTCTATGGCGCATATCATTTTAGAATCAAATACATCATAACAGTAAGTACCCAAAAAAAAAAAAACCCTCCACTACAACACCATCCGCCGCGATAACGCTTGAACGATAACCCAAATTTTCTTTGTTTGGTCAGTATTTACTATGGAACTTCGTTTGGATTGGCTGGAATGCGTTTCTGATATGCTTCTATTTGAATGTCGGCAGCCTGGATAGGGTAAGCAGCGTAATTGGGGTCACTTAAGTCCAAATGCACAATTTACAACTTCCCGAAAACGTAGATTTTTCAGAAATTTATATTTAAACATTCTTAAATACAGATTGTTCGAAAATCAAGTTGTTAATTTCAATTAGGTAAATTTTGATTTTCGAATTGGAAATGGGTTAGATTGTTTATTATATATTTTAATATACTATTTTAACACTTTTATTGCCCAACAGGATAGCGATTTGCTTAACATGGGCACGGGCAGCGTGTCGTGGTTCGAGGCAAACGGTTATGGCTGTAAGCCCACCTATAACATAACCTCAGACGATCCATATCGGCCACTGCGTCCAGAACTTGTGGAGGATTGCCTATTGGACTATACGCTCGTTGAGGTCATCCACTCGGGCGTACAGTGCGCGCTGGCGGTGAGCATATTAATCAATTTTAAGTGCTCCGAATTGTTATAAATTGTGTGCTTCACTCTTACTCTACTATTGCATGAACAAATTTATGTAGCTGCTGGGCATACTTGGTGCGATTCTGATCAGCTGTATATTTCTCGATGAGGACGACAGATGTAAGTTACTCGAATACACTCTCTAAATATATAGCACACACATATATACACACATACATATATATATATATATAAATATGTATCTAATCACCAAACACTAATGGGTAAATGCTATTTAACACATGTAGTTCGTATAATTCTTATAATTTATAAACTCAACCTTAACATCTATATGTACATATTTTTATTGGAATAATTCTCAATTCGTTTCCTAAGTTAAAATCAGTAAGATCAACAAAATTGTGCCGAATGTTTGTGAACGCAACGAATGTCTTGTTTATATATATATTTTTAATTTATATTATTTATTGTTACACAAAAAAAAAAGTGTCATGTAATATGATTTTCGATGCTTTGTTATGTCCACCGACTTGCCCGGAATGCGAAAGAAATGTTTATAAAACACTGTGTTCAACCATATGCCACACACACATATATCACATATCATTACATATACTACATACATATATGCTCGTCAACGTAATCCATGTTATTATTTATGTCATAACAACAACTGCAGCAACAACAAGCAAGAAACAAAAAGAAAGAAAGATATTGTATTGTATTGTATTGTATTGTGTAAATGCTTATAATGAACGTTTTAATCGCTGATAATAATAATAATATTGTTATAACGATATGTACTATATTATAATGTTAAAGCATCTTAATCAATTTCTGGTTTACAGTCGATTTCATGAACGGCGACGCGAAGAGTCCACAGCACACCGTTGTCCATCCAATGTACGTGAGCTATACAAGTATACCAACAACATCCGCAAGCGCCACAATGCAATCTAATAAGCAACTGCAACTGCAGCAGCAACTGCAGCAGCAGCAGCTGCAGCATCATCAGCAGCAACAGCAACAACAACAAAACTCACTGCAATTCTATCATCATCAACACCGACACAAAACGAGCAACAACAACAGCAACTACAACAGCCACAACAACAACAACAGCAATTGCAACAGCTACAATAATACACTTAATAATGTTCATCAGCCACAGCCTCAGCCAGACACAGCAAATAACCATAACGCATACCAACAACCACATTTAACCCACACAAGTGGCACAAACGCCGCCACCGAGCAGCAGCAGGCCAGTTGCAACAGCGGCAGCAGCAGCAGCCTAAGCCGGCTCAAGTCGCTGAGTCGCAAGCAGCAGCAACAGCAGCAGCAGCAAACGCAACCATCCAACCACATTGAGAGCAACCACAGCCAGAAGGGCAAACGTCTCTATCAGTCCAAGGCACATGCCCTAAACTCAGTCAGTCCCATGTCCACATCTCTGTCGCCCCAAAGCGCTCAGCTGTCAACGCCCTCGCTTTCGTATGCCTCGCTGCAGAACTCGAATCCGCAGCTGGCGACATCGTTGAGCAACAGCAACTATAGCATTTTCCATGGTGGCGACACCAGCAGTGCAGCCAGCGGTCATTTTGCCCGCATCCATCATAAGCCCAAGACTCCCAAATCTGTGCCGGATATTAAGTACACTCAGGTGGCTTTGGCGCGCCTCTCGCGCAATCTCGAGGAGGATGAGGACTGCTTCTCGCTGCAGAATCTATCGCCCAATGGCGATACCGGTGTCACCTATGTGCCATTCCAGAGTCCCACACCAAACAGCCTCTTTGTGGGCGGTGAGAATAACAATGTGGGGCCACCGATACCGCACATTGCCTTCAATTCCTACCAAGATCAAATCCAGTCTAGTCCCAACAACAATAATCGCTATGCCTACGAGCCATCGCCTCAGCCACTTCCATTGATTTCGGGCTATTCGCCCAAGCCGCTGCGCGGTTTCAAGCAACTGCCACGCCCCACTCAGATTCCAATTCCCACTGTGCCCATACACAGCTGCATGGCGGAGCAGGAGACGCTGGCGTTGTCGCCACCGCCGCCGCCGGCGCCCCGTCCACATATATTCCAGCCCCGACTGGGCCAAGCGCCCTATCCAGATCTCTCGCCAGAGATTGCCGAGAAATATGCGATGCCCACACAGCATGTGCCCGGCTCGCCGATGGTGCGACGCAATCAGCGTCGTCCACGTCCCCATCCGGCGCAGGCCAACTTCTGCGATCAGATACGCGACACTCCGCCCGGCTATATGGTCCGCACGCACAGCGACGATCAGCTGGAGGAGCAACAGTCGGCGCCGCATGTCAATCGGCGCAGTGGACGCAAGGCTCGTCCACGCTCCTTCTGCAACTCGATTGTGGGCGCACAGGCCTAAGCTCAGATGATCCTCATCACTGCATTCCTCTCTGATTATTGACCAAAATCTTATAGACTTATAGGCAGGCAGCTGCTGTTGCCCCTCTTTCTCTCTCTCTCTCTCTCACTCTCTCCACCTCTCTCTTCGATCTTATTTATTGCCAGACAGACGCTGCCGAAGCTGAAGCTCTTCCAGTCTCTCTATCCCACACTCGCTCTCCCTGACTCAAGTATGTCCAGCTCCTCTAATATACATGCTATATATTATAAAGTGTCTTTATATATCTCTCACTTCTCTCTCTCTCTCTCTCTCTTACTCTCTGTCTCTCTCTCTATATATGTATATTTCTCCTGCAGGTGCTGGGCGTTTTGCCGCTTGTGTCCCTTGTGTTGTCCATACTAACGTATAACGTATCGTATTTCACATTTTAGTATGTGTTGTCGTTTTTGTTGTGGCTAACAGAGTTTGTTTGTTTTTTTTATATATATATATTTTTATTGAACGTTAAATACATCTCCGTTGTGGTTAACGAGATGGAAATTAGGGAAACGCGATGGGAACACTTTGAGCGTGACAAATCGAAAAGTGTCTCAAGGTGAAGGTGAGCAATAGTAATTGTTCCCAATTCCAAGCGAACCTTTTAAAGCTCAAAAATGAACCACGAGAAAGAAACTAATTAATTTTACTAGTAGGAATTCCAGTTACCAAGGAAACAATTAACAAATGTGACAAGAACATTTGACAGAAATCACACAAAAAATATTGCAAATTTACAAACAAAAAAGAAGTGAAACAGACTTGTTTATAATATAATTTTTTATTATCCGCTGTGGGTAAACATTTTCTAATTGAAAATTTGCAATATTTTCCGAATTCCTTATGAAAACCAGAAATAACTGAATGTAGTAAGAGAAATATATGATTTCTCTGTATTCTGTTAGCTTGCTCTTGATGTGAAAACTAGATTTAAGATAAAGCTTTAATTCGGATGCCTTGAAAGCCATTAACAAAATTATAAATTATGTGACACACACACACACATATATACATTTACACATATATACACACACACATGTGAGACTTTCCATAATGGCTAATTTAAAAACATGAAATGTGATAGAAAAATGTTACAAAAGAAACGAAAAAAACTAACGAAAAACAAAATGATGAGTGGAGGAAGAGAAGAGAAGCGTTACGCGAAGCGGAAAGTCCAATGCCTTCATAATTTTATGTTAAACTGTGATACTACATAACGATAAATGAAAGAAAACACACACACATAAAAATGTCACAAAACTTTATCGAAAAAAATCAAAAAGAAAAGCGAATTCAAAATTGTAGAAACTGCAAACAAAATGCCGAAAACGTTTCAAGGTCAAACGATGAAAGAAAAAAAAAACGCCAATGCAACCAAAATGCCTTTTTGAAACTGGAGGAGGAGGAGGAGTAAAAGAAGGCGAAGGAGCAACTGCTGCCATAGCTTCTCCAAGGAACTACTAACTGAATATAGTTGCCTTTTGTTGTTTTTTTTTTTGATAAATGAGAAAGAAAATATCTAAATAGCATACCATAAATAAATAAACGCGTAGTTATCAAAAATGTTGCGACATTCGTTATATATATACACACATATATATATATAAATATATATATATATACTTATAAATATATATCAATTGTTAAGTATAGAGTTAAGCTTTACAACAACAAATTCGCTAATTAGTAATTAGTTATGTGCGAGCACACACACACAGGCAGAAACGATCTAGAGTACTACTTAGCTAGAGTAAATATATACATAGATACATATATGTATTTACATACGAGCTGATTGCGTGCCAATTTTAGCAACAAAAAAATGAAGAAAAAAAAAACACCCAACAAAAATTCAAGCGTTTCCCAATAAATGTTCATTTACACAAATGTTTGGCCTTTAACTTGCGTCGTATTGCCTTATCGTCCTAAATCTGGTTAACTGGTTTCATGTAGCAAAACTTGGCAATGTGTCTGTATCTCTCTCTCTCTCTCTCTCTCTCCCTCTCCCTCTGCTAACCAACAACGTCTTTTTGTAGCTAATCCTGTTTTGCATTTAACCGCCTTCCAAAAATATATTGTATCACACACCAAATCTCTAACCCAACGCCCAGGTAACTGCTGCCACCTGTTTAGTTTTGTTCGTATTTTAGCTAGCTTTCTGCCCGTCTTATCCACTCTTTATTGACACGCTCTCTGTTCTGTAATCTCTGCAGTGAAGCACATTAACAAGCAGTCCAAGCATCGCCAGTCGCTCTACTCCATCGAGTTTGGCGCCAGCAGCGACACCATTCGACACCGTGGCGATGTCATGCTGGGCTACGGCGACCACGATCCACACGACCAGGACGGCGGCGAGCTGAGTCCCAAACCGATGACGCCGCGTCGCGTCAAGCGGCGCTCGGTGATGGCACGCGGCTCCCATGGGCGGCAATCAAGCGGCGGCAGCAGCAGCACTCGACGTTCCCATCACGGCTCCAGTAATACGCTGCGCTCAAAGCATGGCGGTGCTGGTGGACACGCTGCTGACAGCAGCAGCGGCAGCTATGTGCGTAGCAGTACACGCAGTTCGCGGCGCAAATATCACCAGAATCCGGTTACAAAGCTGCTGGATCAGCAGCAACAGCTGCAACTGCATCATCAGCAACAACAACAACAGCAGCAACAACTCCACCAGCAACAGTATCAACAGCCGCAGTTGGGCTCTTTTCATCGCCAGGAGAAGCGTCCACTTACCGCAACCAATTTGCAATCGCTAAACGATGACATTGTCAACAACAGCAACAATGTGGCCGGGCAGCTGGGCAGCCTGGGCAAGAGCAACAGTCATTATTATCACAGCTATCGCAAGAACATTCCGCTGGATCCCATCTACTACAATACCAATGGGCAGGGAATGCTGTTCGCTGCTGGCAATATGGAGGAACAAGCATCTCCACCGTTGCCGCCGCCACCGCCAGCGCCGCTTGTGGGTCTGCAAAATTCTGCTGGCGGCGGTGGTGGTGGCCACTACAATCCCAGCTATCAGCACTCCACGACACAGCTGAACGATGTGGGCCATGCCAGCGATGAGCTCTACAACAATCGGCCGCCCTCGGTGCGTTCCAGCTACTCAAATTTCCATGGCTCGCGACCGCTCTCCACAGCGTACAACACCACGGAGAATGTGTTTGCGGGCTTGAGCGGTGCCAGCGCCAGTCCGCCGCAGCCGCCCTGCACACCGCCGCTCTACCAGCAGCATCCCATCCATCAACAGCAGCAGCAGCAACAATATCTGCCACCACCTGTGCCGGAACCGGCGCCCAGCTATGTCAGTGCCCAGTCGCATGGTCATATGTCGTTCTCAAAGCGCACCGCCTCACGGGAGAGCATACGCTCGATGGCTTTTCTCAATAACGGGCCGCCCGCCTACAATCTCAACTATCACACGCCACCCGACTCGGAGACGACCATGTGAAAGACCAGTGTGGTTGCCCCGCAGCGTACCAATAACTTATAAGTACTTATCACACCGTATCACATCCATCGTAAATTATCAATTGCAAATTGCATCTATGATCTCGATCAGTTCTCGAATCAAGCAAACACTCTCGCCTCTGACAATATTTATACAACTTGTTTATATGCATAGATAACTGTATACATATAACTATACTATACTATACTATATCATTTGCAGACTTGTGCAACAAGCAAGCACAACAACATCGCGTCAACCATATATATCATAACTGTTTACTTATATCTTATATCTATATGTATTTAACGTAAAGCTAAACTAGTCTGTAAGTTTCTGTCGTTTTACCAAAGTGCCTTTGTATATAAACAACAAATAAACGATTCTTTTGTATGTATTTGTCAGCATTACTCTAAAGTAATTTGATCAAATTTCCGATTCGATTTCAGCTTATATTTATTTAAGAGGTAAGAAGCTTACCAACTGAGTATCATTTACACAATTTCCTACCTCAAAATAGGTTAGTATATAATCCGAAAAGTAAATAAATATAGCAGAGACACCCTTTATATAAGAGATTTAATAATAATTGAAAATTATAAAGTTTATGGTTGTAGTTGTAGCATTGATAAACATTTAAGTATATTGTAGTAGTTATAGTTATAGTATTTAATTTAGTCCTGCTGCTATTCCTTGCGACACACTAGGCATAGAAAAGGGATCAAGAGATATATGCCATTAAAAGCAGTGTTTTGAGCTATGCCAGTTCTACTTACGATCATCTGCATCCCAGCCGGGCTCGATGTCCAGTTGCATGTTGCGCTCCTTTAGCCAGGTGAAGAGCGGTGCAAAGTATTCCAAGATGCCACGTCCGCTCAGCTTCCGCTCGCCCGTTCCTATCTGCATAATATCGCGCCAGTGCTTCGTGGCGCCCAATTTCATCATATCACTGGAGGATTACTTTGTAAATATTACGATACTCATGGGATCTGGAGGGGGTAATCTTACCGGAGCAGCGTGCCCGCCTCCTTGCTGTCATGAAAGTCGCAGTTGTGCAGCGGATAGCTGGGATTCCCGGGTTTATATTGGCCACTGGCCAGGCAGAACGACCGATAAAATTGAAAGCCCAAAATTTCCGAAATGAATTTTCTGAAAAATAAAAAAATATGCAGGAATTTTTAGTTAGTGCAGGATATTATACGAGTAAAAGATATTAGTCAATTGGATGACCCACCTGGTATTGGACTTGTCTGGTTGCATGCCGCGATAGAATTTATAGTCGACGTCAAAGTCCTTGGCAGAGCGCCAGATGGGCGGCTGGACTCCAGCATACTTGTCCTGCAGGCGCCAGAAGGCGCAATTGTAGTCCTGCACACCGATGCGTCCGTCCATGACATCCACGAGGAACTTGTCGTTGATGAAATACTGCGGCACAGCCAACAGCGTGTGGACGCCCATGCGGAAAAGTCGATTGAGCAACTGCGGTTCCGTAAGACTATCATTGATCAGGATTTTCAATTTGTGTAGGTGACGCGGTGTGCCGGAGGCCAGGACAGCTGTCTCGCCGAGGGCAGCGCCAAAGCCGGGACACGGTTCTGTGTCCAGGCCGAAGGGCAGCTCTCGTTTGTAGATGTTGTACTGCAGCTCCGCCATGATGCCGTGTATCTGCATCATCTTCTTATAGTCCAGCTTGGGACAATAACGCAGTGCCACGTCCGGTGGAAAATAATACACCTGCGACTTACAATCCGCACTGCCCTCATCGTCGTTCATGCGGCGCGAATAGCGCTCATAAAAGTTGCTGGCAATTTTAAGTGGAATAATAAACGAAAGTGTAATTTCAGCTCGGGGCGGGCACTTACTCGGACATGTGATTCAAGCCCAGGGACTCAAAGAACTCGGCGGCCTTCTTGTTGATTTTAACGGGCGTGACCAACACCTGCTCCAGTCGATTATGCACCGAGGGCAACTGATCCTTGGGATACGGTGTCTGAAAGATCTGATGCGGGTACCACGCCTGCGACAGCATCTGATCCATAACGGGTGCCGATATGGCGCCATCATCCTTAAAATTCGCCTTGGGATACGCCAGAATGGCCGAGTGCCTTAAAAATGCATGCATCTCCCGATATAGCGGCATTATCTCCCAGATAACTAAGGGTGTGTAGATGATAAGGATAGAGGATACATATGGATAAGAAATGTATGTATATGTAAATAAATGTAGATAAGGGTATATATTTCAGTCCCTACTCTTATTCCTTATTGGGCGGATTTTCATGAAAGAAAACTACTCCCAAAAATGCTGCACGCCGCACATATAGTTATATATACAAACATATGTTCTTATGCAGATATTTACCCTCCTCCATCTCCGCCTGGAAGTTCTCGGTGTCGTAGTTGAGATACCAGGTGCGCGAGGGCGTCACATGGCCATTGTAGGTGGCTGCGATACGCAGCAGGCGGACATAGTCGATGAACGTATTCTTGGCATGGTTTTTCTCATTGATGGCACTGCGCCAGCTGTACCAATTGAGTTTGAGTTCCTCGTAGCGCTTGCTGCGCATATTCCGCTGATAGATCTGCGGATACATGGCCAACGGACGGCGGGCGGAGCAGTCGTCGCTGGTGCACACAAGTGAGCCGCTAATGTAATTCTGCATGTCACGCAGCAGATCCTTGGCCTGCTCATAGGCCTCGGGTCGAAGTCCCTGCAACTGCAGCTTGGCCAGTCGCTGCACTCGCCGACGTAATACCGGATCACGCAGTTGCTCCACAGGCACCACGCTCAGATTTGCAGCCAGCTCATAGACGAGCCTGTAAGTCTCCATTTCGACCTCGTGCTTGCTGGGCGCCTGGCCACCCAATGGCGATTTGCCCTTCGAGGTGAGCTGCAGAAAGATGCTCTTGCTCATATTCCAAATGGTGCGCATCCGCTGCGTGGCCACATCAAGAATACGCAGCGTCGACTCTTCATAGCTGGCGGAGTGATTCGAACTGGGTGCAGAGGTCGGCACACAGCACACCGTTGCAGCCAGGAGCAGCAACACGACGAGCACAGAACGCATCAGCATGGTTAAGAAATGGGAATTGCGTCAACTTGGTTTCCGTTGTGTGCTGCTGATGCCGATAAGTTGAGGCTTATCGCCTAAATCCCAAGTGCGCTGTAGTTTTATTTATTTTTTATTATTTTACTTTGTCTTTGCCTCCAGAGCTCTGAGCTTGGAGAGCTCTTACCGCGCACTGAGCGCCAGATTCGACTTGATCTCCTATATGAGTATTGTTTATGGGTCTGGGTGGGCAGTTTATTGAGTATACCCAATTAATAAACCTACATTGGCTTGGTTAAGCTTATAGACTCTATAAGGGTTTCTTTTAAAGTCTACTTGTGACTTACATCTAGATTTATTTATTGAATATAATTGTTTAAAATTTTATTACTCGAATATTTATTGAAGACGAACACGTTCTCAATATTTAGCAGCTTTTTTTATTCTTTAATTTTAAATATATTTGATTATATGTATAATCGTTTGGTTTATTTTAATAATTACTTTTTATACTACCCATCTTTGAACAAATATTTACTAATCGTTCTTATCACTTTTGAGCATAAAAAACTCGAGGGAAGAGTAAATCGCGCTTGCCTTGATAGTGTCTCAGTGTCGGACTCGATCCAACAAATATACTATATATATAATATTTATTTTTTATTATTTAAAAGAAAAAAATGGAATTACTTTACTTAATTGATGGTGCATAGGTGTGATCCTAAATGTTGAAGGTCGTGGCCGTATGCAATGAAGGCAATAATATGACGCATACGCCATGTGGTAGACGCAGCTGAAAGTGTTAGTTGCTAATATTACGTATACGGCAGGCAGTAAACTTGGATTTAGATTTGGATGGGAAAAGTGCAGCGAAAGGCGACACAGCTTCAATTCTTTTGTTAGCCAGTTGGCCCATATTTGGGCTTAATAATTTTGACATTTTTAGACAGCGGCCTGCGGCCTGCGGTGCAGCAGCAGCAACAGCAACAGCAGTAACGACAGCACTGTCCAAATAATATCGGGAAATTTGTCATGACCAGCAGCGCATTTGTTTATGCCGGCAGGAGAAACTGTGCCAAATCGACGCCGAGAGTTAGTCGAGAGCTGAGAGTTGAGAGTCCTTGCCACGATTTGTATTGGCCTGCGGTCGTTGCTTTTGACATTTTGGCCAAAACAGACTGTGGGTCGCTGCGTTGCGACACGCACATGGCACACGCCACGCCACGCCACAGCATGGACGAGAGGACCTAAGCGAGAGAGAGAGAAAGTGAGAGAGAGAGTGAGCGAGAGTCGTCCTGGCATGTGCGCAATAGGGGGAAATTTAGGGATTTGTGTGTGCGCTTCTGCTCGACTGCTCGACTGCTCTGCAGATTACGTCAAACGGAAAGGAAAACCCGTTTGCCCAGAGTCAGTCACCAACGAACCTTAGAACCGAGCAGTCGCCATGCAAATGCACGCGTCCGTAGAACAAGACACAAATACAAAAAAACAAATATAATAGTACAAAAAAAAAAGAAAAACAAAGCAAAAAAGACAACAAAAACACAACAAAAAAAGAAAAGACAGCTCACTGACACACACATAGAGACGGACACTGAGACTGAGAAACAGAGCCACACACACACACACACGCACACGTTTTAGCAGTCTGAGAAACAGAGATTTAGAAGTGCAAGCAGCGAAAAAGTGTTCTGCGCCCAAAAATAGAGTGAAATGTGCATATTGTTGTTGTTGTTGTTGTAAAGCAGGATAAAACGGAAACTAACCTACATTTTCGCGCTCTTTCGCACGCTTTCGCACATGTACAATACCAACACAACTAGCACATACCCGCACACTCACTCACACACACACACTCACTCACACACACACACATACACATTGGCAACTGTGACGCCTGTGCTCGTGCTCTCTCGTTTCCGCGAGCGCGTTTGCCTCGCACAAAAGCAAAAAGAAATCAACAGTAAATTGTAATAACACTTCTCAGCTTAAGGTGTGTGCGTGCACCGCTGTCGTCGTCGTCGTCGTCGCTGTCGCTGTCGCTGTCGTCGCTTTCGCCCGTTTGTTTCGCGTGTGTGTGTGCGTGTGTGTATGTGTGTCAAACAATGTGCGTGCCAGCGCTTTTTTTGTTGCTCTTACCTGGTCCTGCTCCGCCGCTGCTGATTCCGTTTTGCCAACGTTGTTGCATAGAGTCGCGAGACGGCGATTGCGACTAAAATAAAAATGTAATTAATGTTAAATATATACATATATACAAAATAGAATAACAACACTAACAAGTACAACAGCAGCAACAAAAGCAACAGCAGTAATAATAATTATAATAATAATCATAATAATAACAACAACAAAAGTGTGCCCAGCTGCGGGCAATTGAAGTCGCCGCAGTTTCACTGCAAAGTAAAAGAAGGAAGCGACAAAGAAAATGAATCAAACAAAATGAACTGCAATTGCAACAATCGAATGCAGGCGAATGCGTATATAAATAGAAACTAGTGCATTGGGCAAATTGAAATGTAAATACACACACACACACACACACATACACACACACTTACAAGCATAGATTCGCACGCGTGTGTGTTTGTATGTGTGTGCATATCCTGTGCGTTACGATTACATAAAGAAAATAGTAACAGTAACAGTAAGAGCAGCCGCAGCAGCCGCAGCAGCAGCAGCAGCAGTAACTACAATAAAAAGCAATTAGCAATTTATAAAGGTAAATCATCGAACATTTCAATCCGTTGCGCTTTGTAGTTATATGTATGTGTATATATATATATGTGTATGTGTGTGTGTGTTTTCGTGTTTTCATTAGTGACACGACAGCTTGAATGTGAACCATGTGGTATGGTGTGTTGGGCTTGGGTGGGATTGGGTTGGGTAAGGGGTTTTGTGGTCGTTTTGCCCATTGCGGTTTGCGGCTTGCGGCGTTGGTTTTCGGCCCATAAATTAGCGCTTGATGTTGTGCACTTAACTAGAGCACCGCACAAGGCAACGTTCGTGTGCCATTCGAAAGAAAATGAAGAAAGTAAAAAATAAAAATAAAACGTGTAGCATAACTCAAGGCGCAGTCAGCAGCTTCCGCTACGCTTTAAAGCGCCCAACTCCCAACTTGCCAACTCCCTGAGGTCACGCCCAAGAAAGTTAAAAAAAAAATATAATAATACAACAACAGATTCATAATAAAAATACGCTTTGTTAATGTCCTTCTGCTCTCATTGTTGTAATAAAAATATTTTGACGATTTGTGTGCTTAGCGCAAGCTGGTTTTCTTCTGCTTACTGATTTCGGCCACTTTCGGCTGCCCTTTGCCCGTTTCTCTTATTGCAAATAACAAAGCACACATACACACACACACACACACACACACACACATACACATCTCTCTTTGGCCGGCCCGCCTTTATGACTGCATTGTTGCTCATCAAGAATATGGACTCTGCCATGCCCAGCGCTCCACCTGCTTACTCCCCCTACCCCCTTTCAATCACAGTGTGTGGCTTCCGACACGGCAGTTGGCTGCCTGCCTGCCTGCCTGCCTTGCACTATGCGAGAGGTGAGCAGTGGCAAACTTGATATTGAATATTTTATGGCACTTCATCTAACGTTTTCCATTTCGCCAGCGTCAGCGGTGTCAAGAAGTTTGTAAAACACAACAGGAAGCAGGCCTACCTGCCTGCCACAACTTACCCACAGCAACAGCAACAACAACAACAACAACCACAACTACAACACCAATACAAATACCAACAAACACAACACAAAAGCTCAGCAAACTGAGCAGCATCCAAGCGTCGCCTCCTTCGGCAGCTCTTCCTTTGCTCTTTGCTCTATGCCATTTATCAATTCTTGTAACTTACTTTTGCTTGTGTCTGTGTGTGTATTTTTCTCACTTTCTGTGCGTGTGTGTGTGTCTGTGTGCGTTAATGTTAATTAACTTTATCTTTGTTAAGCTTTAAGTCTTAAAGTGTGTGCACATTTTCCGGCTTGCCGTGTGTTTATCTTTTCCGTTACGCACATTACGTATACGTTACGTAAACTTAATGCGCTCGCATTACGTACAAGCCGCCACATAAGCCACGTTTAAGTGTAGGTGTCTTAAGCACTGCATTAGCGTTTACCAATTTCCGCTTAATGACTGCCTAAATCATGCTCTGCTAAATTGGCCTGATATTTTCTACACTTATCCATATACCAGCCAACAACTAGTTTGCTCCATTAAATCATTTGAAATCCTTTACTTAAGAGCAGCCACTCGAGTGTATGTGGTAATTTTAATTGGCGAGAAACGTGAAGCTCTGCAATTAATTAATGAATGTGGAATTAATCAATCAATTTAATGGCTTATGAAAATTCACTGTTAAAAAAGTGATTAGAAACAGCTTATAAGAAAGCTATTAATAATATTAATTAATGATTTAGGGAAATGAGATAATAATCAATGTTCTCAATAATGTCATTTGCCTTATGGACAAAAAAATAAAGTTTATGCTCAGTGTGGAAAGGCCATAATTTATTAATAAAGGCGATTCATATTTTTAGAGAAATTGTCTTTGCAAAGTTGAACATTCATTACACTATTTCAAACAATGAAAGAAAATAAATTAAATCGAGAAACTTAATTTGCTAAACGTTCTCGAACCATTCTGCAAAGAATGTATTGAGGATAAATTAATTTTCGTCCGTTTTGTTATGCATCCATTCTCCATACAATTTTCCCAACATATTTATATACGTAACTGAGCATAAAACTAATAAGCTGTCTTTTTTCCCCAATTTTGCAGAAGACCCAAACACAAAGCACAAAATGTAAGGCGGCAACAATAATCAACGCAACGCAAAGCAACAAAGCAGTAAAAAGCAAGCGAACAAAAGCGATTTGTTAGTTTGGTGAAGGGGGGCCGAAGCAGTGAAAGAAAAGAGGCGATGCCCCATTATTGGAAACTGTCATACTCGTCAGATTTGCATAGCTTTAGAACCAACGGGATAAAAACGGCAGCATCATGCCAATGCCGAACGTGATAAGCACAACAAATGCGAGAGCAATGCGAAATGTTAACAATGGCGACAATATTAACGCTAAATGCGACGATCCCAATGTGTGAGCCGAGTACAACAAAGAGTAGCCAAAAGTGTGTGTAAAAGAGACAGAGCAACACATCAAGACAGACAGAGAGACAGAGAGAGAAAGAGATAGAGAGAGAAAGAGATAGAGAGGCAGCAAAGGGAAAGCAAGCAAGAGATGCAGCTGCGATAAGAGCGAACAAGGGCAACAACAACATCAACAACAACAACAGCAACAGCAACAAGAGCAACAAGAGCAACAAAAGCAACAAGGAGATAAACGAGGACAATCAGTCAAGATGAGTGATGATCAAACGCTAGCAGCGCAGAATGATGATAAAGGTGAGTGTATAAAGGTGCTAAGCTATGCAATCTATGGCTAAAGGCCACCAAGGTTTCTTGGCCGGCCAAAAAACCCATAAATATCGAGTATGGAGCAGATTGCTTGCTTGGTGAGTGAGGGAGTGCTGAGGGTGAGGGTCGTGGATGTCAGTGTCGGAATGGGAGTGCGAGTGCGGGCAGTGGGGGGCAGCGCGATTGGGATTGGTGTGCCATCAAATCTGCGCTGGGTCTGGGCCATACATACGAAATAAGCCCAAGCTGAGAGCGTGCCTCTGACACCCAGCAAGTGGCACAAAGGCAAACAAGCCAAGAATGTTGCAATCAAAATTCTAACGACTTTGTGCTACACTGTCTCAGAAAAATAATAAAAAAGAAACAAAATCAACCAATCCGTAGTTAAACGAGCCCATTCTTTCACACCAACTTAACGCGAAGCAATCACTTTATTTTAGCCAACGCTAATTTGCATCCATCAAAATTTAAGTATTTCACTTAACACTAACCTCCTCAGAATACGCCGCACAAGCGATTTATGGCTATGTAGTAAATTACCGTTATTAATTATGTTCCCCTAAAAAACGTACTAATACAGTTACAAATATTTGCGAATCGGTTTTCATTAATTTTTATCACAATACTTGAGAAGTCATCAATAAACGCACAAAATATATATTTTGTAATTTAAAAATCTGCTTGAGATATTATTTTGGGCGGTTTGACGATTGAAAACAGGCCTAGCAAAAACAATTTGAAATTACATAATTTGTTACAAATCTCTCAATCAATAAATCACATTTGATAAATCAAAATTGTGACTGCAAGTGGAATGAACAACAGCTTTTGTGAAATACAAATTATTTGGCTAGACTTCTAATTTAAAATTTAGTAGAATAATGTATAATTTTGTGTAACCTAATTTTAAAGGATAAATAGATTTAAGTAAATTGAATTGAAAACAAAACAAAATAAACTCCATTGGATATTCAAATATTTTTGTGATTTGTATGGGTAGTAATGCTTATAGTAAAGATGGGCGTGGCAAACAAATCTCAACACTTTATCTGACATGGCCAAATACGAAGCCAAGCTAAATATACCCCACATCCCATCGGGCACAGAGTATAACAACACGCAAGGCTAAAAGCTGGGCAGGGATTGGTATTGGGCAGAAAGCATGCCAAAAGGCAGACATGGGAGGCATCTGCATGATGTGGGCGAGTATTTATGGTTAGCTTTGGTGTTGCGTATGCGTGTTCTTTCGACTTCTGTTTCAGCTCCGGCTCCGGCTCCGTCTCCGGCTCCGTCTCCGGCTTCGGCGCGTGTTGCTCGAGCTGCTTGGATCATCAGCATAATTAAATAGCCATTGCTCATTTGTGTGTGCAGCTCAATAAAATTTGACTCGAACTTGAATCAAATATGCCACACACTCCCACACCCACACACACACACACACTCACAGATAAAGTAACGAAACGAGTACACTTAAGGAGCAGCAGGACTGGAGGCTGTTTAAATAAATGATTAACTAAAAACGCAATCGCTTTGGGAGCGAGCTGCCAACTCAGCATATATCTCAGTCTCCATCTCTGCCTTTTCTAATCACAGACCATAAGTTACGCAACTGTTCGAGCAAACGCAATATGCAGGGTATGTGGCACAAGGCGCAGGGGGGCAAGGGCGTGACTGGGGGGGTTGCCAGTTGGGCCAATTGTTGGCCTTAACGCTGCACAGAGAGCTCTGTGCAGTTGTGACTCGAAACAATGCACAAGGCCCAAAGCGCAGCGCGTGGGCCAAAAGACAACGCGACTGCGACAACGGATTATAAATATGAACGGAAACGGAAACTAATTAAATATGTAGAGCAAACTTTGTGTGTATTTATATGTCTGTGTGTGTGTGTGTGTTTTTTTATTTTTCGCCTCTTTTTTTTTTTGGTTTTCTTTTCAGTTTCGGTGGCAACTGCAGCTTCAGTTTTACCTTGGACTGCATTCTATTTTAATTTCGTTTCACTTTTCATATGCATTTAATTTTAACTCTTTTGCTGTTTTTCTCTTTTTTTTTGGCGACAAATTCAATTTGCCTTTGGCCAGGAAGCGGCTCAACAGAAAGAAAGTGCCGCTGCACTCCCCAACAATTATGCCACACCACACACACACACACACACATACACAATTTTAGTTATGTCTTTGTAGTCATAGTCACAGTTCCCAGTCACCATTGAACTTGTGAACAAAGGTCTGCGCAGCTGCAAGCAACTTTAATATGAATGCAACTCCGACTGGTTTTTTGGCATGCTTTCGGAAAATACAAGCTGGCATGGGTTTTTTCCTTTTCCTTTTTTTTTTTTTGTCTCTCTCCTTTTTACAACGAATATGTGAGGCTCTGTGTATGTGTGTCTGTGTGTAATTTCCTTTTTTCATTTGTTGCTGCTGATGGCGCTTTGAGAATCATGTTGCTTCCGCATTAACTTGTTGGCGCATCTGCCGAAGATGTTGCAAGCAGGTTTCCCCTGAACTTAGTTGGAGTTGAACATGATGTTGCTGCTGGGGCATATTATGCAATACAGGGAAGATGTGCGTCGGTTGCATTTAATGTTAATGTGCGACCGTCAACCGGTTGCCCATCTTCATCATCATCATCAACATTGTAGCCCTCTGCAGCCAGGCTGGCTGGCTCTCTTTCTCTACAAATTGCTCCCACTCTCTTTGCTGGCATTGCCCGTTAATCTTCATCAAGTGTTACATACGAACTTGATTTTCACTGATAGTTAATGACTTTTAAAAGGCACAAGATTTACTTGCTTATACAGCGTATTGTATTTTGTATTTAAAATACATTTTGTATCTGTTTTTACCTAATCATCGTTACCAGCTTTACTTCATCAATTTCAGGCATTTCAGCTCTCAAATCGTGTTTGTAACGCATCAATAAAACGCTTTGTTATATATTGTGTATGTGTGTTCAATTCCATTTACAATTCATGTCGGGGAAGTACCTCTCACCCACATACGCATACATATATTTTATTCATTCACTGAATAATTTATTATAATACTAACACATTTTGTATTATTGTTTGCTTTGTATTGCTTCTCAGTAATCATGAAGAAAATTGGCCTTATTTTTATTTGATCATGTTCCATTTAAATTCCTAAATAATCGCGAATGGTTTGCTCAGTTTTTCTTACTCTTTTCTAATATGTTTCAAACAGAATTAGAGTAGTAAAAAATATATTTGCATAGTTTTCCCATATCAGCAATAATTATTATATAATTGTATTGAATTGTGTTTCTCGCTTTTGAATCATCTCTCTCTCTCTCTCTCTTTTGGAATATACTTTACTATTTAAAGATATGTTGGTATATTCATTGTAATACATGACTTAACTTATCATATTTCCATAACAAATTTAAATATATATATAGAAGTTATGTCAGGGTACTTATGGCAACGGTGCGGCATTCAAAACTTTCCACTCTTATTATATTTGTAACAGCTGCCCTCATTGCTGCTGTTTCTATTGTTGTTGGTGGTGTTGTTGTTGCTGAAGTTGCTGTTGCTGCTGCTGCTGCTGCTGCTGTTGAAGTAGTCTTTATATAAGCAGTGGTTTGATGATGATTTTCATACGATTTGGATGTTGTCATGGTATTTTATAGGTCTTTTGTTTACATTTTTGGGTGAGCCAAAAATGGATGTATATTAATTAATTTGGCAATATGTTGGAATCTGATCAGTTACACTTGCCCAACACCTAACACCAGCCAATAGTAACAATGGAATGTTGATCAACTAATTTGCATTGTTACATGTCCCCCAACTGAGTAATGAAAAATCGGTAACAGTTAATGAAAATTGACGCCCTACAGTGAGTGAGTGAGTGAGTGAATGGATGAGTGAGTGAGCTAATGAGAGCCCCACTGCTAATCAGCAGCGAAAGCATAACAATGGACAGGACCAAACACAAATACAGCTAGCAAGTATATGCAGTTATTTATATACATTCGTCTCTATATAGAGGATTCAGTGGCCAAAGATGGATGCGGGCGCTGGCCATGACCTCCTCTTGGATGTCTGATGTAAGAATGCGACCAGATGAGCGGACAAATCAACAAAAACTCACTCGCAGCAATTTCGCCAACGCTGCATCAGAGCGTGATGTGATATTTTTCCCCCATTTTTTTTAGTCGTTTTTGTTGGTCATGATGTTGTTGCTACTGCCACAGCAGTGGTTGCTGCTGCGGCAGTCCGTGGCAAGTCTTAACCCAACGACAACCAATTAGTTGTTATATAGCAGCATATTTAAATAGTCGTTTGCTTGATGATACAACTAAACTATGACAATCCAATATATATATATATAAGATTGGCGGTAATTTCAAATATAATTACCTTTTTATTTTGTTGTTCATTTATCATTTTTATTTCTGGAAATGCGAAAAGGAATATCAAAATGTTGCTCTCTTAAAATTGTTTTCTATAAGGCGCTGAAATAAAACTCCAATGTGCAAAACAGCGAAAGATTAATAATTTCGTTATCTTTTTCACACTCTCTTATCTCTCTATATAAAAGACTTGGCAATCAAATACAATTTATACATAAGATTTGATAAGCTAGGAAGAAAAGAACTGCGAAGGCAACAAAAAAAGGCAATCAAACAGTTGACAATAAATAATTGCAAAAATATTCTAAGCTCTATTTATAAAATGAAATATACCCATTGAGATATATATTCATCTAATTATATATTGGCTTATTAACGTGAGGAATATTTGTTATATGGACTCAATCTTTTAACATACTGACACACAATAATGTCACTGTCAGTTGAAAACCAATTGGAAATTAGCGCGATTCAACTAATTTTGATATGCAACATGGAAAATGCTGAATGTTGACAGCTTAATTAATTTTGAGCAGACAATTTGTATAATGATGTTAATGGGTTAACAACGAGTAAGCCAAAAACCCGAAACTCAAAAACCCGTAAGCAAAAGGGTTTGGCCAATATGCCCACAGCAATACCATCTCTCCAATATAACAAGCAAGTTGTGTCGTTATGCAAGTGGCAGCAGCAGCAGCAGCAGCAGCAGCAGCAGTCGTTGACGATGTTGCTGTCGATATTGTTATTGTATAAGGCTCGCAACAGCAACAACACCAACAAAATCGACATCGACATCAAGTGTAACAACAACAACAACAACAACAACAACAGTAACAATGATTAAGAGGCAAAAGGAATTGCCAATAGGAAGTTCATATCAGCAGCATTATTACCATAAGCATAAACGTAAACACAATCAAAATAACGGCTAACGTCAGCAGCAACTAACAACAATAAATAACGGGAACTGGGCGGACGGGCAGACAGGCAGACAGGGCTTGGCGGCCAGTGTGGGGAGCTGGCGGGTGCGGCCCTAGGCAAACTGGTCAAAATGCATATTAATTTGATTTTCGATTTAAAAATTTGAAATTTCAAATTTCAAATTTTATACCTCGAGCCCAGCAACAACCAGATTTTCTCTAAACGATGAAAGTGGAGCACAGTCAAAGCCACCACCACCACCACCACCACCAGCAAACAAAAAGAGCGGAAGAGCTGCAACTATTTCGATCTCGATCTCGATCTCCGACAAGTTTTGCAAAAGGGCGCTCGACGGTCGCGTCTAGTGCGAAAGGTCAACACTCTCCGACTGAAAACGAAAACAAGAAAGATGTTGACTTTAATATTCCGAAGATTAAACACTCTGCCCAGAAATATATAACTTAAAGAATATGGGATTTTAATGAGTTTGCTATCATAATACATGTGTCATATGTAAACATTCAGGCCTGCTCCAATTTACTGAAAACTCTTCTGTTTTCTTTTATTAATGCTCAATTTTTAAACGCTTATTTTTATCGATAATTACTGATTAATTACAATAGCATTAGTCGTATACATATTCATAATAACTAGAGTTTTGTTAGGGTTTTTTTTCAATTCTTATGATCGGAATTGGCTCTCTATAAAGCTATAGAGTTGTTTATACAATAACTACAATTTGAACAGATTGTTATTATGTATGTTATAACGATATAAAGTATAGATAGTTGTAGTATAGTAGAACTTAGAAACACCCATAGTTAGTTAAATATATAAAGAAACTGAACAACTTTTTTAAAACAGGAAATTTACCTTTGAATTTTAATAAAATGAAAAAAAAACATGGAACTAGTTTCGTAAAGTAAAGTTTCGACTTGAGAGATTGATTAAAAGCTATGAACTTTATATGGTTGTATTAAATTATATGTCATATATAATGTGCTATAAGCAATATACCCAAAGTGCAAGGTGCTCGCTCATAACGAAAATGAAAACGAAATGTAACGAAAGCGAAAAGCAAGACAAGTCGGCCTTCAATGGGCTGCTGACTTCGTCGTCGTCGTTGTTGTCTGTGGCTGCTGCAGACTCCCAGTGGCGTCGCTCATTGGAAGATAATCTCTTGCACTTGCTGTGAGACGACGGCGCACCACTTACATAACGAGAGGCCAAGCTCAATTCGGTGGCTCAATGGCGGTGGTTCGCATTTGGTTTCGTGTATAAAACGCGCCGTGGCGCAGTTTGCCGAATCATTTACAGTTTGTCGTTGTCCCAGCAGACGACGGATCAGTGCCTGTATCGAACCCTAAACAGCTGAGTTCCAGTTCAACACCGAAGCGTTATGGCGGCGTTTTTAACAGTGAGTGCTTGTGGTTGATGCTGTGGTTGATGCGGTGGTGCAGTGCTTCCAGTGTTTAACGGGTCTCTTCTCCTTTTGTGTAGCTGAGCATTCTACTGCTCGCCAGCACCCCGATCTGGGGCAAGCCCACCTTTGGCCGGGAGCACGTACACATTCGCATACACCTGCCCGAAGGCGGTGGTGGTGGTGGCGATCATGGCCATGGCCATGGCGGCGGCGGCGGTGGCGGTGACTTCTCCGGCTATGAAATACATGGAGGTGGTCATGGTGGCGGCGGCGGTTATGGAGGCGGCGGCGGTGGTGGTGGACATGTGAGCACCTTTGCTATCATTACTGAAGACCACCATGGCCATGGAGGCGGCGGCGGTGGTGGTGGCGGCCATGGAGGCGGCCATGGAGGCGGCCATGGAGGCGGCTATAGCGCTGGCGGACATGGTCACGATGAAGCCCAGATTGCAGTGATTGCATCAGCAGCCGGAGGCGGACATGGCGGTGGACATGGCGGTGGATATGGCGGCGGACATGGCGGTGGACATGGCCACGGTGGTGGCGACGCTGGTCTGGCTCATATTGCGGCCATTGCAGCATCAGATTCCTCCTCGCACGGTGGTTATGGCGGCGGTGGTGGACATGGTGGATACAGCGGCGGCGGCGGCGGTGGACATGACGGTGGTCTGGCTCATATTGCAGCAATTGCAGCTAGCTCAGATTCGTCCTCGCACGGTGGTTATAGCGGCGGTGGTGGAGGAGGTGGATACGGCGGCGGCGGCGGCGGTGGCCATGACGGTGGTCTGGCTCATATTGCGGCCATTGCAGCATCAGATTCCTCCTCGCACGGTGGTTATAGCGGCGGTGGTGGAGGAGGTGGATACGGCGGCGGCGGCGGCGGTGGACATGACGGTGGTCTGGCTCACATTGCAGCCATTGCAGCTAGTTCAGATTCGTCCTCGCATGGTGGCTACAGCGGCGGTGGTGGACATGGTGGTTATAGCGGCGGCGGTGGTGGCTATAGCGGTGGCGGCGGTGGTGGACATGACTCCGGTGTGGCTCACATTGCAGCCATTGCAGCTAGCTCCGGCGGCAGCGGCTATGGTGGCTACAGCGGCGGTGGTGGAGGAGGTGGCTACAGCGGCAGTGGTGGAGGAGGTGGTTACAGTGGCGGCGGCGGCGGCTTTGGTGGTGGTCATGACGATGGTCATTTGGCCGCCGTGGTTACCTCGTCGTCCTCGCATGGGTCAGGCAGTGGTGGCTATAGCAGCTATGCTGCACCTGCGAGCGGTGGCGGCAGCTCAGACTACTCCAGCTACAGCAGCGGTAGCAGCTACAGCAGTGGTGGCAGCTACAGCAGCGGTGGTGGTGGATACAGTAGCGGCGGCGGTGGTGGCTACAGCAGCGGCGGTGGACATGATGCTGCCAGTTTGGCCATTGCTGTTAGCGGTGGCTCCCATGGCTCCAGCGGCGGTGGCGGTGGTGGTGGCGGCTACAGTTACGCACCGCCCGCTAGTTCCAGCTGGTCTTAAGACCACTAGCCAGCATGTTGGCGATTGGTCATCTAGTCTACGTTCATGTTCATGTCCCATTTGGATATAATATAAGTTATGATTCGTTCACATTCAACATTCAACATTGAGCAGTTGGCAGCCTCATCCAAAAGCACAGTTGCAACCCGGAGCATCATCGCCAACTGCATCCAGCTGCATCTTCACATGTATATTTCTTATTTATATAATCGCCCACTCCTCCAAAAGAAAGGGAATGGCTAATTTTCCCAATGTCATGTGTCGTCCATGTGTACAAAATAAAGTATATAGTGTAATAATTTGTAAGAGCAATTTGTTATTTGTTTTATACGGGCACAACTCGTGGTCCACGTATTATGTCAGCCAGTTTGGGGTGAAAGTGGCCAGCGGAGAGTGGCCAGCGAAGATGCCGTAAGAGTTGACTGTGCCTCATCACAGTGACGCAATGACGCAATGACGGTCAAGAGCGAATCAAGATACCGTCGCTGATGCCATATTATGCGATAATCACTTTTACATTCCAAAACATTTCAAAGAAATCAAAAGCTAAATTTAGATTGGCATGTTGTTGTGCATATAATTAATAAAAGCTTATATCTTAGAAACTAAAAGGAATTGTGGAACTATGTGGAAAGTTTAAAACTAGTAGAAACTAGCTAAAACTGTTCTCAATTTCTATTAAGTTCAAATCTTGGACGTGCTTATGTTAATTAATTAAGCCGTGTGGAATTTCAACTTTCCATATAAGACTTTAATCTTGACAGAAAATTAAAGAAAAGCGAAAAAGCTTATGTTTCTTACAATCGTAAACAAGTCTTTGGAAACATTCACTTTGCCATAAGTCGAGATGTATAAAATGATTTCAGAAATCCAGAAATATGTTGGCTTCAGTGTATGAAAAATGCGCTTTCGATAAATTCTTTTCTTTAATCTGATGGGAAGTTTAAGCAATTACAAAATGTTTGTGTCTGTTGTAAAATCCGTTTGTCTGTTAATATTTAATATTTGAAATAGTAAAACTTATTTCGATCGGTTCCTCTCACGTTCCACTTCTCTCTCATGAATGGGTATGGTGATATAGTGGTTGAAGTAATCGTATATGGTGAAGTAGAAGGCGGACATAGTGCCAGACTTGTAGAGTGTGGGCACCATTCCCTTATATAAACCCATAACGCCCTCCCTCTCAATCGTATTCCGAATGCAGAACATTATCGTGTTGCAACTGGGATTAACACCGAATGTTTTACGGTCAGCCTCAAAGTGACTCAGCATCGAGCGCTTTTTGATTAGGTCCAGCGGATAGACGATTATTTTCGCGAGAACGCCGGAGACGGCAGCATTGAAGAAGAGCAGGGCGCCCGGTATCAAATGCTGCGGATGCGGATCGTGGTGGTATTGGCCGATCAGCTTGCCTTCCATATGATTGAAGAACTTGTAGAAAACAAAATTGGCCCCCACCAACGGATATATCTGTAGCAGGGTCAGCATCAGGCCGCTCGAGACGCCACGCAAACCCTCACGCTGAAACACGTTCTTCACGCCCGACAACGCACTCAGCTTGCCCGCATCACTGCCCGGATCGGCGGCCACCACCCGGGTGCGCACCACATCGAACGGATGAGCCGCCAAGGTGCCAATGCAACCGGCCATTCCGCCGCACATGAAGTAGCTAAAATTCGGATGCCTCTGGAAGAAGGAGTACTGGGAGGCAGCGCGGCGCAACTGCTCATATGACCAGAACTGGACCAGAGCATAGGTGATGCTCATTGTCTGAGCGGATATGTGACCCTTCCAAATGCCGCGTAGCCCCTCCTCGCGATATATGACGGAGAAGGCGTCCAGCATGCCACTATATTTGGAAATGATTGATCTCTTTTCTAACGGCTCCACCTGCAATTGAAATCGTATCTTCAGCACATCGAACGGATGCGTCAAGAAACGCGTCATTCCCCCAGAAATTCCACCTCCCAATGCCTGCAGCATTTGTACAAGTGGCGAGTTATGCGAGGACATCTATGAAAATGATTTATGATTTCAATTTAAAATTATCTTACTCAAATAACTAGTGAAGAGTTATGTGTGGACATCTGTGAAAGCGATCTATAATTGCAATTTAAAATGAATTCACTCAAAAATATCTATGCTGTCTCTAATTGTTGCTAAAAATAGCAAATGGAAAAAGAAAATGTAGGTCAGCAATATATTAAAGTTAGCACTATTTTCGAGGCTAAATGAACCAACAATTAATTTTAACCCTGTACTGGACATGTTAGTTAACCTTTACCATTATCCTTTTGTCGCTCGCTTTCAGTTGCCAAACACCAAGTCGTTGCCTACACGCAAAAGTCGCAGGTCAAACACGAAAATCGGCATATTCAGTTGGTGCGCGAATATGGCTTTCATCCGCGCACCAAGGCCTCCGTGGAGGATGGCGACGTCTTGCCCCGTAAATTTGAGCCTTTTCCGGAGGACATGTACGGCAAGCCGCTTGAGGAGATTGACACCTTTATATACGAAGAGGTAAGCAATGCAACCACCCCAAGACAAAAAAATAGCCACCCATCTACCATTCATATGCATATTAGCGTGGCAACTCAATTGCACAGCTTAAGCGACAAAAGCAAACAAACAAACAACAACAATAACAGCAGCAAAATGCTGCATTTGGCCCATTGCCATTTTTCCATTTCCATTCGTTTTAATTAATAAGTCACACAGAGTGTTTTGTGTGTGCCAGTTTAAAACACGCCCCACTCCTCCCCACTCTCGTCACTCCCCACTCCGAAAACCAAACCCATTCAGAGTGTGCAGCAAGTGGCACAGGCGGAAATGGAACGCGCTGCTCGCGCTGACGTCGATTGTTGCTGCTGTTGTTGTTGTTGTTGTCGCAAGTGCAAATGCAACGACTTAATGAAAATGAATGCACTTTTGATGCCAAAGCTGAGGTTAATGGAAATGCGAAAAGTTAGAAGAGACCTCTTTGTCCACCACTTGACAGGCCAAATGCGGCACGGATATCAGAGAAAAGTGAGAGTAAATTTAGCAGAGCCACAAAAAGAGTGACACTAACTACAAACACAAATACAACTAGTATAACTGTACATGTACACACACACACACACATACGGACAAATTAAATACATTGCGGCAGGGAAATGGGTCATGCAGCGTTTGCCGTTGGAAAAGGACCGAAAAGGCAAAGCAATGTGACAAGAGTATTTACGTGTAGCGACGGTCGCCTTAAATAAACTACTGCCACCCATCGCCGTTGGGTGGCGCTGCTGCTGCTGCAGCAGCCAGAGCTGGACAAATTATAGACGAACATGCAAGTTTACTCAAGACTTGGCGGCCAGAATAACAATACATACATACAGAACACACTCACACTCATAATACTCATACGCTTATATGCCGTGGCCAAATATTTTCAGTTAACTTTCGGTCAGAGTTTGAGTTGGGTCGAGCTGCCAACGGTAAACGTGCATTCAAATGGACAAGCCACGCCATAGTATCAGGGCTGCCGTAAATGTAACGAAATGTTGCCAGACATTTGCACGCACGCATGCATGGCAACGCCATCAAACATACAATTTGTGTGTACGTGTGCGGTCGTTTGTGTGTGTGTGTGTGTGTGCGTGTGACAAATGTGGGCAAAGCAAGCTCTGGCAACGGAAAATCAAAGTGCTTAATGGCATTTAATGGCACATACTTTAAGCCGGCCCAGAAGTGCAAACATCTGTGGCGACAACTACCACTACAACGACATCAGCAGCAGCAGCAGCATGTTGTCACAGACTCGAGATAAGACGGCCGCATGTTTGCCAAAATGTTCTCTAAATGCAAAACTGAAATTTCCATTTCTACATCGTTACAAGAGCTAACACAATTTTTCATTTTGCCCACTTAAAATACACTCGCTTTTTCTTAAGCTCTCGTGTTTAACTCAAACACACACAAGCACACCAATACACATGCATAGTGGACCGCAAAAGCACATGCAAATTTACAAAGCACACACACACAGCGTATAAAGAGTGCAGGGGAAAAGGAGGGGAGGGAAATGGCCAAAACTGCCACCCAATTGTAATTTGTGCTTGTTACATTAAAATTTCTGCTTACTCGGCTGAACGACATTTATGTGTAACAAACGACCTTGTGGGCGAAGAGGGGTTTGGACAGGCTGTCATTTATCCTTTGTCAAGCTTAACGAGGGTGGGTGCATTGCAGAAATCACAGTGCTAATGAACCACAACCAGCCACTTGGGGATCGCCTTCGCCTCTGCCAGCAAATCAATAGGTCCAACTCCCAGCAGATTGTACAATTTGCCTAATTAACTGACCACCTCTCACATCGATAGATATACTCACAGCAGTGGTTTTCCGCTTATTCTATTTCCAAACTCAAAAAGAGTTGCAGTTTCTGTGAGCGGGCGGGGGAGGTGGATACCCACTTAACACGACAAGTACTTCCGCAGAAATGCTGACAATCTGTCTAAATAAATCAAATCAAATACACATAGTGGCCTGGGCACACTAATACTTCCGTTTGCAGTTGCGGCAACTCCGATTCTGCTCAGACGCAGGCATGCACAACAGCAAGCACGGGTCACACTCATGAGTGAGTGGGGTTATGTTGAGAAAAAGCACGCTTGAATATTTTTTCTTTCGTTTTTTCCTTTCTTTTTACTGTCCGTTTTGGTAATTTAACACAGGTTTATGTTTTTTTTTGTGGAACAATTGTAAACCAGCAATTTATTTAAGTATTTTCAAATGGAAATTTCAAAGTGAATTTGTTGTAAAGCACATTTATTTTCTGGTTTCGAAAACACATTTTGCAAATTACTTTCGGGCTTCGAGTTGCCCAGTCGGCATTCAATTTTTGTACGTCAATAGGGGTTCCTGCGGCAGCAAGAGAAAAAACGCAGTATTAGTATCGATCGATAGCACTCGTTTGCTGCTGGGGCTCCGCTGGCGGAGTACTTACCACGAAAATGGGCAATGGCGATGCGATTACTTGGACCTTGCACGCATCTTCCTGCGCTTACGCTTCAACCTACGCATACGCTTCTTACGCCACTGTAATTACACAAAAACATACACTCGTATTACAATCAATTGCTTATTAAATATTTAAAACACTTTTCATTTTTTTTTGCAACGGATGTGGTAGTGGGAAAGTATTTTTACCTTAGCTCTCATTTTTCTTCTGTTTTCGAAGACGGTCAGAGAACGAAAGAACGATGGGCAAACGGAAGTTTAGCTGGCAGCTTCGCGTGGCTGGTTTTGACATTTCCAAAGTATCGATAAGTCAGACAGCGATTTGGCATCGAGTAGCAATGTTAAATGCGGAGCAATTCTGCAAAGTGGGGAGCAATGCTGTTAATAAGCAACTCTGGTTCTTAAGCTATCAATGCTCATGTTAACCTGTTGCTATTCTGTTAAGTCGACGATTACACTGAAATCAACCCTAAGTCGGCGCCAAAATTTGATTCAAAGAAGCTGAAAATGTTTGATAACTCTTATTTTGCAGACTTTCTGTGTGGTGTCAAAGCGATTCCGCAAGAATTACATACATCGCTTCACGGGCACCCAGAGCCTCTTCCTCTTCCATCCATGGAGTCCATGGCGACGCGTTTGTGTCTACATTGCAACGAATCAATTCTTCGATTACTGCGTCATGGCAACAATTCTATTCAATTGCATTTTCCTAGCCATGACCGAAACAGTGGAGGAAGCTGAGTAAGTCTCAAATTATATTCATATTTCTAATTATATGTATATGCATGTATTTATTTATATTTCAGATATATCTTCCTGGCCATTTACTCAATCGAAATGGTTATAAAAATCATTGCCAAAGGCTTTTTGCTCAACAAGTACACGTATCTGCGCAATCCGTGGAATTGGCTGGACTTCGTGGTGATAACTAGTGGATATGCGACAATTGGCATGGAGGTCGGCAATTTGGCCGGCTTGCGCACATTTCGAGTGTTGCGCGCATTAAAAACTGTTTCCATTATGCCCGGCCTGAAGACGATTATCAATGCATTGCTGCACTCGTTTCGCCAACTGGCCGAGGTCATGACCCTGACCATCTTCTGCCTGATGGTCTTTGCCTTGTTCGCGCTGCAGGTTTACATGGGCGAGCTGCGCAACAAGTGCGTGCGGAATGTGCCCGCCGATTGGACCAACATATCGCATCTGGATTGGCAAATGTAAGCCACAAGAGAATATAGATAGTTCTGTTTGTACAACTTTCGCATGTTTCAGTTGGGTCAACGATACGGACAACTGGCTGTATGACGAGGATGAGATGCCAATGCTCTGTGGCAATTTGACTGGTGCACGCCATTGTCCGTTCGGTTTTGTGTGCATCTGCGTTGGCGAGAATCCCAATCATGGCTACACGAACTTCGACAACTTCATGTGGTCCATGCTGACAACATTCCAACTGATTACGCTCGACTACTGGGAGAACGTATACAATATGGTGAGCCTAAACTCAATTAAATATCTATATTTACAAATTATAGTAATCTTACTTCATTTTGATAGGTGCTCGCTACTTGTGGTCCAATGAGTGTTTCATTTTTTACTGTGGTTGTGTTTTTTGGCTCATTCTACTTAATTAACCTAATGTTGGCTGTCGTCGCGCTCAGCTACGAGGAGGAGGCGGAAATAACAAATGAGGCGAGTACCACTCAATAATTGGTCAATCGCAGTTCTCGTTTTTAACTGCAATACGTGTTGTTTTAGGAGCGTAAAAAGGATCTGTTGGATCATCGGGATGATTCCACGTTCAGCTTTGATCCGTCCGTGTTGAACGTGAAAATGCTGAATAAGAACAACAAGAAGAAGATTGATTCACGCAAGGGTGTGCTCCTCGCCTCCTACAGCAAGAAGAAGACACGACGAAAAAAGACCAAAGGTGGCAAGGACAACACCAGTACCAATGGCAGCAATGGCAACGATCACGATAACGCTAAATCCCCGTCGGGCACGCCCAGCCCCAATCCAAGTCCGCGACACAGCAACACAGATCGTCCCTCGGCGCTGGCCCTGCAAGCGCAGAAGCAAATGGAGCAGCAACAGCAGCAGAAGCAACTCATCAAATCCGAAACGGCAGCGGCGGCGGAGGCGGCTACGTCGGAGCAGCAGCAGCAGGAACAGCAGCAAAAGACACGCATCAGCTTCAAGGAGGGTAATGTGAAGAATCCCAATATGCTGTATCCCTCGGACTACAAGGGTCAGCTCATAACGAGCAGCCGTCAGACGAGCTCCAATTCAAGTGGCGGCGTCAATCGTGAGTCCTCGCAGGATGATTCGGGCGTTGTCGATGATCACGAGGAACAGGACACCGGCAATGAAATGGGCCATGTCTCAACTGTGGAGCTGGCCTTGTCACCGCGCGAAGTTCGCCTCATCAAATGCAATGGGAATATAGCGCGCATCAAGAACCACAATGTCTATGCGCTGCATCAGGAGTTCTCCTCGGAGGTCGTCGTCATTGGTAAACACATACATATAATAACCAACTGCTGTACATATGTATACGTATATAAATGTCTCTATTCGCAGATGATCTGCCCGATCGTAATTGTGATCGCTGCGTGCACTGCTGTGCGGATTATGAGAGCTGGCTGCAGTTCCAGAACTGTCTTTATAAGGTGGTGCGCGACCCACTCTTCGAGCTGGCCATAACGCTGTGCATTGTGCTGAACACTGCGTTTCTGGCCATGGAGCATCACGGCATGAGCGAGAGCTTTCGCAATGCTCTCGATGTGGGCAACAAGGTGGGCGACAAGCTTCATTAACAGCTGAAATGTATTATTCAATTATTTTATATAATTTGCTCATTTTAGGTCTTTACGTCCATTTTCACGTTCGAGTGCATTGTCAAACTGATGGCGCTGTCGAAGGACTTCTTTCTGTGCGGCTGGAACATATTTGATCTGATTATTGTCACTGCCAGCCTGCTGGACATCATCTTTGAGCTTGTCGATGGCCTTAGCGTGCTGCGCGGTCTGCGCTTGGTCAGTCTTTGACTTTATTTTCGCTATCAGCTATGCAGTTTCTCATTTGTCTCGCTTGCCATTTGTAGTTGCGTGTTTTGAAGCTGGCACAGTCTTGGACGACGATGAAGGTGCTGTTGAGCATCATAATATCGACAATTGGTGCGCTCGGCAACCTCACGTTGATCCTCGTCATAGTCATTTACATATTCGCTGTGATCGGCATGCAATTGTTCTCCAAGGACTACACGCCCGAAAAGTTCGATCCAGATCCAGTGCCAAGGCAAGCAACCTCCTAAATATAATCAGTTTATTCGTGATTGTGATTGATAATAATTTCTTTGTGCAGATGGAATTTCAATGATTTCTTTCACTCATTCATGATGATTTTTCGCATATTGTGTGGCGAATGGATTGAACCCCTCTGGGATTGCATGCGTGCCGAAGAAGAGGTAAATGACAATTTGTATTTATCACACCTAAATACCAAATACCAAATACTTATATGTTAATTAATTCATTTTGCAGCAAGGCGCATCGACATGCTTTGCCATATTTCTGCCCACCTTGGTAATGGGAAATTTCATGGTTTTAAACTTGTTCTTGGCCCTGTTGCTCAACAGTTTCAATTCCGAGGAGCTCAAGTCAAAGAAAGAGGCAAGTCCGATGCGTTTTCCAGTTGCAAATATTTTGATCACAATCGTTACGTGAATGTATCTTTGTCTATCCGTAAATGTGTATGTGTGTGCAAGCATCAATGTTAAACCACTTAAACAAAGCCAAACTAAAACTTCAAAGTCCTCGAGGACAAGCATTGCTTGTCTTAAAAATCCAAATCATAAATTGTTTACGAACAACATATTTATACAATTTAGCATATACTCTATATGGTGTTTAGACGAATTTGCATTGCACTTGTATGCGTGTTTTTGGGTGTAAACGCGTATCTATATATTCCTAGCCTTAAATATTGAACTCACACACACAACAAACACATCAGCATAAGAATTGAAAACAATTGAATCATACACAAAAAGAAATGTAAAGCACTTTTCTACAAAAAAGGTGTAACATACACAAAGTACACATAATTTATTAAATTAACTGCCTAAATTTGCATACACAAAAAAAAAAACAACATCTAAACTATTATTGTAATTGTTAACCAATTAATTTATTTTTAAATACTGCGCTCAGATATTTAAAGATCGTTTTATGCCAGTTGCTAAATTTCGGCCCTGTCGAAATTTTGTATTTTCATTGTGGTATTTATTTAACGTATGTCTTTTATGCATTTCTTACAACCCTGTTTAAGTCTCAGTGTCTAAGTCTTGATATTTATGTGATAATCTATCTGTTTGCACTATATCTACTTGAATTAACCAAATACTTCTGTTCGTCAACTTTGCACAATGCGTTTAACCTTTTAACTACTTAAAACACACACAACAAAATACACTTAAAAATACCAAAAACAAAAAAAAACTAAATATAACCCCGACAAATACCAATATTTAAATACAAAAAAATACCGTTAAACAGATTTTCAAGAAAAAGGTAATTTTTCCAAGCTCAACCTTTAAAAATGTTTTAACTAATCGTTTGCTTTATTATTTTTGTTTCCGAAAAAAAACCTAATCTAAATAAAAATTTAAAAAGCCCTGTGTATATAATACCTCAAATGTATACCAATTATTAACACTATATCTGTAAAATATTGCAATATTTTGTGTTTCTAAGTGTTTAGCTTTTTGCTGTTAGATTGTATATTGCATTGGATAACCGATTAAATATGTGTGTAAACTTAAAAAAAAGCCCAAAAACAAAAGAAGAATAAAATAATTAGTAGCAAATTCTTTAGTTTTTTTCAAGACCAAACCTTTGCAATCGTTTCGCTAATTTGAAGTCTTTTTTTATGTAGGAGGTGGGCGAGGAGTCAAAGCTGGCACGCAGCATAGAAAGGGTGCGTGATTTGATACGGAAGAAGCGGCAGGAGCGCAAGGATCGGAAGGAGCGCAAATATGCGGAAAAGTTTCAGCAAATTGTGCTCGAGGCGCAGCAGGCGCATGCGACCAGTGTGGCGGCCAGGGAATTGGATAAGCCCAACTTGCTGGCGGAAACAAAGTTCCATAGATTAAGCTATCAGGTGAGTGCTTAACTTAACTTAACACAACCATCAACTCAACTTAATGCGATGATAATTTACAGGAATCTATGAACCGCCCAGTTTCCGGTTCCGATTTCGGCTTTCAAATTCCGCTCAGCGATGGCCTCCACACCATAGTCGATGGCCTGGAGTACGATGAGTCGTCAGAGCCGGCATCCGAGCAACAGCAGCAGCAGCAGATGCAGCAGCAACAGCCATCGTCCGACTGTCTGCCGCCCACATACGAGTGCGCCATGCTGACTGCCTCGAGCATAGAGAACAATGGCTGTGAGAACAATCTGTCGCCTTTGGGGCCGACGGAGCGCAGCAGCCGATTGCAGCATCAGATCTCGTCTGGCGTGGGCACTCAGCAGAATGACTCACGGGATGAGGCCACCTACACGGAGTCGATCGAGCTGCGACTGCTGGGCCAGTACAACTCGACGGATACGGATCCGTATGCTTATGCGCCGGATCAGCGCAGTGGGTCCTTTGCGCGTGGCGATTCGCTGCAGGACACCGACGAGGCATATCTCAAGTACCAAAAGTCTTTGTTAACACGCTCGCCCAGCTATCGTAAATCCCTGGATCGCCTGTCGCAGTCCAGTGGACAGTCACAGCGTTCGCTTCTCCCCTCGCGCAGCCTCAAGTCCGAGGAGAGTGCCATGCGGCGACATTCGAGCGGGCTTTCACTGAACTCCATATCCTTGGAGCAGGATGAGCTGCTATCACAGCAGGCGAATCTGCGCGAGGAGCTGCTCAATTGCGATCAGAAAGAGCTGTTTCAGTTTCTGCAAGAGGACGAGGAGCTGCTGGGCATGGCGCGCCGGGAGAAGAAGCCAACGACGAGCAGCATCAAATCGAATCTCAGCTACATTTCCAATTCCATAATGCAAACGCTCGATTCGCGGCACAGCGGCAGCCACTCCAGCCATGGTATTGGGCAGCAGGAGAGCGAGCCCCTGATGGAGCACTCCGAATTTGACAATATCATACAGAGTTTCGAAAAGGAGCTGGAGGAGATTAAGCGCTCTACTAGCTCACTGGAGCGGAAAATCTCAACGCTTTCGGAACCCTCACCCGCTGCCGATGAGGCGACCAAAGCTATCATGGATCACATTGCTATCATTACAGGCGCCTCGGAGCGCACAACGGCCGATGAGGTTGTGCATCCACTGAATCCCTACGATAGCTACGATCTGTCCAGTGTGCCGCGACGCTCGCAATCCGTCAGCGCCGCCGCCCAGCGTCAGTCCGTCAAGCTGAAGCGTCGCAGCTTGGAGAAGCAGCGCAAGATCGACGAGGACTTTAGCATATCGAATGAAATACGCAAAATCTGTGATCAAATCCACGCACCCTTCGCCGCCATGGAAGCGCTTGCCGTTGCAGCGACCACCAGTGCCACTGGTGGCAACCAATCACCGTTTATGCGTCGCAAACACGATCCGTTTAGCGTGCAATTCGATCGCTTCAAGCGACTCTCGCTGATCGAGCGCGTCGAGGAGCTGCCCGAGGAGGATAAGCCGATATCGACGCTGCGCATCGAGTCAGAGAAGATGCCGCGCAAGTTTCTCAACAATGACAAGCTGCGCATGGACAGCCTCTCATTGAAGAGCACCAATTCGTATGAGAATCTGCTCATACAGAAACAGTTGTGCCGCGATGCTGGCCACCATCCAATGGTAATGGGTGTGCCGGCCACACCGCCGACATCCCTCAAATCGAGCATTGAGCCACCAACACTGGCGCAAATTTCATCGCTAAAGGCAACACCGCCGCTGGCTGCCCTAACGGAGCATCAGCAGCATTATCATGCCACTAGCATACAGACCACCCAACAAACAATGCACCCAACGGCTGTGGGCGCGGCGTCGGCCAAGCGCCGCGCCGAGCATCCACAATCGACACTAGACAAAGCCGCTTCCTTTCAATCGGCACGCACCGAATCGCACAGTTCGGGCGTCGCCGATAATAGCTCGGTCCTGGCTTTGGGGCATGCCGGCAATCGGTCCCTGTCCAATGGCCATCATGATCGCGCCAGCGACAAGACTGACCCGACAGCCAATGCAACAGCAACAGCAACAAATGCAACAACAAAGCCGTCGGCGTTTTCACGACTGACCGAAAAACCATGGCATTGTCTGGTTTCCTACGTAGACGATCTCACTGTCGGTGGGAGACGTAACTCGCAGGGTGCCTACAATGATCCCATGACTTTTCCGAGCTACGGCGAGGCAAAGCCGCCAAAAGTGCCGGACGATTGCTTCCCACAGAAGTGCTACGAGCAGTAAGTAATTACGAAAAATATATATAAATATCACTGCTTTGCTCTGTGAAAATATTATATTCAAGTCAAACCTATCAGTTTTTCTCATTTTCATAAAAAATCGATGAAACGTTTTAATGATATATTTGAAATACAACTTGTTTGATTTGAGCCTGAAGTCGATATTTGAATAAGTAGGTTGGAATTAAATAAATTAAATTATATTATACTTAGTTAAAACGCAAAGAATAACACTTGTTGAATATGCGTTAAAAACATAACATTTGCATGATTATTTCAGTTTCTATTTTCGATGTCCTTGGTTCATGTCCTGCATGGACACGCCGAGTGCCAAGCACTGGACGCGCGTAAGGACGGCTGTCTTGGCGGTTGTCGATACTCCAGCCTTTGAGTGGTTTGTGCTAGTGCTGATCTTTGCGTCGAGTATTACGCTCTGTTTCGAGGATATCTACTTGGATAGCAATAAGACGCTCAAGCGTGTGCTCTACTGGACCAACTTCTCCTTCTGCCTGATCTTTGTCGTTGAAATGGTACTCAAATGGCTGGCGTTGGGCTTCTCCAAATATTTCACCAGCTTTTGGACCATACTCGATTTTATCATAGTGTTTGTAAGTACTGCATATCGTTTATCAGAGATACAGATAAATACGTGTTTTATTTGTTTATGATGCGTTTAGGTCTCTGTTTTCTCGCTGCTTATTGAGGAGAATGAGAATCTGAAGGTCTTGCGCTCATTGCGCACCCTGCGAGCATTGCGTCCGTTGAGAGCCATCTCTAGGTAAGTTAGCCGACCTGGATGTGTATATTAGGGTGCACCAACTACTACTACTACTACTACTACTACTGCTTGCCTTGTGAGAGTTCTATCTAATGCTTAACTACTGCAGTGTCTAATTCAACTAATGAAGTAAACCCTATCTACGTAGGTCTCAACTTTCTTACATGCATTTATCTTATTTCTTTAACAAACATGAAACAAAAAACAACAACAACAAAAACAAAAAAAAAAGAAGAAAAACAACAAATTGGCATTTGCGTTGCCAGAGCTGTGCAGTGTTTAATACAATCTCGTCTTCTTTATGAATTTCGAATAGAAATCTATTTGTGTCCATATTGCATCGCCATGTCCTCAACTTGTGTACATAGTACTCTATATACATATATAGTTACTTACTTCTTACCTATCCATTTAATCGTTGTAAATAAGCAGTTATCTTCAATTATATAAATATATATGTATATATATAAAAAGTGTAGTAATTATAGCAGACGAGAAACGAAACTTATATATCAATAATCAATGTTCGCACAATCCAAATAATAATCGGCTAATCGTTTTGTAGTTTTTATTTTTTCAAAATGCCCATCCCGTAAATATTAGCATTTCATGTTACATTTCTATTCCAGGTGGCAAGGAATGCGGATTGTAGTAAATGCTCTCATGTATGCAATACCATCAATTTTCAATGTGCTTTTGGTTTGTTTAGTTTTTTGGTTGATTTTCTCAATAATGGGTGTGCAATTCTTTGGTGGTAAATTTTTCAAATGCATCAATGAATTGGGCGAGTTGCTGCCAATTACTGTAAGTATGCCAAGAAAACCATAAAAAAAAAGAAAGAAAAATAGCATCTCTATTAGAAACCTCTCAATTTGACTTGAATTAATATACGTTTTGTTAATTTTACAGGAAGTAAACGATAAATGGGATTGCATTGAGCAGAACTACACGTGGATCAACTCGAAGATCACCTTCGATCATGTGGGCATGGGCTATCTGGCGCTGCTCCAAGTGGCCACCTTTGAGGGCTGGATGGAGGTGATGGCGGATGCTGTGGATGCCCGTGGCGTTGATCTCCAGCCGCAGCGGGAGGCCAATTTATATGCGTATATTTATTTTGTTATATTTATTGTGTGCGGATCGTTCTTTACACTCAATCTATTCATTGGAGTTATCATTGATAATTTCAATATGCTCAAGAAGAAGGTAAGAAAGTTGGCCTAAGCCGACAGACCATACCATACAGGTTCAAATTCACAATACGTATTTGTATATAACGCAACTCCTGAAAACCTAATCCCAACAACCCCATTGGACACCTCACCAAAAACTGTACAGGGCAATATCCCCTATCCAAATTGTGTTGTTGTTATTTTGTTATCGATGTTACATAAACATAGTGTGTATTGTGTGCTATATGTTCTGGTTCATTTTCCTCCTATTATCTACTTAAGTGTATTGTATGTATTTGTATATATAAATAAATGTTCATTCTATTCTCATCACTTTTATAGTATGAAGGAGGAGTGTTGGAAATGTTTCTCACCGAATCTCAAAAACATTATTACACCGCTATGAAAAAATTGGGACGAAAGAAACCACAGAAAGTTATTAAGCGACCTATAAATCATTTTTTAGCTATGTTTTATGATTTATCCAATTCGAGAAGGTAAACAAACGAAACGCTTCTGCAAAATCAGCAAATTGCTTAACTATATACTTCTATGTATAATTATATATAGTTTTAATTATATACTTACTTACTTACTGTTAGTCCTTTAACATACTACTATTATAATACTCTCTGGTTAGGCACACAGACATCTCTAACTACTCTAACTCTACTACTACTACTACTACCACTACTATTGTAACATTTTTGATTTGGTGATAAAATTCATTTGAACACTTCACATTCTCTGCATTTGATGATATTTCGAAGGCTGATTTGTTGGCTACTTCTTTAACAACGGAAAGAAGTTGCACAAACGCCGTCAGCAATGCAATTTTCCAACTTTTCCAATCCGATGTTCTTAGATGTTTTAGAGCACCCATTATGAATATATACATATCTAAATTTCTAATCTAAAATCTAATGCATATCAATTCTTATTATCCAACGCACTTCCCAAGTGTGGGCATGCTCTATAAAGAAAACTAATTAGCTACAGATTAAGTTTAGATAAATGGGGTGGATTAATATTTGTGTAACTAATTAAATATATTTTAAGCATGTATATAAACTAGCTTTAGTTTTACTGTATGCTACTCAAATATACATACATATATATTATACATAGTATATTAATAAATTTGTAGCCATAGTTTTGAGCAGCATCTGCACTTCGGCACGCACGAAGTTAGTGTCTTTATTCCTTTCTTAACCAATATCCGTTTATAATTTCATATACTTTGGTGTTTGTGTCTGCCATTAACTCCACCATGTATACGAATCGCCATCGATCATACTATGCAGATTCGAAATTGCGATATTTGTACTGATTTTTCTAAATATGCTTACCATGGGCATTGAGCACTACGATCAGCCGCATGCCGTATTTTTTATACTGGAAGTAAGCAATGCATTTTTCACCACTGTCTTTGGACTCGGTAAGTAAATTTGAATTTATCCACAATCTTGTAATACCCATGCAGAAAGTATTTTAGCTTTGAAATGAATGAGATATTAGCGACCCCAAAAAATATATGTATTCCTGCTCAACAGAAATGAATGAGTAAATGAAGCCATGTCCGCCTGTCTGTTTGTTTATATGCCGAACTCCTGGACACAAACCAGATGAGTTGGGACCAGTTGAGTTTCGATCTGCAAGGGTATATCATTTTCGGCTTGCCGAGAATAGCTGCTCGATCTTAGAGTACATTTACTAATTTGATATATTTTCACAGAGGCCATTGTAAAGATTGTGGGACTGCGCTATCATTACTTCACGGTACCGTGGAATGTCTTTGACTTCCTGCTGGTGCTGGCCTCCATCTTTGGCATACTTATGGAGGACATAATGATCGATTTGCCCATAAGTCCGACGCTGCTGCGTGTGGTGCGTGTCTTTCGCATTGGACGCATCCTGCGGCTCATCAAAGCAGCCAAGGGCATACGCAAGCTGCTTTTTGCCTTGGTCGTCTCGCTGCCAGCGCTATTTAACATTGGCGCCCTGCTCGGTCTGATTACATTCATCTATGCGATACTGGGCATGTCGCTCTTTGGGCATGTTAAGCTACAGGGCGCACTTGATGACATGGTAAACTTTCAGACGTTTGGGCGCAGTATGCAGCTGCTGTTTCGTCTGATGACGTCGGCAGGCTGGAACGATGTGCTGGAATCGCTGATGATACAACCGCCGGATTGTGATCCGTTCTTCAATCGTCAGGCGAACGGCGATTGCGGCCATCCGCTGCTGGCGATCACCTACTTTACGAGCTTCATTATAATCAGTTATATGATTGTGATTAACATGTACATTGCCATCATCCTGGAGAACTTTAATCAGGCGCACCAGGAGGAGGAGATTGGCATTGTTGAAGATGATTTGGAAATGTTTTACATACGTTGGTCCAAGTAGGTTCTTAGCGAAAGCCCCGATAAAGAACGAGAATCGAATTGAATAGTGCGAATGGTTTAACTTGATGTTTAATTGATTTCGTTGCAGATATGATCCACATGCCACCCAGTTTATACACTTCTCGCAACTGTCCGATTTTATTGCCTCTCTCGATCCACCATTGGGCATCTCGAAGCCCAATAATGTCGCGTTAGTGTCATTTAATCTGCCCATCTCTAAGGGCAATAAAATACACTGTCTTGACATTTTGCACGCGCTAGTTAAGCACGTGCTAGGTCATGTCGAGGAGACCGATAACTTCAAACAGTTGCAGGAACAAATGGATGTCAAGTTCAAGAAACAGTTTCCAACGCGCAAAGAATTGGAAATTGTTTCGTCGACGCGGATCTGGAAGCGCCAGGAAAAGGCGGCCAAGACCATACAGACCGGTTGGAAGGACTATTTGCGGTACTAACAACAGCACCCTATCAAAAACATTTTATCTCAATCTCAATCTAAATTCAATTTAATTTATTAAAATGATTTCATTGCTATTTCACAGACGCAAGCAGGAAAAAGAACGCTCCAATTCCGGCGACAGTGCAACGCAGCATTCTAGTCCCGGCGGCTGGCAGTCGAAACTCTCCGCACTCAATTTCTTCCATCTGCAGGTGAGTAAAAGAATTGTAGCAAACAGAGAATTCCATTTGATTCCACGTGTACTGTCCGACACAGGTGAGCCGTCGAGGCACTGCCTGCTCCAGTCGCGCCTCCTCGCGGAAATCTTCACGCGCCTCCGATGCCTCCGATCTCAGCGAGCTGGCCGGGCCCTGGTTAAATCTTCCGCTAATGCTTGTCTCTGGCGCCGATGATGTGGTCAGGGATATCAAGCAGCAGAGCGACGAAATGGGCAAACGGTAGTTAATCTTGTGCTTTACACTCAGACACACGTACACACACAGAAAAACACACATGCAGACACATATATATCTATATGTATATGTGTATATATATATATATATGTATATATATCATATACGTGATTCGAAATGCAATTTTTAGACGAAAGGCTTTCACAATCATGAACAGCAACAGTAAAACAGCAAACAGCAAAACAGCAAACAGCAAAAACAGCAACATTGATAAAAATCTAACGTATTTTGTGTTCCACAATATATGAAACTTGAGCCCTATTTTTAGCATATCCTCTTGTATCTCCCTAAACTATGAGTCCTTGCTCGCAGAAATGGTCACAGCCGTTTTAAGAAGTGGCTCCCAGCCTAGTGGCTTGAATTACTTAGGTAAAGGCAATGCTCATACCAGTTAGCTAAACAACCAAACAACAACAATTACTACAGTTACAAATAGCAATCTCTCAACTTTGTTTTTAGTTCTCTTCAATAACTCGCCGCCACCAGATCACTCATATTTACTCAATATATATATATATATTTATAATATATTTATATTTAAAACTACCCAATATACGTACAAGTCGACTTATAACTAATTTCAACATCTATATCGCTCCTCATTCAGCAAAGCAAATCCAAACCAATATCTAAATCAGTATTACAAATAAAAAAGTCTCATTTGCTACAAATGCTCTATTGTAACTCTACTCTAAACAACAACTACAACCTATTTGCAGTTCTAAAAACGTATTCAGTAAAATGAGATTATGAAATTATCATTTGTAAGTAGTGCTCTATCCGAAAAAAACAAAAAAAAAATAACAAAAAATCAAAACATTGACTATCTCTGAAACAAAAACTCGTTAATCACCGAATGCGTAATTTTAGTTGATTATCTTCTAAGTTGCTTAGCCGCTGCCTGCCCTTTGCGATCTATCACGATTATCATTATATCTTTTATAGTTTCCGTAGCATTACCATACAACTCTATCCTATGCCTTCAAAAGTACACCTAGCCCCGAAATTCGGTATCTATCTGAACAGCGATCTTAAAAGTACAGCTCTTTGAATATCGCTGCCAAAAGTCAAAAATGAAAAAAAAAGAAAAAATATGCAAAATCTCGGGGAACTCCTCTACATAATATAATCAATAATCGTACCTACTTACACTTACATACCTGTATTATAACAATGTACAGCTTTATTAAATTGCAGCTTTTTTGTACAGTTCTATGACAACTTGAATCCGTAATTTCGTCAAAAAATTGCAGAGCTAATATTAACCGTACAGAAAATTGATAACAAAAAGTATCTGTATCTATTATCTGTCTTAATTATCTAACATTCTACAGTTTCTATTACGAATGAACATCAATAAAAATTTATGTATGTGTTTTTTCGATTATTATTATTTCTATTACTATCATTAGCGGTAGCATATTTGTGGAAGCGCCTAGAGCAAGTCGTCGCCGAAGCTTTTATAATTTCTTTTTGCGTCATCAGGATGCTGTCGATGACAGCTTAACCTCACCTTCAGTACATAGAAAAAGTAATTATTGACAAGTGCCTAAATCACAGCCTCAATCCACTCAATCAATATCTCACTATCAATCAATATCAATATCAATATCAATATGTATGTGTTTATGTATATAATCTTGTACATAGCCAACACCACCATAGATCGCACCAACAATTATCTATTAATATATTCTATACTCACATACATAAAAACAAGTACCAAGTATATATGTATATCAATATATGTATGTATATGTACATATATCATTATTCTCATGTGGCTTTTAACTCTCTGTCTCTCTCTCACTCTCAATATATATATATATGTATATATATATATATCGTTCTCAATCTCTCGATCTCTAACTCAGTTTTTATCATTGTGATACAATAATCGCACATCAAACGTTGCTTTTGCCAATCAATAATCATCGATGTACAGACACACGCAATTTATTATTAATCGTTTACTTCATGACATACTCTTTGTGTACTTACTATTTACTAATACTCTACTACTCTTTACTAATACCTACTACTACTACTACTACCATTTACTAATCACTCTTTACCTGATATTTAACTGTTAACTATAACTGACTGATTACTGGACTTAGTGAGGATTTATTGAATACTTGCTTATTTCTTACTACTTACTTTTAACTTGCTACTTACTGACTACATACCACGAACTTAATACTACTTACTTACTTATTGCTTACTACCTACTATTTATCACTTTATTAATTGCTAGTTATTTATGGTTTACTCTCTACTTGCTGACTACTGACAGTTTACTTACTAACTGGTAATTGACTACTACTTACAGACTACTTTCTTACCCCTATCTATAACCTGTGATCTTTAACCTTTTTCACACGACCTTCGTAATTTTGAGCTAATCACGACCGTTTGACACTAATGCGTGCATTTCACCCACTAACAGCTGCAATGAACACCAACACAACAACCTCAACCTCCACCTCCGCCTCTGCCTCCGTCTCTGCTAGCGCCACCAACGTTGAAAGTGACAAGCAAGCGCAACACCAACAACAGGTGGCACCAACTCCAACGCGTAAGCGCGCCTCTAGTTTTATTCGCAAAAAACCGCCCCTAGAAAGAGGTTTGTCAGCACAAAGCGCTTTAAGAGTTAACAAGAACGCTTTTGTCTGTATGTGTAAATCGTATTTAACCATCTCCCATGGAACAAATTCCCTAAAATGTTTGCCTTTTTTAAACGCTTGCAGCGGAGGGCCCGGCACCGGAGGTGATTGTGACGAAGCCATCACCGGATCAGCAAACGCATCCGCATGTACATGCACTCGGCCTACGACCGGACAATGCGACTCTGGTGCATGTCCTGGTGCATCGGGAGAGCGAGGAGTACAAGGATGAGGACGAGTCTAGTCCATCTTCGCCCGTTCATAGTTCGACAAACGGCAATGGCATGGATAAGCAGAGACCACCTCAAATACGCATCAGTTCGAGCTCATCTGAAATCGCCATGGACAGCTGTCTCTTGCCCACGGTGCAGATAATGGTCGATAGCCCAAAGGAGCCGCCAAGAGGCGATTTCAGCACTGACAGCGGCTTTCCAAATGCTGCCTATGCACCGACGACCGTCGATGTGGATGCGCCCATCGATGTTAATGTGCAGGGCGATACATCGCAAGTGTTCTACGACTACAATCCCGAGGAGTCTAATCTTGATAATACAAATGACATAGTCCCAATTGAAGAGCTGCCGCAATCGCTGTCAGAAGCTACTTCTGCCGCTGCTGCTGCTGCTGCAATCGATGAGCAGCAGAGATGACCTTCAGTCAATATGGGAACAGATGAGGAGCAGCACTCAACTAGTAGCAGCAGCAGCAGCAGCACTACGAGTAGATGCAGCAACAGAAGCAGCAGCAGCAGCACCTCATCTGCTAGCCAGTCAACTGGTGCCGCCAAGCAGCGTCCAAGTTGACAATCTCCAGTCTGAGAGCAATTTTCATGTGCATTTTTACGAGTACTTGTAATTGCTTAGACCTAGGCATGGGGCGATCGGTTCCCCTTTGTTATTATAGTCGATTAATTATATATACATAAATACTAGTCGCTTTATACGATACTTAAACGGAACTATCCAATGTTTACATCATTCTATATACATATATGGACACACATATAAATATATGTGTCTTGGCAACAGTGCGCTGTGCGTCCAGCTAAGTCTAGACTAGTCTTAGTGTTAGTGTTAGTGTTAGTCCTAGTTTAGTTTAGTTTAGTTTAATTTAGTTTACGAAATCAATATAAACTCTGTGTTAACAAAACGTGCATTAAATCGTACAGTACGTACACGTTGTAATACTCAAATCAAATCAAAACAAAAGGAATGAATACACTAACATTAGCATTAACATTAACATTAACATTAACAGTAACATTAACAGTAACTTTAACAATACCGATAAAATTAATATTAAATTGATTTATATATACGATGTAGTAATGTATAAATAGATACTAACTAAACGGTTGGTTTTACGCTAAGTCAGTCAGTCAATCAGTCAGTCAGTCAAGTAGAGCTATATCGAACGATTTTGAAGATATTTTGAAGGTTGTTTTAAATTATACAATACAATACGATGATACATACATACTTACAAACATAGATATATACATGCATTACATAATTGTAACTAACAATCGCGACGTAGATGATAATTATAGAGTTTGTTTTCTTCAATGCAATATATATGGACAACTATATATTTTGTACATATGCCAAAGGAAGTATTTTAAACTAAAGAAAGCTAATTATATACATACATACATACCTACTCATACAACATCCAAAATATATATTAAATTAGTTAGAGCAAATTAATTGAAATATTTATGAGAAAGAAGTGTTCCCAATTTTGTTTTACGTTCGATATATTTAATTACGAAAATACTATTACATTTACATGCTAGATTATATATGATAGCCGTACAGAACAAGTGCATTAAGTACAAAAGAGACGTATTAAACAGTAGATTTCAATACTTGCTCCTACTCTCATCATTTCTCAAATCAAGATTCAAATTTAAGAAGAAAAACTCAACAATTAAAGCCAAACCAAAAATGTCAAGTGATTTAAACATTCCAAGCAAAAACAAAATAAGCAATTGATATCAATTTAAATCATTTAATAGCTAAGGCCCAATCGGGTATTTATTTATACTACATACTTACACACTCAATACATAGAAAATACATATATAAACAGGAACACTTGTCTCTTAATAATTACTCTATAATACCTACTTACGTACCAACAAACAGACAGTTGAACCGAAGTCCTACCTAAGCAATGTGCATTGTGTACCAGTGAGAACTTTTATTATACGAACTTATTGCTAAATCGAATACTTACCAGACATAGGCATACAATGTTTTTATTTAGTCTAACTAATGTGAAATCAAAATTGCATCAATGCTCTTCTATACAAGCTTCCACAAACATTGATATACATATATACTTAAACTTACTTATATGATATTAAAAATATACTTATTACATTTGTATTCTATTTTAGGCTCTGGCCAAGTTTCTAAGAAACTTATTTGAAATAATTCTGTGAAAAATTGATTGTGTTAACTTAACTGCATGCAATCATATATTAAGTTTTAACATCGAACAACTTAACCGATATAACCGATAACACCCCTTCCTCCGCAGCAGTCCGTGCAACGCACACATTTTTACACTTTACACACTTCGACTCAACTTTCTAACTTAACAACAGACAATCAGAAGGCGATTGATAGTAAATTGAAATTATGGTACCAACTAATTCTTTTTATCCAAAAACAAAAACCAAAAAAACAAAAACCAAAACAAACAAAAACCAAAACCAAAACAAAAACAACAAAATGTACACACTTGTGATTTTAACTGCAATTTTTACACAACAACAACAACAACAAGAAGAAGGATCATCTTAAGAACATAACTTTTAATTAGAATTGTTAACAATTTGCTAAATGAATAAAATGTAATACAAATAAGTGAAAAATAAGCGAAAAACAAATGAATATTGAATACAGCAGACAGAAACCAAACACTCGTCAATTAAGTGATATTTATAATTGGTACATAGGCATAAAACATTTGCAAGGATTATTATACATGCATACTTACATATACTATATATTGTACTATAACGTAGGATTTACAATAGAACTCATACTCGATTTGTACATAATGAACGGATAGCAATATCATAACAAAAGAAAGCATCAATGGAGCTAAGCCGAAAGCGAAAGAACGTAAAGGAAATTTAAAGAAGCTTTAATTTTTAATTATGTCTTTAATAATAATCGCTTGCAAAAGAAATGTAAAATTATTTGATTAGGATGCATAACGAAGGCATTATTATCACTTCTATATTAAAATAACACAACATTTTATTTAGTCATAGAGTATAACGACAATAATTCGAATGAGGCATATATTAATTATAAACGCAACCTGTGCCAGGGGCCATAGCTTGAAAACCCAACAAATAATAACAAATGAAATAAAAAAAACCCCTACATAAAAGGCCACCCAACTAAAATGCGATCGCTTAACTACAGAACCTAGCAAAATTTCCTACTAGTACCAACAAAAAAAAGAAGAAAATAAATAAAATAAAAAACAAATCGAACGATGTACCAAAATGCAACAGAAACTGACACATGTAACAGAAAAAGAACAAATATAATAATACAGTCCTATGCATTTAACATAGCTCACAGCACCGCAGTGCAGCGGACCGAACCGGGTCTAATAAGAAATACAAATACAAATGCAAATGCAAAATATATACATTGAATACCTAAATAAATATGTATAGTTATAGTACAGATCTGTACAGTACAGCTGGTTTGATTAGGTATGCCTTACAGAATACACGATTTTATTTGTTGAATATTTACGCGTTGAGGTTCAATAAAGTTAACGTTTCATATATCAAACATAATTAAAAACAAAATATATAAAATGAAACCGACAAACAAATATTTATAATTATAATAAATAAGAAGAAATGGGCAAAGCATACAAATTGTTTAATATGCTCTGAAAACAATGTCAATTATTTTGATTTGCAGTTACAAAAATTGTAAAGCGAACAGTTTTTTGATATTAGAAATGCGTTTTTAGTCGTCGTCCTAACTAAACTATAATCAAATATTTACCTTAATAGATGCATAGCTTCAAATTATATTATTATAGTCATAGCTGCGCTCAAATTGCAACGGATCAAAGACAAATCAATGGCACAATCAACAAATATTTGTTAATTTCGATCTCTCTTTTGGAAACTTCATTATTAGCACATTATTATCGCAATTTTGTATAACATTAATTTTGATCATCGCTCGTTTGATTTAATTGGCCTTGTTAGCCGTTAGGCATTTTCTAAAACTCTCAGCAAGTTGTTAGGCCATGAAATTGATTTGATTTGATCCGATCCGCTCATAGCCAATCTAATTATATATAAGCTTGTGTATTAGATGGCCTACAATTGGCAGAGCTCCCAGTTAAAAATCATTGATGATAATATATATAATATATATATATATATAAATATATGTATATTGTGTCATATTGAACCGAATCATATCAAATCAAACAGAAAAAGGAACACAAAACGAAAAAAATAAGAAAACATAAATCTAACATTTGCAATAAAAAATATTTACTCGGGTACAAATGGTACAGTAATGATATTCGTTTATACAATATTTACTGTCTAAATATTATATAACCATTATACTTATACTAAATACTTATACGTATACTTATCAAAAGTCAAAATTTATTAACTGATGTCAAAAACCAATTTTAAACTGAACATTGAAATTATGTATTGCAAACACTTTTGGATAGCAGTGACCACTGTGCACATGCGTAAAAAAGATGTATATTATAGTATACATATGTATATATATATATACACATATATATATATATGTAAATGTATATAAATTAAGAACCAGAGAACTTGTTGAACATTGGGCGATAAATGGAAATGAAAAATGAATACATTAATAATTAAAGCAAACAAATTGTTTTCAGTTTTAGTTTCAATTGTATATAGTATATTGAAAAGATCGTACCTATTATAATAGTGATTATTTCCATTCAGTTAATAACTCTTAAGGGTTTTTGTTAAACTTAATTATATTTATATATTCGTATGTTAATAAAACAATTTCTGACTACAAAATAATAATAATGTAGATCAGTCTCGATCATGGGAAACATAAGGACGAAACAGGACTCGTTACAAATAGCTAGGAATAAATGCATAGATCTAACTAAATATATAAATACTGGTACTTCTCTACTACACATTTTAGTTAGTTGCGCTCTTGTAGCAAGTTCAGCAAGTGTTCCAGTTTCTGTTCGATATTCTCCAATCTTCTCTCGGTGATTTGTTCGCGTTGACGCTTCTGCTCCGCATTGGATTTCTGATCGAGAACGGATAGTGCCAGTTTGACAGTTCGATTGTCGATCTGAGAACACTTGCCGGTGAGTACGGAGCAGCAGCAGGGCAGCAGCTTTAACGGTGGATCGAGCAGCTTCTTCTGCTGCTCCAGTGCTGCATTTGTGGCCAATGGCTGAAAGCTGGCCTTGTTCTTGTCATTGCTTAAGTCTTTCAATTCGAAGGCATCGGACATCGGTATAAGCACCTTGTTGCCATCATTGGGCAATATGGATATCTGTGGCACAGACATGTAGTTCGGATAGATGTTCATCAGGCGCTGGCAAATGGTGCGGAATGGTTGGCTGTTCACAATAAATCCAGTGCGTCCATGTCGACCCGTAAGGACCTGCTCGTATCTCATCAGAGTATTGGTGCGGCAGATGGCACCATTCAGCTCCGCCTGAGCTTTGATAGCCTGCAGGAAAAAGAGTATTACATCATATAAGTTGGAATTTTCAACAATATTTAAAAAAAAAAGACGACCGAAAATGTATCTAATCGACAAAAAGAAAATATTTTTCTGGTTTACAGAAAATATTTTAAATTTACGAGATATATTTTAAAATCTACTTTTCAAAAATACCTTAAGATAGTTATTAAATGGAGCTTGAAGCTTACCTGCGTATCGGACACAGCCAGACCGTTGAGCAGATTGAAGAGCACAATGGTCATGAAGAAGACAAAGAGCAGAAAGATGAAATAGGTGGAGAAGCTGTCGAACTTAATGTCACCGGCGTCGAACTCGCCCGTCAGCATCACGATGGTCTTGATCAAAGCCTCCACGGGCTTTGAGAAGCTATTGAAGTCATCTCCATCTTCTTCTTTTTTCTCTTGGGTTGTCGTGCTGTTTGCTTCCTGCTGTTGCTGATCCTGTGGCTTACCAAAGAGTATGTAAAAGCACAAGCTGAAGGTGAGCACAAAGATCGAATAGAGGCCAAAGCTCTTGATGAAGCTGCTGGAGACAGCGCGCAGCATGAGCATGTGCGTCGATATTGAAAGGACCGGCAGGGAGCCAACAAGCAGGCAGAACTCCAAGGCTACCAGCAGTATGGTAAACACGGCCAATATGCGTTGTGTCTCCTTATCATAGTTGGACTCGATCCGAGTTAATATGGATAGCAAGATGAGTGCTACCTCCATGAGATTCGTGAGCGACCAGAAGTGGGAGAGTGGGGCCATGCAAAACTGTATACTCTCCCTTATGATTAGATAGACAATGCCAATCCAAGTGAACAGTCCAGTTAGAGCCGTGAGAGCCGTGTGCTCGCTCTCGTGGAACTTTAGAAGCGTGTGGCTGATGATGGAGGCGGTGAAAAATGTGTACAGCAGGAAGTTAATGTAGAAAATGACAGAGAGGCGATGCCATTTCAAGAACAAAAAGCTAGAGATCAGTGGATGCTGCAGCAGATGTCGCAATTCCTTCGTCTTGGCCATATGGGCAATCGGAGTCATTTCATCGTGCAACTGCTGGGACGTACGCATCTTGCCAGATTGTTGTCCTGGTCGCTGTTGACGCATCAAATTCATATAGTTGATTATGATCTCAAAGTTCTGGACACCGGCCTTCTGTGCATTGGTCGTGATGCAGGAGTCAAAGTGCTTTTCGAGCAGTTCTGGCGACATGTCCTGTATGGCCAGCTCATCGAACTGGCTTCGACTACCAATGTAGGCACCATGGCGTAGGAGCGTCTGGACCGCTTTCGTATTGCGATATTTGACGGCATAGTAAAGCGGCACTTGTCCGCTGGCATCCACCTCGTTGATGTCAATTATTTCGCTGCCGAGCAGCAGCTCAAAGCAGCGCTGATGATCACAGAAGTCATCCAGCGGCGGTTCCTCCAATCTGCTGATCACTGTATTCAGTAGCGAAGAGCGTGGAGTCAGCTTTAGCTCCGGATGCTTCAGCAGTTTCTCCAGAGCACGCCAATTGCCCCAAATGATGGCCAATTCGGCGGGAACAGTTTGTTCGCTGGGTGTGCTCCGGTTGATGTTGATGCCTGAGCTGAGGATTGCATCAAAAGCGCGATGCTTGCCGCGCTTGATGGACTCCAGCAGCAGTGGCAGATACTGCTCCTGTTTGACATTGCGCTGGTTATCCTTGTCGCTTATATTTAGCTGGTGTTCAGCGAACAGCTGCTCGAACTGGGATTCATCGCCATCGCGTAGCTGGCGCAGGAGACGATCGCAGTCGATCTCCCCATCTGCGCTGCACTCCCGCTGCGGTGGCAGCTGAAGATCTGGATATTGCTGTTGGAGCAGCTGTCGCACCTGTCCGTTGCGATAAGTATCGATGTCCAGATGTGGATGCGCCAGGAAAAGCAAAACCAGCTCCTGCTTGGCGGCCTTTATTTTGTTGCTCTGCAGCACATGGTGCAGCGGCGTCCGCTCTCCCTGATCGATGGCATTGGGGGAGGCACCGTAGTCCAACAATAACTGCATGCAGGCACGCACTTGATCCACGTTATCTGCAGTCACATTTTTGGCCAGCGAGTTGAGTGGCGTCAGCTGCCCATATTTGCGATCCACCTGGACGCCTGGTCGACGCAGTAGCACCGCCAGATTGCTGGGATCCCTGGAGTCGGTAGCGTAGCTAATAGCAGCCTTGTTATGCTTGGGATTTATCTGCAAGACAGCGTTGATTAAAATGCCAACTTCAAACTGGATGGATCAGTCAGTGCTACTCACGTGATTAATATTGCAGCCGTGCACCAAGCAGGCCTCCACAAAGTCCGCACAGCCTGCGGTTGACAGCGCCTTCTCGAAGATGCTCGTGTGTCGCTCGTCCTGCAGATTGGGCTGTGCACCCATCTCGAGCGCCTCCTGGAACTCACGTATGTTGCGTTTGGCAAGCGCTGCGCTCAGCTGCGCCTGCGGATCACTAAAGCCGCATCCGTTAAAATCCATCTTGTCTGTTAATTGTGCAGACGATTTGTTAACTGTTAAATAAACAAGTTAAGCCATAAGATTAAAAGGATAAAGTTGAACTATCAAAAACCCTAACAGACTTATGGCAGATGTTGAATTTGTAAAGCTGGCTGCTTTGCCTGACCTGTTTATATATGCATATATATGCAAATTTGTTAATAGTATAGAGATTATGTTAAATAAATGATTGGGTCGAAGCCATTTACGCTAACAATACGCTTAAAGCATATGGCGTCTTCTAATTGGAAAGCTGCTACTGCTAATTTTATGATATTGCTAGGCAAAGTTATGGCTGTGAACATAGAACAGATGCTCAAATATACATTTGTGGAGTATAATTTGTATATAAAAACATTTTTTCAAATTTAATTGCAGTATTAAAATAGAGGTCAAACCATTACTCTTGAAAATCAGATCATCCAGATGTGAGAAAATTGAAGCCAAGGAACGGCAGCTAATAGTGAATTTTTGCAGAATACATTTAAAGCGCACAAAGATATGGTGTCAAAAGATGAACATAAGAAAAAGTAGTTGATAAAGTTAAAGCTAAAAATAACTGCCAATTATTAATGTTTACTACATACTGAGCTTGAGATTAAAGTATATAAAATGAATATATATAAGAGCCATGCACAACGATTGTGTTTGAAAAGCGCAAAGAATGGCATGACAATGAAGAAGCCCGCATTCAGTTTAAGACGTAATATAAAGCAGAGGTTTGGTTTTGTCCAGCATAATATTTGCTTAGTTGAGTACGAGAGAGATGAGGGACCGGAACCTTGAAACGAACCAAAGTTTCGCCTTCTGATCCACACTCATAGACAATTGACAAACGCTTCACGGTACGTTGATTTTCACAAGCACTGTGGCAGTGGCTATGGGCCAAGTGTTGATGCGTTGACCGTTTTGGTCAAAATCAGCAGCTGGCAGTCGGACAGCTGGGCAGTCTCTCTGCCGAAAGCTGCCTTACGGGTTTCCCTAATTGGTATGTACACAAATTCAAATACAAGAGAATATATTTATATATACATTCATATACATCTATATATATAAATGTACAATTGGGTTGTTCAATCTGCGCTGTGGTAATTAAAGAAAGCGCTCTTAAGTGGTTTTTGTGGTACACGACCCCATGTAATTAGTTATTAAATTATAACAATTGAGTCACATTCAAGTGGTGCTTCAACTGAAGTGATGTGGTGTGTGAGTGGGAGTGGCCTAACCTTGTGATCGCGTCCAGTTTCGCAGCTGACTTGGTCAGCTTTTAGAGTTTGCTATCAGATTTAATGATCATAAAGAATAATCATAAAATAATCGACATATCAATATCAATTAGCAATCAATTTGTTACGCTTTACGCTTTCAATGTGCTGCGATTTTTTGCGCCTGGGGCTTTTCTTTGGAGATTCATTTGGCGGCATTCGTAAATTTCAAGGCGGCTTCTTTTGTGCGTATTCTCAGAGTCTGGCTCCGATCGACAATATATGTATGTATAGACGAATATATAGCCTGTCTGTTTTGATACTTAAAATGTGTGAGAAATCGGCTAATCACGCCAACGACTTGGGCTAATTTGAATATCGCCCAGCTGCTGTGTTTTAATCTTATGTATATTTTAAATACCATCAAAAACGAGAATGTCCGCTGGGAATTAAATGGGAAATACTTTGCGTATCAATAAGTAATCAGCGAATAACTAATAAGTAGCTGCCGTCATTTGATAGCTTTTACAAATTATTTATTGTAAACGTTGACCCCTCCGATTATGGATAAGCATAATTTGCAGCATCACCTTTGTTAATTGGCTAAAGGTACACAGAATTTTGTTGACTGGTTCTTTGTGTGTATTTACTTGTCAACAGAAACATTACCAGTATTTACTTTAACTTGTGTTTACAAAGCCTATTAAAGCTGTCAGTTGACAAACGAATTCATTGTTTGGCATACAAACAGTGGAATGAAGTAATTGGTCAGCTTTAAAAAAAAGTCAAGATATAGAAAGGAAAAGTGCATGTCTTGCAAGTTTTTTGGAATTCACATTCAAATCTTAGCTCAGTATTTAAAGTGCAATATCCGCAGTTTGAGAGGAAACGGGAATTGCATATGGAACAGCTTGCCAAACCCGTTCATCGAGTTTTCTTTGCAGATCTCTGCAAGCAATGCCAGAAAAAACAAAAAAAAATAAGAAAAGAAATAATTACTATACTTCGAGGAAGTTTTGCGCAACTTTGCCACAGCTCAGTTCCATGACAAGTTTATTGCACGGATCGCATAAAAACTTAATGTTTGTCAGCATTTTTTGGTTTGGGTTTCGAATACGTGACGAGTTGTCTGAGAGGCGTGACAGAAATTTCGGGCATCGTGATAGCTGGATATTTGAGCTGGGAGCTGGAGATGGGGCGATATACATATGTGCTATAAACCCACACTATATACACACACGCGATAGCAAAGCGATCCAATTTGTTTGTGTTCAGCCAGTTTATTGGCAACTGCGTTCTTTGTTTACTTAATTTATAGTCATTTTAATGCACTGACGGCAATTGCAAGCTTTCTTGTTTACTTTTAATATTAAGAATGTAGAACAATAAGCAAAGGAGTCTATAAACTAGAAAATTCCAGTGAAATTATAAACAGTATTTCTTCGAGATCTTGCTACTTAATTTGAACAAGCACGCATTTAGCTACATCTCATGTTAATAAACAAAACAAATTACTCAAATATTACAGTTGCCGTACATTTAATTTTCCTTTTTTTTAGCATCTCTGAAAGTGTCATCATAAAAAACGTCATAATTAAGATGGATGTGGATGGCTCTGCGGCTGCGCCGACTAAGCATGACTTCATGCCAAACTGACTTTTTGTGGCATCCGCCAAATATCATTTCAACACAAGAAAAAGCACAAATGTTTATATGAGGAAACACAATACAGATATAGATACAGATACAGATACAGATACAGATACACTCACTTACATATATACATGTTTTACTAAAGTGGATACATTGCCTATATACTGGGGGTATGTGCACTTCATAAACAATTGGCTGGCCTACATGAAGAGCAACAACAAAAACATTTTCAAACACAATAACAAAAGAGAATGTGTAGGCTAAAGCTGTCCAAGGGGTGAGTAGGGGTAATGGGGCGAGTAGTACAAATAACCGAGTCAGTGCCCAGCACATTCAATAATTTGAAATAATTAAATTAAGCACACACTGGCAGAAAGAGAGGCAGAGAGAAAGATTCTCGATGAGTTAAGCAAACTCTTCCTCTCTCGTCAGCTCCCAATTAATTATATGGAGTGTTTCAATCAAATACAGCAGATAAATTCCTACACGAACAGAGCAGCCAATCAGTTGAGGTCTCGATGACAAACAAAGGAAGCTTCGCGCTTATAGATAGACAAAAGCATATGAATAATAATCCCTCTCCACAATCTGCCTGACCGACTGCCTACGTCTTTGTGTGTTTTGAGCAGAATATAGTGAAATAAAACTAATCGGGGCGGAGCCAAAAGGCGAAAGACAAATGCAAATAAACAGTCAGTAAAAAGAGGCAGCAAGCTCAGGCATTTGTAGAAATTGTGTGAGGGGAAACGGGGGACGAGTATATTACCAGGTATTGCCTAAAGAACATATTATTTGATTGTGAAGCTAATAGAGTAATAAACATATGCAAATATGGATACGTATGTACTCATAATTGACCCTAACGGAAATTCTATGTACACATGTTTGTGCCATAAGTTCATGCAAATGATAGCTAAGCGATAATCGACTCTAAAATATGACTGCAGGCACTGCACAGATATTACAAACATACATACATATAAATGTAGGTAAAGTTGTTTAAATTAAATTAATGAAATTCGTGTCTTTTTTTTGTCTGAATCTGAAGCCAGAGGCTTTCAGCCTTTTAAGGCAGCAACAAGTGGTCGTGTCTGCCCACTAACCAAGCCAAATTTTGAAGTGAATTGTAGATTTTAGAAAACTTTTGCTGATGATGTCACGAATTCCAGCACAGATTTTATATAAATAAAAAAAAACGCATTCTCTTCTAATCATTTGTCATTAATTTCTTAATTATTTGGCAAACGTCATAAAACAAAGGAGGTTTTTTTTTATTATTATTATTTTTGCATTTAGCTGGGGGCGCCGTTTTCTGCAGTTTTTTTCAACCTTGGCGATTGACGTTTTAAAACGTGTTTTTTTATAACAACCCTCCTTGTTATTGTTTTTTATATTTCATTGATGTATTCATTGCTGTGTGGGTCGTAAGTGCTGATCTTTGCAACTGCGGTTTTGCTCATATTCATTATATCTGCATTACAAGCATGATTCACTTTAACTGCCATTCGTTTAAATCTCTCCACGCCAACACTCATCGATGTTTTAAGATAAATCACTTAATTTGCATACTATGAATCATAGTTTTTAATTAAATACGTAATATTTTCGAAAATTTAGTCAGTTTTGAAAAGCGCAAAAAAAACCCTCTTAAGGCAAGCATAACAAAATGGCGATCACTTATTTATTTAACATCGTAACTCACTAAATTTTTCCGCGGCAGACAACTGCAGTCCGAAATAACCAAAGACCAACTGATCAGACGACGAGCAGTCGCAATACCCAACAGCCGTTGGGCCCCAAAAACAAGCTTTGAATTTCCATCATATTAATCCAAGGCATATAAAAGTATGCTTTAGACTTCAGCATATGTCGATTTGTTCTGAACGAGCTCAAAAGTCTGCTATAAAAAGTGGAAATTCCAAGCAATTAAAATCCAATCCGAAAATATATCGCATGCAATTTACTATTTCAGAATATTGTTCGGCTCTGGACACAGTAATTGCATAAATCTTGGTAATGAAAATTTGAGCTAATTTTAATGCAAGTTTATTGTATATCTGTTCAAAATTAATTATGTAAAATTATATATAAAAAACGTATACTTGTAATATATAGTATGAATAATATATTTAATAAGTACAATTTGCAATTCATTCGTATATTTATTCAATTTTGTATAGTCGGGCCCCAAGAGATGACTTCTAATGCAATTTCTTTCAGACTCTGAGCATCGATGGCATGATTACCCAACGTATTTATAATATTTTGTACATTCGGCGATTTCTGCAAAAGCAATTATTTGTAAAGTTATCTAAATAAGGGAGAATTTAGTGAAGCCTTACCATCGACTTATCTAAGAGCGGTTTGAACTCATCACTGCGAATTGCCTCGTAGAATTTGGGAAAGATGCGGCTGCCTTTGCGCTTCTCATTGATCAGTTCGACGAAACGATCCCGCGGCAGTTGGCTCAGCAGCTCCCGGGTGAAACTAATAAAACTGTCCAAATTGAGAGGCGGCTCGACTTCATGGGGGGCTAGAGGTAGCAGCACTACGATCATGCCCTCGCTTATACTATTACCAGCTGGCACATCTATAAACTCATATCCATAGCTTTTGAATGTGTGTGTGATTAGTTGTTGTCTGAGTCGCACATCGAATCGCATCCTCGATCTGATACTCGTATCGTTCAGATGCACAAAGTTTATAACCTCAATTACCTCGGGCAGCGACTCGGCGTGTTGTTGCAGCCTTTTAAATTCGGAACTGCGTAGAAATTTGATCGCCTTCCGGAAGCCAGAATCAATAATCATATACTCTGCGATCAGCTCGTCGATTTTGATGCTTGGTATTAGATTGATAAATTCGCGCAGATCTTGCAACAGCTCCGGTGAATATGTGACCCGAGGAGCTACTGACGTCCTCATCCTTCTGGTTGCCACAAGCGAAACGCTGCACAGTGCAAAACAAACTACGAGCAAAACCTTTGACATTTCTACAATTTCTTCAAACGCTCTCACGCTCGTCTGACTGCTTACTGACTGACGGCTGAGTTGAAATAAATTATGCTGAGTGTCTGCGATTCTCACACTCCGACACGAAAGTCTATACACATATTTCTCTCAATACTAATACATCTTGTATGTATTAGTAGTCTCTGTTGCTTATCAGTTTTCTGTAGTTGAGTCGTTTGAGAGAATGCTGACCAAAGGCATTGTTTTCAAAGCGTGCTCTGTTTGGACTGAACTGGGGCGTTTGTTATACGATTTTGATGAAATTTATATATGTATATTATTATATATTATTTAATAACCACTGCTTTTTAAACTGTTGCCAGTATTGCTATCGGAAATCGAATGTATCGATATTACAGAAGCGGATGCAGCTATCGCCAAAAATAAGCAAACTTGTTCTGCCTATTGTATACCAGAACTTCTAATCCATTTCATACAGACGGAGGGCCATGGCTATATCGACTCAGCTGTTGATCGTGATTAAGAATATACATATATACTTAATGTGGTCAGAGATGCTCCCTTTTGCTTGTTACATAGATTTGCACAAAACCATTATACGCTGTTACTCATTCTCAATGGGTTCAGGGCATACAAATAAATTTCATACATCGACGGCAAGTTAAAAAATTGATTGCCTTTTTCATTTAACTTATTTCAAGCTATTCAACTTTTTAGCTAACGAAAGATATTGCGGAAGTGAAATATAAATAACAGATTGTCGACTATTATCGGCGAAATCAGACTTTTATTTATAGGGTTGACCCTGCATCTTTCCGTCCTTGAAAAACATGCAGAAACACTTTACTTCGTTCAGTATAATTTTTCAGTCTCATTAATAAAACCAGTTATGTATTTCTTAGGAAAGCAATTAATAAATATTCGTTGTCGTGTTAATTTCTACATTTGTTTTACATTTTCTCCCACCTTTTTTAACTTGATTTTTATGGAAAATATATACATTCTTTATTAAAACTTGGAATTAATTATACATTAAAATTAACTTATTTATTAATAATAACCATAAACATAACTTATTCTGAGACTAAAACATAATTGATTGCACATTTCCGGCCCAAGGACTGATAATATTTATCACAATTCGCATCTGATAACTAAGTGATACGATGTAAGCTAGATTTATATATAAACTAAAAGCTGTTTTATCTATGGAGTATTCATTGTATTGTTAGGGGAAAACTGCACTGATGTGCACTCGCTTATTGAGTGTATGTACTTAAACATATATGTATTCTTATGGATTATACTTATGGTTAAGTAAAAATTGCACCTTATGGTTTGGCAAGAAAAGTAATATTATTGCACCTGGTTGCTTCAGGTTTGCACCCGAAGGCACCTAAGCTAATTGAAAGTCTTTCGTCGTCTTGTTTTAAATATTGCACAACCCTTTATAATAACTAACTTTTGCGTATCATTTTATAGAGCACCGAGTGTGTTTCAATGCTCTCCGCACCCGATTCCCACATATCCTCCGCGTTCGTCTCCTCATCCGATGAGCCGCCGCAGGTGCTGTGTCCACGTCTCTGCTCATCCTCCGATGAGTACGAAGACATGGTGGTGCTACTCCCACGCACGCCATTTAGCTCATTGGATTGGGAATGCGTTAGCGTCTTATCCGACTCGGCATCACTCAAATCCTCGCCAGCATTGACCACTGCTCTGCTGCCCGGCGATACCATGTGCTCGAGGTCCTCAAAGCGAGAGGCGTCTAGCTCAAGCGACTCGAATTTCCGTTCTCCTCCTCATTGTCCTCGATGGTGTCCACACGTATGATTGGGCCACGTCCGCTCATCATCTTGAAGTTGTACCGATCGTAGACGTTGCGCTTGTAGAGCTCCGTGGAGTCGGTGCTCATATACCCACTGTCCAGCTGCCCAAAGCGCTGCTCGTAGTAATTCTGATTACCCGGCTGTACCGCAGTGCCAGGCGGTGCGGCCGCATCCTCAATGATGGAGGCAATGCCATCGTCCTCCAGAAACCCAGCAGAGGTTTTGGAGCCATAGGTGGGCGCCGGACTCTGGCTGGGACTGAACTTATTGGCGGCCATCGTAACAAACTTTCGCCACGCATTCTTCAGATCCTTGGCCTTCTTGGCCCGATCCTTTAGTCCAATTGCGATCTGCATGCCAGCCGTCAGCTGTGCCGGCTCAATCTCACAGCGATAAACGGTTTGGACGTTGACTTGAGTGGCGTTGCCAGTTTGATTCGCACTGTTTGCAGCACGCTGCGGATAGGCAATCCCAACGGGAACACCTGCATTGCGATACATCTCCTTGGTGCGCTCCGATAGATGGCCGCTGCTCCGATTTGAGCGAGAACTTATTGAGATCGCGTCAAACTGATTAAGATCCACATCCTTAAGATTCTTTGCATTGTTATTATTGTTGTTGCTGTTGTTGTTGTTGCTGCTGTGCTCCAGGTCTGTGGCATCCTTCAGCTCATGCTCCGGCTCATTCTCATTGTTGTTATCTCGCTCGTGTTTCTGCGACTTGCGCCGATTGAGATACTTGTTCAAGCTGTAATCATTGCGCAGACTGTTAATCTTCTTGCCATAGAGTCCCTCGTAGTCAACATCCAGTTGCGTCGTCTTCTGCTCCCTTATGTGCTTCGACTGCTCTGTGAGAGTTGAAATAACGCTGGACATGGTATTGTTGCAGGAGTTATCTATGGTATCGGAAACGCCCGTTAGCTCAGTAATCTCACTATGAAGACTGTAGGCATCCTCATCGTGGTTCGTGACTGTGGCTGGCGAGGGAGGCGGAGGGGGCAACGGACGTTTATTATGCACCAGTGGAGCACAGAAGTGTTGATTTGCTTTGGGGCGTTGTGGCGAGGAAGGCTTCCTCTGACCATAGGCCCCATGGGCTTCCCCAGTTTTGAGCTGATGCTTGTCTGCAGGTTTCGGTGAGGATATGGTAATGGTGGTTTTGTTGACAGCACTGGCACTACTAGGTCTGCCCTGCTCTATCATGGAAAGGGTGGGGGATGCTTGCAATCCACGCTGACGCCGCGAGTGCTTTGCCTCCAGCGTAAGAATGCGTCCCTCCTCCTCCTTGGTGAGCTGGCGCTGCTGCGGCTCACTCTTAAAGTTCTCCTGGATAGCTAGAGGGGATTCATACATTTCCCGCAGATTCCGAAAGGAGTTGCTGGAGCGTAGAATAAATGAAGCAGTGCGCGGCTTACTGCCATGAGGACCCTGCTCCGCGGAACACAGCTGTCGACTGAGATCAGGCAACGAATTCATCTGGTTGTAATCAGAATCCACATATTGCTCGCTACTGCTCTGGCGGCCATGATTATCCCAGGCATTGATGTCACAGAAGCTCTGCTTCTTGGGCTTGCGATCAAGGGTGTCCGGCTCGAATTGATCACTATCGGTGCGCTCCATATCGGAGGGTGGCTCATGCTCCACTTCGATAGTCATGCTACCGCGGAATGGAGTATCGTATTTTATCCTTGCAGCGACCTCCTTGTGACGCTGCGCCTGGCTCTGTCCCTGTCCGTGCTTGCCGGATAGACGCTTCTTCAGATCGCCTTCCTTGCGAAATCCATTCAAGCGATCATAGACGGTGTGACTAATCTCCATCTCCTCCTCCAGTGGTAGAGCTGTGCTCAGACTGGGACTTAGCTGTGAGCTCACATCCGATGATGGCGAACTGGATGAATGCGAACTCTTGCGCTTACTGGGCTCTAACCGCTCCAAGCTATCCGTCTCGTAGTCCACAATCAGATACTGTGGAGATTTTCGTCTATAGATGGGTGAATCGGGCTGAAACTGTTTGAGTGACTTGCGACTCAATGAGCTGTAGTCCGGCGTGGGCACTGAGGGAATACTGCTCTGGGTGCTGCTGTAAATCTCCTTGATCTTCTTTTCAATGGTGCTGTCGTAGTCTGGAGTGGGTATATGAGCTGCATACTCGCGTTTCAAGGAATCATAGATAATCTCCGTTGGTTTCATATTTCGCAGCATATTGTAATGCTGGCGATCGAAAGAGTTGAGGGAGGTGGGCGTGGAATTGGCAGCTGCAAACTGATCCAGGACATCGCCGCGCTTGTGTAGAGACTTACAGCGACTGGAAGAGCTATGAATGGAGCCGGCCGGTGAGTCGGCCAGCATAAATTTAGGATTATTGTAGATCTCCCCACCAGTCTCTGCAAACCCATAAATATTGGCAGAGAAGGCCGAGTAGCTGTCGTAGGAAGGAGATCTGGGCTTGACGATCATAGACTCCGGACTTGATTTTCCAGTCCGCTGCAGCTGCTGTTCCTCCAGCGTTTCCTCCTTGGTTTCCTCTTCATGGTTCGATCTTTGCTGCGGCGGCGGGGGCGGACGTTCTTTGGGTGCTGAGATTTCCCTGCGCAGTGATCCTTTAGTCGGAGAACTATTAGTTTTTTTGGATGCCGTTGTCTTTTGGCTCGACTCCGAGTTGGGTACGCTTTGGAGCCACTGTTCGATGCTGTTGCGCTTGTCGCCCATGCTCTTGGCCTGCAGATTCTGCTGCAGCGGCACATTGAACCTCGAGGAGTTAGACTCCAAGCTGGCCTCCTCGTGTATTATGTTCAGCGATGGCTGATAGCGCTTGGCGGCCATTTTATACTTGGCAATGGCAATGACCTCACGTATCTTTTGCAGGAACTCAATGGCAGCTTGCGGCGGCTCCTAAGCATTGGTAAAAGAATGGCATCAATTGTGAGTAACATTTTAGAATAGAATTCAATCAAAATATTATGAATATTGGAAAAAAAAAATTATAGTTTCTATGTAAGTAATCTATAATAACGAAATATATTAATACTTTTAAGTACAAAATAAAACTCGGACTGGCTTTTTTCTTTTATTTTTTTTGTATATTTAAAGATTTACTTACCGCCAGCAGATGAGGCTCAAAATAAGCCGGATTAAAGTAGAGCTTCTTGCGCACATTGCTATTAACCATGGCACGCAGATTCTCCAGTTTCTCCTCGCTCATCAATTCCTCGATGACAGCGACATTCTCGGCAGGCAGGCACTCGTTGTCTTGGCGAAAATCATCGGACTCCAGGGAGTTGCTCTCGGTGGCGCTGTGACCCGGCTTGGGTGATTTGTTGGCCATGCTCAGCTGTGGATGCACCAGAACCGAAACGGATGTCTGCAGATGTAAAACCAAATCATGCTGTCTAGAAAATCCCGTATGTATAGGAACAACCACTCACCTTGATCTTCTCCTCCATCTCGCATTCTGAATTTGAATTGGATATATCGCTGGAAAATCCGGAGATGTGTTCTCGTTCACCCAACTGTGGAAAATGCTGCAGCAACGGATTGTTCTTCACAATGCCCAGATCATCCTTTAAACTGGCCATACTCGCCCGTGTCCCAGCCTCATTTCCACCACCCAGGCCCCCCAAGCTGTTTGCCGAGTAGATGCTGCCCACGCGACTGAAGGGTGCTCCGTAAGTGACTTGATCGTTTTTCGGATAGTTGATCTCATTGCCGACATTGTCCAGTGAATGACGTGAATTGTGACGACCACGATTTTTGCGCTTCTTCATATACAGATAAAGGAACACGGAGGCCACATAAATGAGACCCAGCAGCAGACTGCAGATGCCAATCACCACATACTCTCGCATACTCATCCCATCTGAAATGGAGGCGAGAGTTGTCGAATTGGCCGGCTGAAAATATACTTCCGGCACATCTAAAGAAAATGAGATTGGTGTTAGTGTCAGCCGGGCAGAAGTTCTATTTAATACTCTTGCTGACATTGGGTATGCCATAACAAAATATTATGATTATTTCTATTCTACAAAATGTGTAAAAACTATTTATTAAAAGATGGACATTCGGTTAATATTTTGAAATTGGAAATTTATTAACCATAATATGAATTGTGTGCAAAGAGGTTATCAGCCATAGGTTCGACTTACTGTGTGAGTATTTCACGGGGCTGCCATTGACACGGAAGGCAACGCAGGGCGAGTGCACATTTTTGGGCGGCATCAGGTGATCTTTTAGAATGATATTGTGAATTATGGCAAACAGCATTTAAATGTTTCTGTGTAGACTCACCCTTCCGACTGGCATTAAGGGCGACTGTCATGTCGCGACAGACAAGATGCACCACAATGAGACGTCCCTGCATCTTCTGGCGCAGCTCAGCTTCGCCGAGCCACTGCAAAAAGCTGCGCCCCTCGTCGCGGAACATGCGAAACGGGTAGTCGGTGTCAATGGGGTTACGCAGATCCGACCAGCCGTTGGAGCCCAGATACTGGGCACCTGTAACCGCACACACTGGTGTGTGTATATCTACACAAAACATATGTAAGATATATATCCGCGTATGCTAATGAGGGGAGGGGTAGTTACTTACTGGGAAAACTGATTTCTCTGCTGGGGTAAATGATTTGGCCGCGCAGTGGCAAAAACACAAACGGAATTTTCTCCGACGATGAGCCACTGACAAATGGTGAGAGAGAGCATTCTGTAAGACACAAAAACAAAAACCAAAAAAACAACACGCGTTGCCCTCAATGAGAAAGTGTGATGCTCAAACAACAAAAACTAGAAATAGTTATAGCCATTTGCAATAGTAGTGCTTGTGTTGCAACTGTGATAACATCAATATTCGACATTCGATCGAGGCGCTTATCAATTTATCAAAATCTTCCTTTGTGTGCTCCAACTATTATTGTTTTTCGAATCGATCTTACTTTCAGTTTTGATTGTGTCTGCTGGATTTTAATTTTTATTGTTATTGTTATTATTGTTGTTGCTATTTGTTGTTATTATACCAGCTGGCAGCGAAAGTTGGCCCCAGACATTTTTCCTTTCATAAAAGTGCTGGCAACCCAAATGATTTGTTCAATAATAGTACATTTTTGCCATACTACCCGAAGTTATGGCGACAACGGTTTGTTGTTATGTTTGTGTTTATTTATACCCTCACCGAATATCACAGCACTTTGTTACATGGCAAGAAACAATAAGGTATAGAATATATAAATTATATACCTCAATTGTTGAATTTTTTATATAAAAAACTATTGTAAGTTAATGCTGGTTCTGGTAATTGTAAGAGATTAAAAATTATAACAACAATAATAATACATCGAATAACTAAACAACTGCGACACAGAATACACTTTAGCCAATTTCTCGCATTAGCAGAGCATATAAGTTTCGGCTTGCGAGTGTTGAGTGTTTGGTGTATCTTGTTTCTTTTGTTGTCGCATTATTTGCGTCACGTTTCGTTTTCATTCTGCAATTTGAGCGCCAGCCCTGCACAATTTTGTTATTATTACAGCATTTCTTTTCGCAATAAAAAAAAAAAAAAATAGTTGAGCAACCATTGTGATTTTGTATAGGATCCACCAGAGACATGGCTAAAACAATGCCAGAGAGGCTCTCACATGTGGGAAAAGTTCCCAGAGCTAAGATGCCATGTGGAAATGGAGCAAACACAATTTGCACCGAATCGCAAGCTGACTAATTATTCCGGGACACTGTAGGCAAATGCTTCCGCTGTCGACTGCAGCCACTCATTACTTACTATTTACTATTTACTACTTACTACTTACTATATACAACTTACCGTGAATGTCATCCACGCATATGCCCAAATCTTCGCGATAGGCGCGCAAATATGGCAAACAGCGACAGCTGCAACCCTCATCCTCTTGAGCCATGCCCACGGATTGACCCTGCTCTTTGGCTCTTTGTTGCAGCTTCATGCGGCGCGTGAGTAACTCCAGAGAGGCTGAGGCTGAGGCCGAGGCCTGACCCATCCCATCAGCTGCTAAGCAAAGATTATAAATGAACGTTGAGTGCGAGACTGACAAACAAAAATTTCCATATTATCCGAGCAGTCTTTACCGTTGGAGTCCCCTCCCGGACGCACCATCGCCGCTGTGCCGCTGGAGAGGCCAATGCAGGTGTCCGCATTGCAAGCGCCGCCAAGACCTAAGCGCAAATAGAAAGAGAAACTGTAAAATCAAATAAGGTGGAAGCAAGGAACTGTAGCTGATTGATGTAAGCCCATGAAAATAGAACGCGCCAAGGCTAACAAAACTGGCTTGGCCAGCTACTCTGACTTAGCCTGAGTTGGGGGCTAATGAGATGGCCATAGGAGCACTTAATGCTTCTGTCATCGGAGCTGGTAAACATGCCACACAGCTTAAGCTTTTGGATTTTGTTGTGGATTTGGCCGTATTGGATACTCACCGTTTGTATAGAAGATATCGCCATTGTGATGCCTTGTCAGATTGATTAGCTGTCCGTTAGACTGCTGCAGATCCTCTAACAGTAAATTTGCTGGCATTAAATCGTCTAGTTGATTTCTCTGATTGTTGCTGTCGCTGCGTCGCATTTTGTTCTGTGTGGCAGCAAAGACAGCGGCCCGGGTGGCTGCCAAGGAGGTGGCGCCAATGACCCGGGCGGCTGCAGTGGGCGTCGATGATGGAGGTGACGTCTTGCAGCTCCAGCAGCAGCACTCGAGCAGCAACAGCTGTAGCAGCAGGGATAAGGAATAGCCAACGTTGGTGTGCCACATCTTAGCAAGCGCCACATTGCTAATGCATGGAACGTCGCTGCAACGACTGCTCTTCTGCCTCTTCGTCTTATCTTTATTGTTGCTGGTCTGGATATTGTTGTTAAATCTCTGTTTAAGCGAACAAACAAACAAGCACATTTTAGCCATAAGTAAGTTGTGCGATTTTCTGCTGGCAAGAGAAACGCGCCACTAATTAAAACAAATCCAAAACGCAACAACTCGAAAATAAGAAGCAATCGCAAAAAAGAAGAAATCAGTATGCAATAGTCCACTTTTGAGAGATACCCTGTATATATAAAAATTCATATTTATCTGTGCATTTTTATTTATTTATTTATATCTAACATTCGACCATTCTAGTACAACTAATGAAGCTTGTGCAAAGTGATCAATAACTAAGTGTGAGACTTTTAGCCATTAGTTTTTGGAGTTAGCAAAATAATATTTGTCAATGTCTGTCTAAATTAGTTATCAACAGACTGAAATACATACATTTGAATTCAAAATTCAGATCTCTTACTGTCACAAGATTTCTGAAATCTGCGAATTCTAAATCAAGTCGATTGTTGATGCTACTTACATCAATTTGCACAACTTCATAATACCCATTTTTACTCAAACTATATAAGTGAAGGGTATTGAAACAAATACGCAACGATTTCCCCACTAACTGTGATTGTCTACACAAACACAAACAAAAACACAAACAAAAACAAAAACAAAAGAAGACACATACGAATACATAAGCAGCTTTAGGTGACATTCTTTAAGCGGCGGTAATGAGGCAAAAATTGCTGGAGTCCATTTTTGTAAATGGAGCGGCATCAAAGTGGTTGTTGGTGGCGTTGTCGTTGTTGTTGTTGTTGGTTTTGTTGCCGTATGCCAGTTGTTTGTTTCTAGTTGCAGTTGTCGTTTGGCAGCGGCAACTAACGGACAACATTTAAACAAATGTTGCAATTAAAACTCGTTCTGCCAGCAAATGTATATTTATAAACACACTTGGCTCTAACTAGAATTATGCAGCACCAGCGGCGAATGTTGCCGTGGTGCTTGGGTGGTTCGGTGGTGGAGTTGTACAGCAAGTGCGTCGCCTGGGAACATACTGCGTGTGTGAGTATGTGGGCATATGGACGGGGTTGGTACCGTTACAATATACGCTTGCAGTAAAGCTCTGCTTAATCTACATCCACACACAGATACACACAGCTACACACAGCTTAAAACATACATAGTATTTACCGGTAAACAGTTGCACTTTAGCTGCTTGACCATAATTTGCATAAATATTTCACGCAAACAACAGAAACATAGAATCATATTGGGGACTCATAACTGTTAGTTACACTTAAGCTTTATAGTTTTGGTCGCTATTCAAAAGAATAACAACAACAGCTAAGTGGAAACAATCATTATGTCCAGCGCGAGAATGAGAAGAAAGCGATAAAAGCAACAGTTTGCGGCCTAATTTGAAAGTAAAATTTTTCTCCAAGCCGAAAAAAAAAGGTTCGTTGCCACAGTCTTTTGATTTTGATTGAGCAGTCAACACAAGCATACGTTAAGCATTCACCAAACTGATTGTACAGTTAGCTGGCATTTAAGATTAACAATAAGTATTTGTCGACGATTTGATTTGTGTGTATATCTGTCTCCTATGGCCCAATGTGGTACATTTTGAAACAATTTAATGACAACAATGACCTGATTTCGATATATGTATTTATTTTTGTACATTTTGTTTTAGCTGCAGCTGCAAGATGAGGCAAAAAGTTGACTGATGTGATTTTGATGATGTTAATGCTACTGCTACAGTTTGCTGGGAATTGTTTTGCTGACTTTGCTGGGTCTTGACTTTTTTGTATTCGTCTAAACTCAATTAACAGGTAATTGAACTTTGCGCGCCTGATAGACCGACAGCAGCATGGAGCTGCATAAATTGTCTGTGAGCAGCAGCAATATGCTGTATATATATATGTGTGTATGTATGTATGTATATATGTATGCACATACGTACGTAGCTGCATGCTCGCTCATTAATTATTAGGCAACACGATATGGCGATAGCTAGTATATGCGCACATTGTTCTAAGTCTGCGCATAAATTTATGTTTATTGTATATATACATATATGTATGTATGTATGTGCCACAACGCATTGTAACCTGGCCAGAAGCACGCAGATGCAGCTCAGATGCAACTGCATGCTGTTGATGTTGCTGTTGCTGTTGTTGTTTGTGTTGTTGTTATTGCTATTGGCCATTGTCTGACTATATAGACTGCAGTCGCTACACTTCCGAATGCAGCAGTCGACGTCACACTCGGCGTACTTTTAACACTTAGAACACACACGCCAGCTATAGGAGTAGCTCGAGCTCTATAGATCTACAGCTCTAGAGATTCAGCTCCCCTTCTGAGAGCAAACATAATAACAAATTTGAAATTTATTCAACATTTTTTGCGGCGCCGCTGGTCCATTGTGTAGCCAGAGGAGCGCATCATTTGCTCGCCGCCTTAATGTGCTTTAATGTGTACTTATGCTTCTGCTCATGCTTTTGATATTGCTATTGCTATTGCTCTTAAGCCAGCGCCTGATAGGGCTGGCCAACGGTTTTTCAAATAGTTGTTAAAACCAAATTACGACAGTGCACTGAACGCGAGCTACAACTTCAGCTCCAGCTCAAGCTCCACTCGACTGGTCACCATTGACCATTGCTGTTGCTCTCGGCTTGAGTTTGGGCTTTGGGTATGTTTTTGTTTCGTGTCTTGCCACTTTTTCGGCAAATTACTTTCACCTCAAAAGATTTTGATCTATTCGTAGTGCCTGCCCAGTGACCTAAACTCAATGGTCTGATAAGCTTAATTTCATTCAAATGCACAGCAAGGGCAGCTCACAAAAAAAAAAGCAAAAAAAAACAAAAACAAAATGGAAACGGAAATAGAAAATAATATAGATTAACAATTTTCAACCTTTCTTTGGTCCAGTCTTTTAAAAGTATAAAAAAAAAAAGTATCAGTTGCACCTAAATTTATGATTGAGTCTACGAAACAAATAATTAAGATATTTGTTTAAAATATATTAATTTTATTGAAAATCATTGAAAAGAAAATTATAAAAGTAAACTGACTCCCTATTCGTTGAGCTATTCTAGAGATAAAATTGTAAACTGTCGTCTAACATCTATGTGTGGTACGAAATCAGAGAACCTTATTATTGTATTCAATCTTCTGCAATTCAATGATAACTGTTCTTTTGTTGGGGGCAATGGAGATGCAAATTTTACTCACAGCTTGTTGGGGTTCCGGCCAATGAATAAATTAACACCTCGAGAGTTGCAGAGAATTCTGAAGAATTGCTGTTAACGGTAGAACTAGTTGAAGTGTTGGATTTTTTGCATTTATTTTATTTCGCTTGTTTTTTGTGACTTTTGTGACTTTTGTTTTGGTTTTGGATTTTCTTTTTTAGTTGCACAGACGAATTGCATACACACTCACACTTTTAAGCAGCTGTTGTGCCTAAGTAGGTTGTTTTATTGACTGCACTTGGTATTCACACATATTTTCCACATATTTCTTGTAGATTTTTGAAACACTTTCGTGCCAGACACAAACACGCCAAAAACAATAACATTTTTTTGCATCCACTTTTCGAAGTTATGATTTGATTTGATACGCTGCAAAGAAAGCTGCGTGAAGTGACTTTTTGTATTTTTTTTTTCCTTGGCACTTTTCTTTCTAGATTTTACCCAGATAGCAGCCGCTGGCACGTCTATCAAGGTCGCCGTCAACGAAGCGACTGCGGCTCCCACTGAGGCGCTGCCTAGCCGCTGCTGAGGAAGTCGGCGAAAACTTTGCAGCTACGCGCTGCTCTTAAACGAGTTTTTCTTTTTGTTTCTTTTTTCAATTGGTTGGCTGGCTTAAGTTTTGATTTTTTTTTTTGTTTTTTTTTTTTTGTTCGGTGCTCACTTTACGCTCTTATATCTCGAAAGTATAAGTTTGTTGTTTTGACAAATTGTATAAGAAATGTTTATGTGTGAATGTGAGCTCTTTAAGCGCACTAATTAACTTGGTGTCTATGCAATGCGGCTGTAGAAGAGTCACATCAAGCATACGCAGCGTGTGCGTGCAATCCGAATAAACCTCATGATGATGTTGATGATGACGATTAAGGTGTTGCTGCAGTCCCGTTCGATTTAGCTGGGTGTAAATGTAATGGCATTGTCATCGCGTGTTTTGGCGACTAACGGATCTCCGAGATGTACAGAGAGAGAGAGAGAGACAGAGAGAGAGAGAGACAGAGAGAGAGAGGGGAGAAGAAAGAAGCGAGTTCCGCCAGTCTGCACGTGCCACAAGTTGCAAATTTACAGCTCATTGTGCTGGAGCTACAAAGATAAAAAAAGACCGCCGCCAGTTGGATTTGTTCCAATTTGATAAGCGATAGCTTGACTTAAAGCCAGAGCATCATTTGTCATTTGTTCAGCATAATTTTTAACAATTTACTCATTTTAGTCACAGTCGAGTGTATCTTCGAAATTAACTAGAACAAGTGAAAGCTTTGGTGCACAACTTTTACCAAGAAACAACAACTACTCTGATAAGAGGCCTAACCTGGTACCAGTAGTCATACTCAATCATGAGTTATGAGTTTACAAAGTACCCTGTTCAAATTACACGCACAATGTGCTTGACATAAGCGAGTTATGGCATATAAGGCGTTCAGCGTGCCACTTGCAGCGACGAACCAAAAACAATTACACAAACTGGTTTTAATTAAATACAGTTAAGTAGAAAAATAAAAAAATCCTTTGACTGCAAGTCTCAAATGCCTCAAATCTTGGATCTTGCAACGCACGACGTCTCGCAACTTGCAACTCGCAGCTAGCAGCTCACAGCTCGCATCTGTGTTTCAGTTTCCATTCCCATTCCGAGTTGGGGCCAGGCAATAATTATGCTTTAGTTGGCGACACCGCTATAAATTCATACTATAACTATTAACGGCTGCATTTACAGTTTGCTTATTTTTTTCTTATTTCTTCTTTGTGGCTGCCTTTTTTTTTTTGTGTTATTTAGAAAGTTTGTTATTGTAGCGACTATCATCCCGTTGCAGTTATAATGTGGTCATTTCTGATCCCAACTCGGTTCTAAAGGCGTCTTCGATTTTTATGACCTAGTAAGAGCAGATTGTCGGTTTTTGGGTTTTATTACGGCTGCTGCCTTCAACTGCATTTGCATTTCTTATTGTGTCTGTGTACACAAACGTATTTGTAACGGATGCCCGATTCGGATCTACTTAATCGAAACGCAGTTGCCTCCCGGTTGGCTTTAACTGCCACAACTGGCTTATCGATCGATTCGGCATAAATTTTTGTGTTTGCGCATCAGACCTGGGTTCTTGCTGCATCACATGCTTACTACAACATACACAATTACCCCTCGCATATTGGCTGCCAACATCTACCATAAATCTTGAACTGCGAAATAAGAAAATAAAACAAATAAGCACTTTTTGGTCAAGAGTGAACGACTAGAAGATGCCCTGTAACTAAAACCTTATGCATTATTTCTTGTTACTTATAAATATGTATTAATATCATTAGTTTAATACAAGCTATGATCGATGATTATCTTATTAATAAATCTAATGTAAAATAGATACACCTATACGGATAGGAGTTGTCACCAACTGCAAACAATTGCACAACTTTATGCTACCCAAACAAATTTTACAATTGGGCACATGGTAATGGGTAAAAATGAAGTAACAAAAAAAACCAGCAGCTCAGGTCCAGGCCAGGCCTGTCCCGACTCGGCCCCAGTCCCGGCTAACTTATGCAAACTTTTGGACACACGTCTCGGCTAGCCGCGGTGGCTGTCTGATCCGTGGATGTCGTCGCAGCGTAAACCAGTTCATGTCTGCTCCCTGTAGCCAGCCGGCCAACCAGCCGCCCAGCTAGCCAGCTAGCCTTGTTATTGATTCACTTGTTGCTGTTGTTGCTTTTATTGGTATTGGTCTTATTGCGGCTTGTTGGCGTGCCTAAGCAAAGTTGCAACTTGCAACTTGCAACTTGCAACTTACAACTCGCATCTTGCTGCAACTGTAGCTGTATTCATAAATAACGCTTGAAAAATGTTTGCATTAGTTCGGTATTATTTTTTTGATGCTTTATTTTTGTTTGGTACCATGTTCTTTTGCGGTCGCGTACTTATTATCAATTGCCCCATGTGCCGCTGCAATAAACATGAAAATCCGCTTTATACTTTGCGCATTGCGATGATCGGCATGGGGTCCATATAACGGTACTAGGCGGAAAGTACATGACAATTGTGTCATGGGGGAGTTGCTAGGCTAGAATGAGTGCATCTAGACATTTAAATCGGTTATCTAATTAATTAAATATTATGATATGAAAGTTATACATTTGTAATTGTCACTAAAAAAGGAATTGAATTGGGTTAAAGTAAATGTTTGCATTATTTTAAGTGTATTGCATAAAAACTTTATAGCAATGAGTAGCGTTTTCCATCCCATCGACAGAATGTGCTTCCTGCTTTAAAGCAAACTCTAGTAATTATCGTAATTCTCGACCACAAGCAATTTGTTTATTATCGTTAAAACTGTAAGAAGTTTCTTCTATGACAATTTCTTGTTTCAATAAATGGAAAATTCGATAAGAGGAATACAGAAGAATTTAATGCAGTTATCTAAGTTAATTATCTGATCACAATAAAAATCGCTGATGAATGGGCAATAAACATCGAAGGTGGTAGCCAGACACCCCATGGACTTTGGGATATAAAAAGCGACCATAAAAACCCACTACCGACGTGTGTAACCATAACGGCATGTTATAGTGGCAGGAGCAAGAGTTGCCGAAAATAACGATTTTATTACCAACAATCATTGGGCTGAGCTGGGAATATGGTGGTGGATTCCTTGCTGCCTGTTGCTGCTGCTGTGGCCTGTTGCCTGTTGCCTGTTCAAATGTCACGTGATTGACAGCAAACAAGCCAAATGCATTTCAATTAAACGCTAACCGCTACAAATATTTCCATTTCTGTGTTTATTGCGAGAGATCTGGTCAAGTGGCAGCTAAAGCCGAAGCCGTTGCTAAACTTCTCGATCTCGAAACAACCGTTTGTTGTTGTTGCCACATTTTTTTCGTGGTGGCAGTGCCGAGAAGACGCCTTTGGATAACTGAGAACTGAGAAACTGAGAACAATTCGCTGGCAGAGCGGTCAACTCATCAGTATGCTGTATAAATTAGAGCATCAAACGGCGCTTTGCCAACTCGGAACTGGTCTATACTGTTATTGGCCATCGAAACAGATGCATGGCCAGTATATCCACCTATGTGATGGTATTTAGTTTTTCTTTGCTAGTCTTTCTGTGCGTTTGTGTGTGCGTGTTAGTGTGTGTGTGTGTGTGTTTGAATCTGGCTTGCAGCTCAGTGAAGAGTTCAATGCGACGGCTTTGACTCTGCGGGTAGCCGCAAAACGCAAAACAAAGCTGCAACAATTTTTACTGTTGTTGTTGCCGCAAGGCTAACGATGTGCTTTGCACTTGTGCATATATTGTTGTTCAAATTGATATCAATTTGATGTAATGTTTGCGCCATTATGCAGCCATTATATTGTTAGGCTTGTTCAATATTAAATAAAACCAACTATTAGGCCCCACGGTGCTGAGAAGTCAACAGCCATCGATTGTGACTCGTGTTACGGGGCGTCATTTATGGCTAATTCAGCAAGGCTGAATTTGAGCGGCAACACCTTGGTAACATCAGCACATGAACGGAATATATAATGGCTGTTTTGTTGGGTATCTAAGCGCCGTTAGACGCCTGCAAGTTGTTTAAGAACCTGTATTTAAAACATGGCACGCGACAATCTTCACATTGCCTGAAAAGCATAATTAAAAAATTACCAAGCTGGTTTTTTCCCCCATTCAGGATTCATGATTAACAAATTAAGACGTTAGCCTAATATAATGCAAAGAGTAAACCAATTTGTTGTTTATGTAATCAAAATGAAGAAGCTCGATAGTCGCACCGGAAGTGAAGAAATTTACGAGTTTACACGCTCGTAAGAGCTGGAGGTTGATTGAACTCTTTTTGGTCTTTTGCCCACAGAATATCAGACTAGATGATAATGTTTTGCTATACGCTTCAAAAATTGTGAATAAATAAAAATTTAACATGAATTTCGTTGACATTTTTTCATTGTCAGTTAATGATGCTGATGATCTAATGGGTGCATTGAGTCACGCGAAAATGACGATCCAGCAAATCTATTCATTCAGCGGGTTCATTGCACGCCACGAAAGGCACAAATATGCGTACAATCGTATCATACATAATATATCATATATAATATATAAATTACTTTAATACTAACTACCTCCTATTAAATATATAATAATGAATGTAACCTGAAATACAAATACTTACACATATATTACTGCCCCGTTAGTGAGTAATCAATCGATAGCTGCAATTATCATTATTACACTCTGTTCCCCAAAGAGAATCAGAGTCTTCTGTTTTGTTTTATTGAGTGTTTCTCAAAGTTGAAAATAAATAAATTATACTGAATTTCAAGGGCATATTTCCTAAATTATTATCATTTTAAATACTGAAATAACTTATAATCATTTTTACACTACTCAAATGAATAGTTAATGATTTTTTTTTGTATTATACACAATTTTTAAAGGTAGAGTGTAATAAAGTAAATCTTTTCATGGCTCACTTTATGCTGAATAGAATAATTTTAAGTGCCACGTTCTTATTATCTTTTCATATTATTATTAAGGTGGGTGTAGTCAATTACCTGCAGCTTTATATATCCCCACTAGAATATCCCTGTGATTATATTTCTTGCAGCCAGTGCTGATTGCAATTTGCGGCACATGTTAGCAGCTGCTAGCGATTTACTAATGATAATCATAGGTCTAGTTTGCTAAACGTTACAGCTGAATCGTAAATATTGTAATTGGAATCCTGCATGGCCAATCAATTGGCACATATATAAGGCCAATGCGCGTTGGACGAGCTATCAGAGCTAGCTACAGAGTTCACAGCCAGTGGGTCGTTATCGTTATACACAGTTATCCGATGGCCAACGGCGATTTTCAGTCATATCTGCGCCTGCTGCGCGGCTTCTTTGCTGAGTTTCGATCGGTGCTGCGCCACAAAAAGCAACAGCAACGTCTCGGCTTGTTTTACAATCGAGCATTTATGGTGTATGTGTGGTGTATAGAACGTTGCTGATTCTTGGCCAAAACTAATTCACAGCGTTTCTGTTCAGTGTGATCTGCCTCTATCCAAATCGCTGCCTGTTGGCCAATCCAATGTACAAGTTCTGCAGCCTATTCGTGTTAGCCAACTCAAGTCTATTTCTGCTATCGGTTACGTGTGCAATACCCAAATCCACGAATGTCATCGATATGGGTGATGATATTGTTTTCATGATTGGGGTTAGTTTCAACACATATATCAAACATATTAGAAAATTATTTTGTTCTTGAATGCATTGGAGAATTTCGCACTAAAATTGATTATTTGTTATTTGTAAGTCTTATAATAAGATTTTCTTTTTTAATTTTTGTAGATCTTTATATGTAATTTATTTTATTTTTTATTTCAATTAATTTAAATGGAGCTACATTTTTTAAAAGGTTTGAGCTCTGTATATATCTATAGATAACCCTCATTACAACGAAGCTCTATTACATCCATTTTCGCGCCAACGAAATCGATGATGTTATTGAGGATTTCCAGTACTATGAGAAGATCTTCAAAGCAGATCACAGCCTTGGAAAAGCCGATAATGATGAGAATAAGGAGATTCTGCGATGGCAGCGCATCTGTTATCTGGTTGAGTTGGTCATGATTATTCAGTTTACGGTTTATTTGTGCTTCTTCAATGTGGCCATCTGCATGCACCCTTTAATTTCTGATAGGGAGCTACCGTACCATGCTGTGATGCCCTTTGGCTGGCAGCACCCTGACCAGCATCCTTATATGCATGCCCTCACCTATATCTGGCAGACTGCCACAGGGCAGTTCAATTTGATGGCGATTTGTCACATCGATCTTTTCGGCAGTCACACCTTTATGCACACGGCTCTAAATCTGAAGATACTCTGCATTGAGATGAAGAAATTGGGAAAATTGCAACTGAGCGATACCCATTTTCATGAGCAGCTTTGCAAGATTATTCAGTTCCATCAGCATATTATACAGTGAGTATCAATAAGTCTTTAATAATAAATATGTATTAATCGTTCTTACAGCACTATTCAGAATAACAGTCGCGTTTTTCATGGCACTTTTATTACCCAGATGATTGCCAGCTTTGCCCTGATATCGATATCCATGTTTGAGACCATGGCTGCCGCTGACAACCCCAAGGTAGCCGCCAAATTTGTGCTCTTAATGTTCATCACCTTTATACAGCTCTCCTACTGGTGTGTAGTTGGTACCTTGGTCTACAGTCAGGTTTGGTTATCTTCCCTTCATTTTGACAATTGCTTAGACATAATATTTTGCAGTCCGTGAATGTAGCTCAGGCTGCTTTTGAACTCAACGACTGGCACACAAAGTCCATCGGTATACAGCGTATCATTCTGTTCATGATTATGCGTTCCCAAAAACCACTCATCTATGCGGCAAAACCGTTTCCCCCATTCACCATGGCCACCTACTCAATCGTAAGACAATAATTCTGTTTCATCTGAAAAGCCCTTGAGTAGGCAGGAATTTTTGTTCTACTCTACAGATACTACAGCAGTGCTATCGAATGCTGGCTGTGCTGCGCGAGGCAATGTAGGTTTTTAATTATATAAACTAATCTATAATTCATAATAAATAGCTTGTAGAAATATCCAAACAGTTGTGGATACTAATATAATCCTCTTGCACCTAGTCAAGTTTATTACAATCAACATAAATTGAATTTAACCAAACATTAAACTGTATTTTGTTTTCTTATGCTGCTGGCAAGATGTATAAGTTGCTATTCACTCAAACAATTGCGAGGTGGTTACATTGTCAAGTCATCATGGCAAATGCTGAACATCTCCATTAAATCCTTGACAGACACTTTAGCTAAAATGAGAAGCAAAAAACAAGTCAAACAACTTGTTATCTGTGCCAAGAGAGCTAGAGAAAACGTGAAAACAAGTTTTAATCAATAGATTTTTGTATCTACGAATATTAAAGAAAGTGCAGGAAGCTAGAAACCGATTTATTGCCAGGAGGAAAGCTGCCAAGTGCTTATGAATATTTTGACAACTGATTGAGGTATCTGCAAATATGAAATAAGTTGGGGTAAGTAGAGAGGATAAATAATCAATTTTAATCAGTTTTAGATCTATAATCTCCAAGAATGCTGAAACAAATGAAAATAATAATGAATTTTATGACTGTAAGAAATCCACTTAACTTTTCACATCTTAATAAATAATCTACAATTATAGAATATATTTTTGTACTAAGTATAAGTATAAGCAATTCATAATTAAAGCTCCCAATATAGTGATGATAATCCCGAACTCAAACTACCAGCTCTGATATTAACTAATTTATTGCTGAGAGCCCATGCTCCACGCCCTACCTTATTAAAGTGCAACCGCGCCCACAACCACATACGCATCACACACCCAACTGACAGGTGCTAGCTGCAAAGAGTATACCATTTAAAATATATTCTGGAATTGTTGATGACCGCAGTTGGTGATTCTTTGAATTGGAGCCAGCCTCGAACTTATTCAGTCGTGAAGCGCATTCACATTCACATTCACATTTAGATTCAGTTGCAGTTGCATTTGCGTTTCTGTCATGGATTTGCAACACAATGCGGCACGGGAGCGGCGATCGTTTAGTTTAAGCTCTTGGGCAGACATGGACCTATCGCAGTTGCCCTTCACAGCTGGGAAAAGTAGTTGAACCTATATTTATACATACATTTTTTCAGACTGTCCATGAATTTGAATCTGTATTCGAGTGAATGCTACGCCCACAGGTGTCATTATGGTTAGCGTTCAATGTTCCATGCACATTGGGCCAGAACGGGGGCCGTATCGAGGCAGAACCGTCGCATATACGCACTCACACCTGTACACACAACTCTCAACCCCCATGCTTAACACACCCAAGCGTTTTATGAGTGTGTGTGTGTGTGTGCGTGTGTGTGAGAGAGGTTGTAGCTATTGTCAACTTTGGGCTGATGGAGTTTTGTGCTCTGCCCGCCGCACTGATTAACATTTGAATTGAAATTCACGTATTTAGAACTTTATGTTCGCTTTGATATGTTGTTATTGCTGCTGTTGTTGTGCTTGTTGTTGTCTCCACATCTAATTAATTCCTCTTTCAGACCCATTGTTGCCATGGAGTTTTGCTGCCATGATTGGCACTGCTGCCCCCGCTAATGGTAATCGTAATGGGGTAATGTACCGATCCAATTGCAGCCACAGCCCAGAGCGTCAAGAGTGTCAGAGTTTTTTGATGTCTGCTGGCCAGCAACGCATTCAGTTTGTCGCAAATTATTCTAACGATCGGTCGGGTTTCGGTCCCGGAGTTAAACAGTCTGCGACATTAATCGATCCTCTGATTGAGTGCTTAGTGTTTTATGAATTCTGCATAAAAAGTTGAACTTTCAATCAGTTTTATACTTAAATACATTTAAAAGATCCTTCAAATACCTATTTATATCAAGGTAAACAAAAGCCAGTGGTATTTCTGTGTGAACATTAAATCGTTAAAAAATTATAAATAAATAAAGGACTTGCGTGATTTACCATAGCAGGAATATTAATGTTAAAATATGGATCCAGATTAAAACCAATATTAAAGTATAGAGATGTGCGCTAAATATATATTTGTTATCAAGGACTCTAATCAAGGGCTTACCCATCTTTTTGTTAAGGGGGCCGAACTGTAATTTTTCATAAGCCGACCGTATGCGTCTATGTAAACTAAGGGTGGGGCAGACACCTCTGCATACGCCCTTGACTCTAATCGTATCGAAAATGAAAAAAAATATTTGTTTTAGTGCATAAAATAACATGTTAAGCATAAGCGATGCTCTGATCTTCTTCTTAGATAGGCCATTTATAGTTTTCCTAATTATTTTGGATCGAAGATAGGAACTAATAATTGTTTGTTTCATTGTTTAGTCTGGATCGATTTTAATACTTTATCTTTATTACAATTTTAAAATTTGTAGGCTTCGGATTGGGTATCCAAATTTAATCTAAATAAATTACGGATCGTAATTATGAGTCCTTGAAGATTGGGAGGTCCGCATAATTTTAGAAATCTACAGAATAAATGTTATTTGAAATATAATTTCACCATTGAAAAAATTCCATGGTATAGCCACACGAAGCCTTTGAGGTCAATGCGACAGCTTAGTGGCTTTTCCTTTCCAAAAAAAAAGCCTCGATTTGTATTGTGCTTATTCTAAGCATAAATAGCCGAGTCGGACAATAAGCCGGAAGCAACATCCGGAGTTGTGGATCGATATGAGCAAAGCTACACGTAGCATTGTTGGCTTTTCGTTTAATGATCCAATTTGGCGTTACGCATTGTGCACATTGTGGTGCTGGACGCAGAAATATTTAACTATTCATGTGTTTGGTTTTTCTATCCACCACTTCAATTGTGCAGCATGGAAGGGGCCGGCCGTGTGGGAGTAGTGAAATTTTGTCACTATTGAGGTCGCTTACATTTTTTCATACTTGTAGTACTTGTAATTTTGTTAGCCTACAAACTAATTTGATCATGTCCGATAATCACACACACATTCTCATTACCTGTTAAAACTACAGAACTATAGAACACGCGATTGAAAAATCCAAATTCGGTGCTAATAATGCGGCGCTAAATTTTCAAACACTTCAGAGAGTAACATCAGAGCGACAATATGGAATTGCGCATAATACCATTAATATTAATGGCCACGTTGGCCAGTCTCAGCTTTAGCCAGAGTGATGGTAAGTCCACAAATTGCCTGAAATTGGCCGACCCGTCTAAAAGTGCGTTCCGCAGCCCAAACTACCTGTAAGAATGGACTGGGACGCGTGCTCTATGAACGCCTACCCAATCAGCAATTGCAGGGTTACGACGACGATGTGGTCCGGGATACGGCACCACCATTCCGAGTGCTGGAGAAGTGTCAGGATCTGTGCCTGCGCGATCGCACCGGCACTAATAATCTAGTACGCACTTGCACAAGCTTCGACTTTCAGCCGGGTAGCCGGATCACCTCGTTCGGGGGCACCTCTGAATACGAGGAGTCACTGTGTTATCTGACCTCGGAGCAGGCCGGACCTGAGGGTATTGGCAGTTTGATGCTGGTGCCCAATAGCGTTCATTTTAACGAGATCTGTCTGACATGTGAGTGTGTGGGTGTTGACACCATCTCGAACAGCCACCTAAATTACTCTTTTAACTGCAGCTAGCCGCCCGGAGCGGGAGTGTCCCAGTCGACGTTATGTATTTGAGAGGCATCCGCGCAAGAAACTCAAGTTGCCCATCAGCGACATCAAGGAGGTGAGTGAGGTGTGGGATATAGAGAAGTAATTGCCCATGCTCAGAATCTACTGTGATTGCCTTGTAGATATTACACTACTCTGTTGCAAGTGCGTATAATAAAGATGAGCGATAGCACTTAACTAGCAGAAGGAGAAATTTCTGTGCTGTTAACAAACGTAGTTGAAGTTAGTCAGAGATTTCTAAAAATTTCATTTCTAATATCTTCTCAAGTTTGTATATGTATACAGATTCTTATGACACTAATTTGATAAATCAATCATAGATGTTGCAAGTGATTGAGAACACCATTTTTTATATGAAGGCTTTCAAATAGCATGCACAGGTTAAACCTTAATGCGCTCATAATTGAAAAACTAAACAATTTTAGAGATGCTTAATTAGATATAACTATACTTCATAATATTTGAATTGCTTAATTGCCTATTCAGATAACCGCCGCCAATCGCTCGGACTGTGAGGACAAATGTCTGAACGAGTTCTCATTTGTATGCCGATCTGCTAACTTTGATTCCACCATGCGCTCCTGTACACTGAGCCGATTTACTCGACGCACGCATCCAGAACTCATGGAGGACGACCCCAATTCTGATTATCTTGAGAATACGTGCTTAAACGGCAAGCTATAAAGCAACCAAGCTCAAAAATGACTAGCAGCTCTAATAAAATGTTCTCTATTCTCCGATCCACAGCTGAAAGACGCTGCGATGGTCTTGCTGTCTTTGTCAAGGAGGAGAACAAGCGCCTGGGCGGCCCCTTTGAAGTGGACATCTTTAATAATATGACGCTAGAGGAGTGCCAGACGATGTGCTTGCGTGCCGAAAAGTAAACATCAATGATTATATTTTGATCGGTACTTTGGTCTAATCGCAAACATTACAGATACTTTTGCCGTTCGGTGGAGTTTGATGATCAAAGCAAACAGTGCATACTCTCGGAGGAGGATTCTATTTCGCAGAAGGATGACATTAGCATCAGCTCGAGTCCGACACATCATTTTTATGATCTAGTATGCCTCGATAATCGTAAGTGGCTACTGCAAGTTAGCGTCTACCTCAATTGCAGTGCATCCAGACGTGGACAGACTTGGACAGACGTGGACTAGACTAGACCAGCACAGACTCGATGAGCCAAGCAACAGAGGCAGACAGCGCGTTAAGTGCGCCATTAAACGCTGACCACTCAACCACTGAAGAGGAGGACAGTGAGACTGAGACTGAGACTGAGACTGCTCGACATAACGACATAGAGATTGCTATAAATGTGTGTGCAAAGTGCAACGTGCATCTTGCATCTTGCAACGGTTGCTTCTGCCATTTCCACTACATCTATGTTATGCCATTTTCTGTTTGCTGTATTCCCGTTGCAGAACGAGCCAACGATTATCCAGATAACTCTGTTACCTCGCACCTCTTTTCAAGTGGCCGTCGGCCAGATACAGCATTCCAGCGTTACCGCAACTCACGATTAGGCGGTGAGTTTCACTCAGAAATCACGGGACGTTCTCTCAGCGAGTGCCTGGACGAGTGCCTGCGCCAGACGAGCTTCCAGTGCAGGTGCGTTCTACACTTTTATTTCTTGTTTTTATTGTTTGTCTCCATACCCTTGCAGAGAGTACAATAATATTGTAAGGAGTTGGGCAATAATTGTAGGCATATTCTTGAAAGTGATTGTCTGCCTGCCTGTCAAAACTTTTAATTGTTTTTTATTAGCATTAGTCGGAAAAGCATTAATTTTGCTTCAATCACTTTGGAAAAATACTTCAATTACAAAAAGCTTAGAATATTTAGTAGCTGACTTAGAAACAATTGGTTGAAAACTTAAATATTTGAAATGGCTAGTTGTACTGTCTGCAAGGGTATCTAGACTTCGTCAACCCGAAGGTAACTGTTCCTTTTTGGTTTCGTTTTTGTGCCAACCCACTCTGATCTGTTTTGATCTGTTCTGCTTTGTATTGTGCTGTGTTTTACGAATCGTGCAACAAATTGCAGGTCTGCGGTTTATAGCGATCGCTTTCGTACTTGTCGCCTCAGTCGGTACAATCAAAAGGATGGCATGCGCATTATCTACGATGCTGATTATGATTACTACGAGAATCTAATGTGTAAGTGGCGGCAATAACTGCGGGTGATAATAAAGTAGTTGGTAGTCTTTCCATCTACTCCACACTCACTGTCTTTCTCGGCTCATTGGCTGCTGTCTTGCAGTAAACGTTGTGGGCGGCGCCGATGGCGATACAAGCCATGGAGGCCATGGTGGGAGCGATGGCAAGCGACCTAGTGATCAGTCTGGCAGCAACTGGAGACAGCCTAACAAGCAAGACGATCGCTATGATCGTCCGGGGTCAACTGGTGGTTCTAATATGGGCGGTTCCAACTCTGGCATTGGCGCTCATGGTGGTACAAGTGGCAATAGGTTGCCTCCTGGCGATGGTATTGATTACAATAGGCCATACGATCGCTATCCGGACTTTGCTGCCAACGAATATGGTAATTAATTTAGATTAGTTCATTTATATATTTTTTTTTACTATTTTCAATATATAACAGATCGCTACCCGAATGGCGATCGTGATCGTGATCGTGAGCGTGATAGGGATCGTGATCGTGATCGTGATCGTTATCCACCTGATCGCTATGCTGGTGGCGGCTCTCGTTATCCTGGCCCTGGTCCTGGTGGCAGCGATGGCATGGGATATGGTCGACCCTATGATCGCTATCCAGAAGACTATGGTAAGTTGACAATCTCGTGCCCCATTAAAAACAATTAATATCACCCGCCATTTGAAATCACTGCTCGATACTGACAACTAATTGACTAACCCTAACGCATCACGATAACCTCTTAGATCGGTATCCTGTGGGTGCAGGTGGTGAGAGAGATCGAGATCGTGAGCGCTACCCCGAACGCTATCCACCCGATCGTTATGGAGACAGACGCTATCCGGATAGGGAACGGGATCCAGATCGTGACCGTGATCGTGACCGAGATCGTGATCGTGACCGTGATCGGTTGCCTTATCGCCCATTGCCTTATCCGGCCATCAATGATAATACATTGCCCAGCGATCTGCCCCACACTCGACCCTTTCCCAGCGACGACGATGTGCCCTATAGACCCTACGGATATGGCGGTGGCGGCCGTTACGGTGACAATCGCTATAACAGTCGTTATCCGCCACGCTATCCTCCTAGCCGTGATCCTGTGGGTGGTTATACTGGCCGTGATGCGCCCGACAGCATATTCCCGGACAGGCGCTATCGCCCCTCCTCCATGGATGGGCCGCGCTATCCCTATGCACCCGACTCACGTGCCCCGCCCGGACGCTATGATGATATTGTACACAGTGCGAGACGTCCTGAACCGGATTCGGCCAAACGATATCCACCCGCTCCACTGGCGCCTACTGGCAGCGCCACCAAGTATGCCTCGACCCCGAATCGGTTTCCGGTAGGTAGTGATCGGTATCCCATTGACATCTACAAATACGGTAATCGCCTCGGTCCCAGTGATATTGGCAGACGCCCCGGTAAGTAGCACACACACACACACACCATATAATCAACTAAAAGTCTAATACGACTACCATTCAATGTGATTATCAGCTAAAGAATATGATTCATCTGCCGTAAGAAAGTTTTGCAATATAGGACATTGGTTTCATATTGCTGATCGTCCCCAGATGTGAGATACATAAGAAGATATGCAATTAATAGGTGCTAAATCCTTATTTTTTAATAATATTGCAGAGTTTTAATAAAGAAAATTGAGCTTGAGTATAAATGATAAAAATACTATAATTTATTTCTTATGACTTTCAATATATTTCAGTTTTGGAAAGTTATACAAATTTCAAATTGCTTACCAGTCGCATTCGATCAGTATAGATATATAATATACGTAAAGCTTACTGATTAGCTGCTGTTCAAGTTCAAAAGAGCACTTCCAGATATTTACCAGAAGCTGCAGTGAAAGCTTTTATTTCTGCATTCAAAAGTGAATTATTTTCATTAGCAAAGCTTTTATATTTTACTGCAGTATATTTGAATTAGTTGCATACTTTAAGTACCTCGATCTAAGAGGCAACGTGATCAGCAGAATAATTTTAGGATTGCATTTAATACTAAATAAATGAATATTAATAATTTTCATTAATTAGGATTAGATCGTCCGCCGTCCTACTATGACTATGATTATGAGGAGCGCTATGGCGATCGTTTTGCACCGGGACATTACGATCGAGAGTACGATAGTCCGCCGAGTCGGCGACCCGGTGGCTCATATGGACGCTATGACACGCCCTTTAATCGGCCCTACGGCGGTGGAGGTGGCAGCTTAGATGATCGTCCGTTACCCCTACCCGGATTGGGCCATTCACATCCACCCACCCCGTACGGTGGCGGTGGCGGTGGTGGTGGTGGTGCTCATATAGGAGTTGGTGTTGCAGGCGCTGGACCGCCTCGACCACCCATCACACGTTGCGAGGAAAGTGACAACTTCAAGCAGATTGCAGCCAGACACAAAATGCGCCGTAATTTCGTAAGACGCGCGTTGATTGTCCCAAGTCTGATACAGTGCGAACGGGAATGCATCGAGAGTCGGGACTTTGTGTGCCGTAGCTTTAACTACAGGTTTGTATATGTATAAGCAAATATAAGCTGATGCGCTAAGCTAAGCGATAAGTGCTGGGTGCAGGTGTGGCTACAACAAAATTGCAATTGCACATTCAATTTGGCAGAGATACCGCCTCCAGCTACGATGACCGGGACCGCGATCGTGATCGAGAACGTGGGGACCGTGAGTCGCCCAACTGTGAGCTGAGCGACAGAGATTCGCGAGAGTTGGACATACACGATCCGGGCACATTTGATGCCTCCAACTATGACTTCTATGAGCGCAGCATTGGACGCAGCGATGGCGAGTGCATGGATGGTAAACACTTATCTCAATACAAACAGCCTCTGGCGTTCTCAATTGGACGTTGACTAATTGCAAAAAATTTGCAGTTACGCAGACGTGCAATGAGGAAGGCATGGAATTTACCATTCGCACACCTGAGGGCTTTCTCGGACGCATCTACACATATGGCTTCTACGATCGCTGCTTCTTCCGCGGCAATGGGGGCACAGTCAATGTACTGAGGATAAGCGGACCCCAGGGTTATCCGGACTGTGGCACACAGCGCGTAAGCAACTAAACGGCAAATGCAACTGCGATCACATTGATCACATTGTCGACCATCTGATCTTATCTTACAGTACGGCGACACGCTAACTAATATTGTGGTGGTGCAGTTTTCGGACAACGTACAAACGAGTCGCGATAAGCGTTACAATCTCACTTGCATCTTTCGAGGCCCCGGCGAGGCGGTAGTCAGTTCTGGCTACATTGGCGCGGGGTAAGCGAATTAAATTGATTGTCATCGTTATCTGCTGATTGCTAAAGTTTGATTTCTTTTTGTTTTTGTTTTTAAATAGCTCGGGCAGTCCCATACCCATCGAGTATTTGCCGGCAGAGAACACGCTTAGCTCCAAGGTGCGCTTGAGTATTCTTTATCAGGGCAGACCCACAACTACAATTGCTGTTGGCGATCCGTTGACATTCCGCCTGGAGGCACAGGATGGCTATAATCATGTAACAGACATTTTTGCCACCAATGTGGTGGCCAGAGATCCCTACTCTGGACGCAGCATACAGCTCATAGATCGTTTTGGGTACATATATTTATATATTCCAGCTCAATTCTCTCTCTTGACTAATGTCCCTATTTAGCTGCCCTGTCGATCCTTACGTATTCCCAGAGCTAGACAAGCTACGCGATGGCGACACCTTGGAGGCACGCTTCAATGCCTTCAAAATACCTGAGTCTAATTTCTTAGTGTTTGAGGCAACTGTGCGCTCCTGCAGGGAGGGATGCCAGCCAGCCTATTGTCCGGGTCCTGCAGGTCGGCAGGAGCCCTCCTTTGGCCGCAAACGACGTAGCTTGGATCTAAGCGAAATACCAGAGCCACAAGCACTTGAAACCGTAAATCCACTGGACACTGAGGAGATTACTGTGGTGAATAGCACCACAGTCAGTGCTACACTGGGTGGTGCACAGTTCAATGCCACAGAAGAAATCGACAAGCCCAAGGAATCTGAAGAGCCAGAGCAAGTCCGCGAAATGATTGAGGTGCGTGAGAAGCAGTTACTTAAGCTTATAACTATAATATATGTGTTAGACTAAAGTTGGCCAAAATGCAATAAGTGAGAACGTTGTCTGTCTGCCTATTGAAAACGTCTATCTGCTTATAACTCAAGGCTATAAGTTGATGGAGAATTGTTAAGCTAACAAATTAAATTGTTAAGCTGCAGCGTCCGATATCTTAATGTTTTGATTTTAACTAAGATATTGACTTCTTCTAGGTTTTTGAGACGCGAGAGGAAATTGAAAAGGAATCGTATCCACGCAAACTAGTTGCACCTGTGGAAACAGTTTGCATGACGCCGGCCGAATATCATGGCTTGATCACAGCTATAATACTGCTAATGATCTTGCTCTTTAGCATAACGCTAGTTGCCGGAATGGGATACAGGTGAGCTAATGAGCTGATTAGCATGCATATCAAAGGTGGCTCAATCGAAATTCCACTTTGTAGACGCTACTGGAAGTCCATATCGAAGAATCGTTTAGTCGATCGCAACTCGCCCATACATTCGTTGGGACGCTCGCACTCCTCGATACGCACCCACGAGCGCTTCACCGAAATCGGTCACATGCCCAATGGAACTGTTGGTGGTGGTGGAGGTACCAATCAGAGTACATCAAATCGCGCCTCAAACGCTTTTCGCACCAACATGTCCATGTTTGGCGGCTCATTACACAAGACTTTTGCCACAGGGTAAGCAGATATCTGTTGCCCACTTGATCTAAACCAGTCCACTTATTTAAAGACTGTCTTCATTTCTCTCTCTCTCTCTCTCTGTTCCTATCTCTCACGTGTTCTCCCTTCTTTTAACTCTTTGCAGCAATCTGGCACGCATGTGCCAGCTGCCGGTCATAAATCCCATTCGCTCGAGCGGCAACACCAATCACCAGTTTGAGGATCCAAGTGAGCCCATCTACACTGATCCATCTTTGTTTGAGCGCTCCAGGTAAATAGCTTAATTACTTTATTGTAATTATAATCTTTATATTCGGTTATGCAATCCCCAGGAATCCCAAGGCCATAAGAATCGTTCGCAATTGTAAATATTTCGAAACTTCCTTTAATTGAACTATATTTGTGTTAACATATCTATAATTATCATCTAAAAAAGCAACGACGCCTTAAAAGCAACGAATAACATATACACCACTCGAGTAAAAATCAAAAGACATTTGGGTTACTTTATTTCTCATTCGAAAACAACTCATTTTAACAAGATACATTTTTTTAAGAATTAAAAACTTAATGATTATAAATAAGTGCAAATAAATAAGTGCTATATTTAATATTCAAAAGTTTTGAACATCAGAAGACTGCAGTAAAATATACCGATTGTGATTTCCGCACATTACTTTATTTTACATTTAATGGTACATTTAAGATTTGCTTTGATATTCTGATATTATAGAGGCCTGCAAGTGCAGAGATGCACTTTATTGCAAATGCCATCACGTCCGCCTGCTATTTGACACCTAGTTGTGCACCAATCGCCCTCGAGCTGGCAAACGCCTTCAAAAGTCGGGATCTTATCCGCAACTTAGCCAAAAATAAATGAAAGCACAATTTAATCAATATTAATGTATGACTCTTAATCTGTATGACTTACATGCACAAACTTGTGCTAACCAGATTAACAAAACAGCGATACGCAAGTATTTCATGTTGATATGCACAGCTTTCAACAGACAGCCACAGACTGAGGAGCGTCTCAGGTTCCGTTCCAGCTGTGAGCTGTGGCATGTGTTGTTGATAAGGCTTATCAGTCCACTAAATAAGACCGCTCATTGATCACGAAACGAGCATGATCCGACTTACATACATCCAAATTAGATTGCCCCGAATTGTTGGGTATATTAGATTAATGTTCTTGCATGTTTTTCTCTTTTTATTCTCTTAACATAGATCGCTGCGAAGTCTGACCATGGTGGCAGAATCCGAAGATAATCAAGAGGTCTAAGCATATGCACAAGGAAATTTGCTCGTCTTCTTGTGATTAGTTGTAAATACCCAAAGCGTACTATTCAACAAAGCCAGCCCAATAAAGATGGATACATCGGAACAATCTGGTTAACATATGGATATATACTTATACGTAGGGCCAGCAATATGCGCCCGTTAATTTGCTTAAGGTCCTGCACCTGCATTCAGTTACCTCTGGCATAAATATGTTTGAGGCTCAATACCTATATTGATATCAATTAGAAGTAAGCCTTAAAATCGAACAAATCTATTAATATTAACAGCATAATGAAGCAAACAAAAATACATAGCAAAACATATGCAAAATGTCAAACACAAATATTTCCATACAACTAAGATATATGTTAAATGCAATAAAAATCAAATTTATCCATACAAAACTTCAACACTTTTTTGACTTAAAGTTGATATGTTTAGATGATTGCGGGAGATCTGAAATTTTTAAAATCCAATTCTGTTCTTAAACCTATTTTTGTTTGTGTAATAAAAAGATTATTATTTTTCTTATTTATATTTTAAAAAGCTTAGGGCATTCAACGTATTGCAATTTTGACGTTTGCAGAGTAGAAGAAAGATTGTAACTTGAGGAAACTCAGAATAAAGGGAACGTGACTGCTTCAAGTTATGCTCAAAGGTTTATGTAAGAGCCCTTTTTTGTGATTTAAATAATATATGTATATATATTCGTTATTATGACCAAAATCAACATGGTTTTTCTGCGTCTAGCCGAAAATTCGTGCCGCTTTTAGCCAAAAACTGTGAACGTGTTAAAACACATCAAGCTCGAAATATTTCTATGCGTAATTCTCGCCTACGTGTAAATATTAAAAACTAAAATAAACAATTACTAAGAACTGTTTAGCGATCGTCAATGACACTTACAAGATGCAGTTAAATGAATGGTTTTTAGTTTGCTACCCAATCAATAATACTAAGTTTATTGGCTAATAGCCATATCAATTATATAGATTTCTTGCACAGCCTTACCAGCTGGCATTTTACCTACCAAGGCATGCAGTTTTTTTTATCAGTCCATATGGGTTTTTTATCTGGCTGCATGGAAGCATTTGGCTTAATCATTGAACGATTCTTGTTCCGGCATCTGCAACAGAACAACCGCATCGATCACGTCCACAACTAAAACAAAAATTACTCATGATCAAAACGATGAGAGCGTCATCAAGTGTGGCTGCAACGGAAGCTGGCTGAGAGCGCTTATTGCCATCTTGCTCTGGGCCATCATGCAGTAGCTTCTTACGGCTTCTCTTCCGGTCTTGTGGAGCACGTGGTTGGCAGAGATATTTTTTCAGCGGTTATTGTTTTTGTTTATATTTTAGCAGCGTCGTAGCGACTGCAAGTGCGACTGCGGCAACTACTTCATTTCTTAGACGTACATAAATCACGCATCAGCACAATTGGCATTTCAGTTATGCAACATTGTTGAATCGCTTAGTGCATTTAAGCGCAGCGAGCCCCACTCCAAGCCACAAGTTAGAAACGAAACGCGAGCGCGGTCGCAACAAAAGGACGTCCGCAAACTGGGCATCGGAATAGCCAAGCATAGTGATTGACCAATGCACGTCTATATAAAGTGAAAACAAATCAAATTCAGTGTTGAAATTCAATATACATATATTACAATATATATTTGTTATTTGAGTGATTTTTAAGTGGGGCTTTAACATGACGAACTGCATCTGGCTGCTGGCCATTATGGTGGCGGTAAACGCGCGTTCCCTACAAGTGCCACATGGTTATAGTGGTGGTCTTCCCCCAACTCATCTACCCAATCCATACTACGTACAGCCCTACCCTGCACCAGCACCCTATATACCATATAGCTACAAGCAACGACCTTTCATCTATAGTCCACCGGGAAGTTACTTCGATAGCTCGTATGGCGTTCGTAGGCCACTACCTGGAGGTGGTGACCCTGTTGCTGTGGACTATGTAGGTTTATATAAAAAAAAAAAACATTTAATTGTTCTCAAACTTGATAAGTTATTTCCTTTTCAAAGAATAATCGCTGCTCTAGGAATTACGTGGGCATCAAACCGCACCCGGATCAGCAGGAATATTATTATGTTTGTCGGCCGAACTGTGTGATCTTTAGCAAGTGTCCCAATCTGGAAGTAAGCAAAATTCAAAGCTTGGTTCCATATGGAATACTTACACGATTCATTCACAGAAATTTAACCCAAGGAGCGGACATTGCGTGCAACGCGTTCGTCCTGATTATCCACCTATTTGCCATAAGGAAGGCCGCTTTCCCTACCACCACGATTGCAGGATCTACTATAAGTGTGACAAGGATCTGATGCCTTGTCTGTACGGTTGTCCCACTGGCACCATATTCTCCCCGATCGAGAGCAAATGTATTCCTGGCGATGAATGTCCTTCGACGGAAATCTCCGACAGCGGCAGCTACGTACCCGAGAATTGTGAGCTTAAGTTTCCAGAGTGCACAGATGAAGGGTCCTTCAGATCACCTAATGATTGCACCTTGTACTACACCTGCAAGCTGCAGTCCAGTGGAAACTATTTGCAGACGCGCTTCAAGTAAGTAGTATATAAAGAAAAATCATACTATAACTCAACTGTTTATATTGCGCATCTGTAGATGTCCTGCCAACACAAGCTATGATCAGGGTCGTAAAGTCTGTCGGCCACACCATGAAGTTGATTGTGGTGCTTATTTGCGAATTTCCGGTATGACCTATGCTCCAGTGGCTCCGTATTATCCATATGTCTCCGAAGCACAGTTCGACACAGAGACCGTGGACAAGAAGCAAGAGCAACCAGAGGGCAGCGTCAATATTGTAATACTACCCACAACGCCCGCAACAACAGTTGCGCCCCCACTTACGACAACATACAAATATCCTAGCTATCCATCATATCCATATTACCCAACGTATCCCCTCTATAACAATTACAATCAGAACAATGAAGACCCAGCAACACGCAGCCTTGTTGAAGCAAATCCAGAACAAGAATCGTCTGTTAAAATAGTCATCTTACCGACAACAGGCAAACCAACAACCGAACCCTATACTCAGAAATATAAGTACTTAAAGTACGCCGATTCGACCACAATTTGAACCGAAGATCCTACACCAGTAGAAAGCTCTTCTGGAGTTCGATTAATGAAGATTAGTTGAATACCACCCCCTGTCACAAAAACAACTGAGGCAGCAACAACCTCTACGACAACAACTCCCAAGCGATCGACAATCGCAACGACGACGACTACGAAGCTGACAACAACAATCGTCAAAGACAACCACTCCTAAGCGAACAGCTACCACTAGTACTACTACGAGAACGACGCCCACGACAACAACACCAATAACTCCAAAGCCAACTACAACCAAAACGACAACAACTCCCAAGCCGACAACAATTCCCAAGTTAGCATCATCCACAACGACAACAACGCCCAGGACAAGAACACCAACAACAACAACTCCCAAGCCAACAACAACTCCCAAGCCAACAACAACTCCCAAGCCTACAACAACTCCCAAGCCTACAACAACTCCCAAGCCAACAACAACCCCCAAGCCAACAACAACTCCCAAGCCTACAACAACTCCCAAGCCAAAAACATCTCCCAAGCCAACAAAAACTACAAAGCCAAAAAAAACCACAACGACCACAACGCCCAGGCCAACGACGCCAACAACTCCCAAGCCAACAACAACGACAACACCTACACAGCAAACACCAACGACAACAATTATCACTACAGCGCCCACAACAACAACAACTACAATAACTACAGCCAGGTCAACACCAACTTCCAAGCCAACGACAACGACAACAAGAACAACTCCAGGCCCAACAACTACACCGACAACAACAACAGTCACAACAACTGCACCGAAGCCAACAACAACAAGTAAACCGAGTACAACAACAAGTACAACAGCAGCAACTTCGAGACCAATGACTACAACCACAGCATCAGAGCCCACAACAACTCAGATAATAACAACAACTCCAAAACCAACGACTACTCGGACAACAACTTTAAGAGCTTCAACTAATCTGCCAACAAGTACACCAACAACTACCCCGACAACAATTCCAACATCAACGGCAAGACAACAACCCCAACAACAAAGACTCCGACAACAATAGCTCAAAAAATCTTCGCACCGACAACAACAACAACACCGAAACCAACAACTCCCACTACAACTTCAGTAGCCACTACCACTCCCACTCCAACGACAACAACAACTCCCACTTCAACGACAGGAAGTACGACCCAGCTAACAACAACAATGGCAACCACAACCACAGCCCCTGGTCAGAACAACACCACAAAAGTACTACCTTGCGGTAGAGAAGGTAAGTCCTTTGAATCATAAAATAGATATAAAATACTTGTAGTACTTTCCAACTGCTTACACCATATTTAACACTCAACCACACCCAACCACCTGCCTTACAGATACAAACACACTAGTCCCATGCATACCACAACAACAACAACAACAAAAGAACAACAGCTCAACAGCATCACCAACAATAAGCACACAGAACCCGATTCACAATTTGCCACAAACACATTGATTGGAAACCATTTGTTCAGGGAAAGTGATCCAGAATCCTTGCCACTGTCCCAAAGTTTAGTTTCCAGCGAGAAAGACTAAGGATGGGACCAGGAAGCGCTTATCGATAGCTCAACAGTAAAATTACAACACTAATCCACCCAGAAACCCTGACAATACAAGTATCCAGATCCTGCCACTGTCCCAAACTGTTCCAGCGAGAATAGTCTCGACTACGTGAACGATGAGTCCGCTCCGGGTGCGCACCAGGAAGCGCTTATCGATAGCTCAACAGTAAAATTGACAACAGCTAATCCGCTCCAGAAACCCTCGACAATGACAAGTGATCCAGCATCCTTGCCACTGTCCCAAAGTTTAGCTTCCAGCGAGAATAGTCTCGACTACGTGAACGATGAGCCCGCTCCGGATGCGGACCAGGAAGCGCTTATCGATAGCTCAACAGTAAAATTGACAACAGCTAATCCGCTCCAGAAACCCTCGACAATGTCCACGTTGGCAGCGACGCAAATATTACAAAAGCTATTCAAGGTAATATCCACAACAGAAGCGCCTGCTCCAAGAGTAACCTTTGCCGAAATGGCCAAGCACAATCTGGCAAAATCGAAGACATTTATAGCGGAATCCCTGCGTCAGTCCATCAGGCAGTTGGCATCAAATAATACGCTTGAGCATACAGATAAAGAAATAGTTTCCAAGTCACAAAATGCTACTGAAGACTCTCAAGAATCTGAATACTACGATAGCGAGTATGATACCGATGAGCTAGATAATGTTATTGATGATAATAATGATAAGCTCAAAAATGCCAGCGTATCAGTTGAAAACTCAACGATTAGCACAACAACAAAAATGTCACTAAATGATTCCACAACAACAATCAGATCAGTTCAGAGTGCAATAAATGTGGAACATGTCACTGCCAATCTTAAGGATCTTTTAGAGACCAGCTCCAGCGTGCCTGTGGCGGCTGTAGTGAATGCAACAATCTCCAACAAAAATACGACCAGCGATTCGGATTACTCCGATAATTATACGGATTCCGATTATGCCAATGATGAGCCCGCTTCAGATGAAGAGTCAATTACTATTCCGGATATTAGTGCGCAGAAAAACTCGCTTATCAATCTGCTTAAGCAGAAACTAATCTTGCCAAGCAGTACATTGGCGCCCATTTCAGTGACACCCAGCTTAAATGGTAACTTCAAAGATTCCGCTAATGTGAATAATGAGCACGTTGTTGAAGAAACCACCACAGCTAAAGATCTAAGCAAGCACAAAAACGAGTTAATTAATCTGCTAAAGCAGAAGCTGAGGACAACAACTACCTCAACGCCAAAAACCACGACTACCAACTTAATAATCAACTCCAAGGATGTCGCATTTGTGCCCGTTGCTGCTAATGAAATTGCCAGCTCACAAACTAAAGACTCGAGGGGATTATTAATCAACCTGCTGCGACAGAAGCTGACTAGAATGGCGCTGGTCAAAAAGGCCACAGAGCTAATGGCAAGAAGCACAACCTTGGCCCCCATTACAAGAGTGGTGAGCAGCACGGCGCAGACCACAACGACCGCCAGTTCAATTGCAGACGGTAGCAACAATTCGGAATATTATGATGATGAAGATTACGACTATGTAAACGATGCGGAGAGCTTAGGCACAGAAGCGACTATTAATCAGGAAACACTTAGGTCACCGAAAGGTGGCGTTGGGGCAACAGCTAAACGGCACTCGACACACCCATCACAAAGCCTAACTTTACTGAAGGCAAGCCAAGTCAAGAGTCCGAATGTAAGCAGATTTGTCTCCCATGTCGGCAATGAGTTAACGAGCGAAACCAACATGAATCAAGTAATTGAAAGCCTTGCATTAAAGACTGACATCCCAGCTCTGCCCATACCTCAATTTCTCACCCAATCTGGCAATGAGGTTAGCGGGGGATCAAAGCATAAATCAAAAAGCGAGCCAGTCACCAAAACAACACTTAGACAAATACGCACAATAAATACACTTAAAGAAAAACAGAACAAAGAACAACAGAAGCAGAAGCCACTGCAGCATCACAACAGCACTGTTAAACCAAAAACAACAACGACAACAACAAGAACAACAACAGCAAAAACAACACAGGTAACCCCAGCAGCCATACGCCAAGAGATCCTCACGGTGAACAGAAGGACGTGGCTGCTGGAATCACAACAACAAACCATACACCTAGCACCAATTCAAGCCCCCCCAGTGACTCATGCGAATCGTTCATTATTATTAGAGCATACCACAGTCGACTACACGACAGAGAAGGTGCCTAAGCTCATACTGAAGGTCTATGAGCCCATCGATGTGAAGGTCGTCTTCTGTCCAAGATCCTGCAATGAAGACCACGATCACAAATATGGTAAGATAATATAACAATATAATCAGATAACCAAACAGAATTCTCCAACATAATATATAACACACGTTTTGCAGACCCAGCTGATAATTCTAAGTCGAATTGTACAACAGGTTGTGATACGCCCAACCCTAAAACCCATCACAGTATAGATTTATGGTGGAAGCCACTTCAGCTCAGCGACACCGCTGGTTTCCAGACGATAACATAAGTAAATTATAGTTGCCCGAAGCGGCTCTTAACATGGCTATACAACATTAACTACACATTAAACACTAACAATGTGCGTATAAGGTATATATGTAATCGTGTACACTTTAATAAACATTATAAATAAATTACAACTGGTTGTTTGTCTCTGTAAAACATTAGGCATACTAGGTATACGATTACCTTAGCATTACTCACAAATCCCTTTAAAATATTTTAACTTAATATCAAATTAAAAAGTTAATCAATATATTGTATATGACTAGCACATATGGAAAGTGTGAAACAAACAACTTTACAAATGCTATGGTGGGATTTCAGCCAAACAAAAAAATAAACACGATTAAAGCGCGCAACTTAAAACTAGTTATTAAATATAATGAATAATTATAAATTAATATGTATATATACAATTATGCACAAAGTACTCTTGTAATACTAAACGATCGTGCTAATCGTCAAAAAAGAGTATTTCCAATATTCGTTTCTGAACGTTTTTTCGCCGATCCTTGTTCATCTTCAGGAGCTCAGTGGTGACCAGTTCGCCCAGTAAATGCTCTGATGAACGCTGTATGCTGGGAGGATTTGGTGGCGTTTGGAATTTTCCAAAGTTGGAAGCATGCGAAGTGCCTGCCTGTTGCGGCAGCTGCTGATAGAGCTGAAAAAGGAAGTCCGTATTTGATGGAAACATGTTTGGATGTGGTTGTTGCTGCTGCTGTTGTTGTTGGTGCTGTTGCTGTTGTTGCTGCTGCTGCTGTTGCTGATTATTGTTATTGTTAGTGCTGTTGTTATTGGCGATGCTGCCATTTGTTGCGTTGCGCTGCATATTGATCGAATTATTGAAGTGATTATCATGCTGTAGCATTGTTTGTGCCTCCATTAAATCGTTGCTATTGTCATCAGAGTCATCATCGCTATCCTGACCAAAATGGCCATTTGGATTTGATAAACTACCGCCATTGCTTGAATGTTGGGCATGGCCATTTGAGTTGAGTTGGACACGTGGTTTCTTCGTGTGATAGTTGCTTGACGTCGAGGAATGTAAATCGTCGCTGCTCTTATGATTATTATATGCGTGCGTCGGCACCTGTAAATTGCTGGCAGTCATCGCTACACTGGATGAGGAATGTACGGTCGGTGCCTGTTGGCCCGTTGTTGGCGTCGACAGCTCTTCTGGCGCACCGAGGCCTGGCAGTGGCGATGATAGCGGCGATTTCATTGAGGAAGACGTTGAAGTAAGGCCGCCGGTGCTGCCGGCACTATTCTGAGCACCGTTTACCACCTGATTGTCGCGATACGGTTCCTGGTAGCCCTGCGATGAGTCGGCTATAACCGCGGCCACTGCCGCCGCCTGTTGCTGCTGCATTTGTGACTGGGAGATGTGCTGGAGCTGCTGCGACGCCACTGCCGCAGCGAAATTTTGAAATATCTCTGCCTCAATCTTGACCTGACCATTAACATTCTCCAGCGCTGAGGCAGCAGCGGTGCTCAATGCATTCATAGTGTGCTGTTGATCTCCCGGCGGCTGCTGATGCTGATGGTAATGATGATTGGGGGCAGTAACAGCGAAATGTGACATATTCTTATGCGAGCTATTCGACTTGGAGTCCACATTGTACTCGCTGTAATTGGAGCTGTTTGCCGACTGCGGCGAGGTCAAGAAGTTTGGCACATTGCGGTAGGACTTGCGCGGCTGTATATGTTGGTCCAAGAATTTCATTTTCTCCAAATACGGACGGGAGAGGTGCTCGTAGACAGGCGGATCACCCTGTTTGCGCTGTGACACATAGCGCTCGCGTAAATATTTCCAGCGCTTCTTACACGTTTCCACTGTAAAGGAAAGCACATCATTGTTGTCCAGCTTCTCAATTAGTAAGTGGAAAGCTTACCGTCTGTGCGCAGCTTGAGCGCAATGAGCTGCCAGGCCTCGTCCTTGGTTTCGTACTTGCCTCCGCTGGCGCTGCCGTTTAGATAATACTTCTGGCGATTGAAGATCACGCCATGCTGAGCTACTTCATCAATTAGTTGCTCATCCATCATGTTGCACATAAATTACGTGAAAAAAATCACGAATTTTCTTCTTGTTGTTTGCTCCAGTAGTTTCGGCGATTAGCGGTGAGAGCAGTGTTGAGTTACTATCGCAACTATCGCCTGCTATCGTTGCTTGTATTTTTAGGCAATTTTTGTTGGTATTTTTAAAAAATGAATTTTTGGTTATTTATAACCAAATCGGCGGTCACACTGCCAGTCGTCCAAATTCTTTGGACTTTCGACAAGAAGTTATTGGTGTCAAGTGCGCAATAACTAAACATTTTTTAAAAGAAATCGACACTAACAGACTGTTTTTTTATGAAATTTTAAAGTGTAACCAGAAATGACTGAATAAATGTGCGCTGAATGTAACGAGAGCTTGTAAATGAAATTGTGATATTTTGATAATTATTGCTTTTGATTGAATAACGGAAAATAAATAAACATAATAAATATTAGTTTAGCTGGTGAACATGTTCAAGCTAGCACAGAAATTGCTGCCGCGGCAGCGAGTTCTCCAACGTTCCGCCGTTGTGCGTCGCTTGATTTCGACGAGCGACGAGGTAAAATCTGTAGACACAATTGGCGGCCTGCCGACAGAGATAGTCAATGAGCAGAAACTAAAAAAGACAACCAGGTTTGTAATTACCTGTTTTATTCGAATATCAAAACTTGCTTGTGTTTACATTACTATTTTAGCTTAACTCTCCAAGGGTGGGGTGGGTTGGTGTGGGGCAATGGATGAGAAAGTCTGCGGTCACGTAGGCCACACAAACAGCTGTTGCTACTGCAACACAGATTCTCATGTCATTTCATTTCATTGTTTGTTGTTTTTTTTTTCTTCTTTTATTTCGTTTTAGAACATTATCTACACTACAAAATCATTCGGTGCCAATTGCTGCTCGCGTCACAGTTTCAAAAGATGAAAGCCGCGACTTTATGGCTGTTTTTCCTGGTGAGCTGCGACCTGTGATTTCTTTGTTTTTGTTTTTTTTTTAATTAGCATGATAATACTAAACTGAACGCATATATATATATTTATTGTCGATATTTTTAGACGTGGTGCGCGACCTGACAAACGCAACAAAAGCATACAATTGCAGGGATGCCGCTAAATGGTTTGCCCAGGTCTTGCAATACAATGTTCCGCGTGGCAAGAAGAATCGCGGCATCTTAACGGTGCTCACCTATAAGAATCTGGTGCCAGCTGACCAACTCACACCGGAGAACATTAAACTAGCCCAGTATTTGGGCTGGTGTGTGGAAATGGTGAGATTCAAACTAATCCCATTTGTATGAGAACAATAGCTTACGACTTTCTCTTGTTGCAGCTCCAGAGTTTCTTTATTATATCGGACGATGTTATGGACAACAGCACTACACGACGCGGTCAAAAGTGCTGGCACATGGTAGAAAATGTGGGCCTGAATGCCATTAATGATGCCCTAATGATTGAGAATGCCATGTACGCCATACTCAAGCAGCACTTTAGTCATTTGGATTGTTATGTTGCGCTCATGGAACTCTTCCACGAGATAACATACATAACAACCTGTGGGCAGTCGCTGGACTTACTCAATTCAAACAAAAGCGTTTCGGAGTTCAGCATGGACAACTACAAGGCAATTGTGGAAAATAAAACTGCCTACTACTCCTTTTACCTGCCCTTTGCCATTGCAATGCATTTAGCCGGGTAAAAAATTGTGGTTAAAATTCTTTCGAAAGTTAAATAATACAAACTCTTTATTCTTTTACAGGTACAAAGATCCCGAGGCATTTAGACAGTCCAAGACCATACTGCTTGAAATGGGTAACTTTTTCCAGGTTCAAGACGACTTCCTCGATTGCTTCGGCAATCCCGAGGTAACTGGCAAAATCGGCACTGATATACAGGACAACAAGTGCTCTTGGCTCGCTGTGGTTGCCATGCAGCGTGCCAATGCTGAGCAAAAGCAAATTATGATAGATTGCTATGGACAAACTGGTAAGTGCCAGCCTTCATTCAGGTGTACAACGGATTTTAATACTATTATTTGTTAATTATTGTTATAGATCCGCTTAAAGTGGAGCGAGTTAAGGAGCTGTATAAAGAACTCAGCCTGCCCTCGACATATGCCATTTTTGAGGAGGAATCGTATAATATGATCAAAACGCACATACAGCAAACATCTCGTGGTGTGCCACATCAGACCTTTTTGCAAATACTTAACAAAATCTATCAACGGGACTCGTAAATTTAACAAATTTTCATTTACTACTAACATATTGTAGACTAGTTCTAAGCCAGATTGTGTGCATGTTTTGGTGTGTTCGAAAACAATAATAGAAATTTTGTACTGTGCTGAAAGCGCTGGTTTTCTTTTAATCAATCATCATCTGTAAAGTCGAAGGGTGCAAAAATCTTTCGAAATTCTTCCACATTGGCAACTTCTTCGTCCCTCTCGAGCAGACAATCCTTCCAGTTTACTTTCTCATCGCAATTTAACAAGTTTTCGGAACAAAATACATCTCTGGAAACATAATAAAATGTTATAAAAAGTTCAAATCGGAAAATCCTGCAACTCACCTTGCAAAGTGCAGCGGAAAATGTTTCATTTGTCGCGTTATTAATGTGCTTTCGTCGGGCAACTCGGCTACAAAGTATGGACCCATTTCTGGCAGCATTTGCGGTGAAGTTAAAACGGGAACCGTCTCAAATTCCAAGTTAAACTCTTCGGCTTTGTCCTACAATCAATTGATATGCAAATGTAAAATGGTATATACATAAAATAAACATCAAGCTTACCTCAAAACTGTGTTTTATCTTCCAAGAGTAGCCTTCCTCAAAAGCCATAACATCTATAGTAAGGTGAGGAGACTTATAATGACGCTCGGTAAAGCACACAACTTGTCCCAGTGTCTTGAAGAGCTTCTTCAATGCCGCTTTAAATTTGTCTAGCTCCTCCCATTCTTCCGTACTCAATTGAGCTGTGCAAGGCATGTGCTTTGTGGATAATATTAGGACATGGTGGCTATTAATGGGTCCCTTTGCCAATGCCATATAAAATCGCTCTCCTATCGCGATAATGAGATGCTTTTCCACCTTAGGCGACGATAAGCAGAACCAACAATCGTCTGAAACAGAACATCATAAATATTTATCAAAGATCAAAGAAGTCCATTTATAAAGCTAACCCTGATCAATCTGCATTATTCTGGGCCGCTTATCTTGATTTCTGCCGTCACCGCGCCTTTTGCGATTGCCGCTGGAATCCATGTCAAAAAAGTACTGTCGGCTTTCAGACTATAAAGTAAAGGAGACTGTTATCAATTATAAAATTCGTTATTTGTAGCCATTTTACCGTCTCATTCTTGCTGAAGGTACCACCCATATCTAGGCCGATAAAAGGGCAGGGTATTTCATTTGTTGTCTTTTGCACTAGATCCAGCAGACGCGCCTTATCCACTGGCTTCAGACTAAGCGCATAAATGTATTTTGACTTTTCAAGATTGCCAACATCTGCCAGCGATATAAATCGTGTGCACAGCTCAAACTGAGTGGTCTCATCTTTGGGTATGCGAAACGGTGGACACTCGAAGTAGGTGCCATTGATGGCACAGAAATGATAACGCGGCTTAATCTCGCGGCAAAGGAACGATATTAATTTGGAAGCTTTTTCCTATATAGAGAAATAATGATAATAAGTATTTGAAGAATCAGTAAACTATAATTTATAGTGGCCTCTTACGTTCTCTTTCTCCAGCAGAGCGTAGGGCCATTGGGAAGTTAACAACACATCCACTCCTCGGTAGTCTGTGGCACAATTCTTCGAGACCAGACAGGAATTGCGCACGGCCTGCACATCGGCTTTGGTAAACTCGTGCTCCCCGCCAACACTTCCAGCTGCTTCTATGCCACTCAAATAGGCAATTTTGACACCGCTGGTCAGCGTATAAACACCACGCTTGCCCAGATACGTTAGATTTGTGCAGACTTCTCCCTCCACCAAATTCGCGAAGAACTTCTTGTCCTCCTCCTTGTTGGGTCCCAGTATGTACGTGGGTACAGTAACTGTGTAACACAAGTATTTATGTTAACGAAACGCTTAAATAAATTAATTAGTGCTTACTATGCTTGAATCCATTTTTATATGCAATAAGTTCTTCGTTTTGCTTATCCGCGCCAAAAAAGTCGCCGACACAGCACAGAATTTCAAATGGTCCCGCTTTCTTGTTGACTTGCTCTACTCTGCTAAACAGTTGCTTGAAACGACCGCGCACATCACCCACAACCAATCTGCAATTGAATTGAAGCGCCTCATTAATTAAATGTAAACGTTTTGTTTATAGTTATCTACATTTTCGCAGTGGCGTCCATTAAATTGTCTGCTTCTTTTTGATATGAAGACCGCGGCGAAAACAGCTGTTTAATTTGCAGCGACAAACTCTGTTAACTGCGAACAGAACCATAACAACGCGCATCATTCGAAAATGTAAAGAGTTCTGTTAAGTGCAGGATGTAAACAGAGTGTGTGTGTGATTAGGAATTGGCACTTAATTCTTTGGAGTTTAGCTTAAGCTAATTGGGTAAATCATTAACATGTGCAGGTATTTTCCAATTGTCACCTTGAAAACATGAACCACATGAATCTCATAAAATTCACTAAACCATTTGACCGGGGTAATTGTAGTGCCTCATAAATTACTGTTTAATTGACCAAGTGATAAATTCTGTTAGAATTGAAAACAGATATGTGTTTAATAAAACATAATATTTTTTTTGATGTCAACGCTCCAAAATATAGTATTAGATTTGACATTGGCCCAAAATAGCATCCGATTGCAACAATGAACCTGGCGAAGTTATTTGTTCTGCGTGGCTGGCGCTATTAACTAGCTGACTTTTAGTCTTTTCAATCATATACTACTGAATGGGGCATATAAAAACGTTTGTTTGTCCAAGCCATATTATCAGTTTACTTGGACCACATCAGCAAGACGCATACAGCATGGCGACTAGTCACAATTTAGTAGCTTTTCTTCTGTTAGGATTTGTATTTAGCCCATTTGTTATTGGCCAGACAATTGACTGTCAAAGACCTCCACAGCTTGTGGTAAGTAAACAATTAACATTTAAAAAAAAAACTTTCTATTACAAGTTGAAATATAAAAAAGGATCCTTCACTTTGTTGCCGGGATGGTGGTCGAGATCAAAACGCTGAGAAATGTGCTGAGCGAATAATGAGAACAGCAAACGGGCAGCCAAATGTTGCACCACCTTCCTTAGATGCGGCTACTGTGAGTATTTAATACTCTTTACTATTTATTCATATATATATCCCTACTAATAAGATATCATTGTCAGTGCGTGGCTGAGTGCATTCTAACCACCGCACAATACAAACAGCACCCGACAACTCTCAACTTGGATGTCATACGTAAAGACTTAGCCATGAAATTCTCGAATGACTCGGCATATGTGGAAGCGATGACATCTGCGTTTGCTAAATGTGAGCCGCAGTCTCAGCGCAGATTAGCGGCAATTCAGCAACTAAATCCGCAGCAACCCAAGTGCAGTCCTTTTGCGGCTATTGTACTCGGCTGCACCTTCATGGAATACTTCAAGAATTGTCCAGCGGATCGTTGGACTCAAAGTGCCGAGTGTGAGCTGGCCAAGACTTATGTCACGCAATGCGGTTTGGGTGCTTAACTGTTGTTGTTTAATTGTTTTAAGTTCACAAGTTACTTTTCAAAAAGCACTAACCGTTTTAAGTGTGTACATAATAAAGTTTTTACATTTTATTAATCGAAACGTGCGTTATCGATAACAGCAGTGCAGCCCTGACCTGCAACAGCACTATCTGTCATTGGCTGACTTGTATGAGTGTGCGTGCGTAACTTTGACTGTGCGCGGCCGCGTCATTTTAAATACTTCTTAATTGTTGTAATAAAGTCAGATTTATGGCTTTTGGAGGACAGATAGACGAATTTCGCGCCTGGGCGACCGGCCTATGTTGCTCGCCCAGCGATCTGCCCAACGAGGACGCACTCAAATCGTATGTTGCTGCAAAAAGCCTCCCCTCAAATGTCAACCACAAGCGGCTTTCGATTGTATTTGTTATTTTTTTTTAGCATATTTAAGTCGCGCCAGCTGCCTCTGTTTGTGCAACTCCAGTCGCGCCTCCATCCGCGCCAGCATGTGCAGGAGGTGCGCGAGAATCTACTCATTGCACAGGTGACGCTGCACAAGGATAAAGTGTTGGCTGTATGTCAACGCAGTTTTCTGCCTCGCCCAATGCAGATCCATTTGAAAATGCTGGAACTGAAGAAGGAAAAGGAGCAGGCAGAACTGGGCCTGTCCGAGGCCAAGAAGGAGTTTGATAACTTGGCCGCAACCATAAAGTCGAAAAGTAAGAGCACTAAATGCATATCAGATTTGTTCAACATCTAATATGCCCCACTCTTTAAATCCCAGATATTCAAATAATCAGCGCAAAGCACAAAAAGCAATTACACCAATCACGAACCCATGTGCTCCAACTAAAATTGGACTCCCTTAACAAAACGTACGAGCAGGAGCTGGAAAACAAGGCTCAAATCCTAGCCGCAAAGCCCGTCAGTCTGAATAGGAAGAATTTCAGCGAGAAACTGGCCATGGAGCAGGCTCAAAAGGAGCTGGAAAACTTTTACAACATCTGCAATGCAGAAGGCAACAACACCCATCAGCTGGCCGAGGCCAAACAGCGTCTGTGGTCGCAAATGCGCCAAACATTTGCCAATACGCCCAATGTGCTGCTCTTCAATGCCATTCTAAAGACCAAAGAGGAGCAACTGCAGCATGTTATGCAGCTGAATAAAAGAACACCTACGCTGGATGCAACAAATAGTGTGGCGCTCTCTAAACCCCCAATGAGTGCCTTCGAAGTTAAGCTGTTGAAGACCAGGGGCGATCTATTGGGTCTGGTGTCCAAGTATGTAAGCGCCCGAGACGAGGTGTCGCAGCAAGAAGAGCGTTTCGCCTCGATCTATGACAGCTTTGTGGACGATCTGCTGAAGAGTGTAGGCAACTTCAATTACAATAATTGTACCGACGCGGACGACAGCAACAATATCGAAGAGATCGTCTCCGACTTCATGATGCAGTATAATAAGCACAATTTTAATCAAGCACGCAATGATTTTCTCGCCGAACAGATTGAGCAGCTGCGCGTGGAGCAGGAAGCGGGTGCCAAGCACCTCGAACAACATGAGTTACTATTGGGTTCCATTAAGCAGATGTACAGTGAAATAAACACGTCCGTTAATCGCATACAGCACGATATGCTACAGTTGTCGCAAATCAAAGAGAAAATTCTCTATTCCAAGAATATGCTGAAAAATATGCTGGACGAAATGCAGGCTACGTCACAGCATCAGAATGCCAAATCGCATTTGCGCAGTACCAAACTGAAGGTCGGCAATATGTCGTTTTTGGGAATGGAGAGCTTCAATCCGGCGAATGACAGCGTTCTTTCAAGCACCAAGCTGGACATTGATCCCAGCCTCAATGACACCGTAATGCGTCGCAGTTTCGACAATACAACACTAATGCCCAGTGGCCTCAACTCCACCGCTGTGATGTCAACTGGCACAGGCTACACACATCCCTGTCATCTCATGGAGCTGAACACATTTGCCGAAGTCTCGTTCGAAAAGTTCTACTGCATGCCGCGTGAATGGTATGCCTATTTTTTTTTGGCTTTCTATATGCATCTGGTATCTATAGTTATGTTTGTATCTAGTGCCTTTTTGCTGTCAGCCAATCCGCTTATCGTAGAGTCGCAGGAGCTGGCATCCACTATGCAACTGGCGCCGGGCTATCTGCTAACACCCCATGGCGCCCTGCAGGAAGTACGTAAACGAATTTTGTGGGCGTCGGCAATTGCCGCACACACGACTGATTTGAAATTGAATTTGGAGCCGTTAATTGGTAAGCTCAAAGCCGGCTCTGACCCTGTGGACATTTTTGTTTCATTTCCGACTGCACCCCACAGTTGATCCGCACGATTTGAAGCTAAAGGCACGGCGACAACACGAGGAAATCATTCAGATACTGCACAACATTGAGGCATTGGGCACCAAGACGCAACATCAATTGCAGCGGCTCAAGCGCATCTTTCGTTTCATTACTGAGAATCCGCTTCGCAAATATGTGCCGCCCACAAAATTGTTTAACAATGCCAACTTTGCCGTCTACGAATCGGAGTTTAATCTGTATTATCGCATCGCCACAGCCGGCGGATCGATTAAGGCGTAAAATAGGTTCTAAACAAGCAGTAATAATAATAACGTCATTGTTTTCCTGTAAACTGTATTTTAAAATGAAGTGTAACTTTTTGTCTTTTTACATATTTTTTCTTTATTTTACTTAATTTTTTTTTATTACAAAAGTCGCAGCGTTTATGTATTTACACCCACATACAAATGGGTATCAATTGTTATTCAAAAGTATTTTGTTTATTTCGAATTGAGCTTAAGAGCTAATGATGTGCACAACGTTTGAAATTTGTTGTTGTTGCTTCTATTCGTTCGTAATTGTATCTTTGTAATTGTATCTCGAATTGTAATCGAATTGATCAGATATATCAACTTAATTACATTGCAGCACGAAAATACTTTATTATTTATTTAATAAACATAAAATATCCCCATAATCATGATGTAAGCGGAATGGATTTTTGACAGCGTTGCGTTGGCTTCTTTTTCTTTTGTGATGTTTGTGAGTGTTTCTATATCGAGAATATATATATATATATATATCGAGTCATTACCTTATAAAGATATTTAAAAAATATACAGAAAAAAACATAGATAACGGACGGGATTTGAATTGAGTCGGTATTTGGGTTAGAGGCTCGTACTAAATTAGATTAAGAGGCGCTGTGATTCGTTCGTGAGCTCATTTTAAACTTAGTATACTTAACTTAATACATAAGGTTGGACGTCTTATAGCTTGGGAGTATATAGGAGTAAGTAGAAAGGGGAAAAGTAAATACAACAAAATTAAAATATGCTGTGTTGGCTTGAAGAATATGTAGAATTTGCGACACATTTCGAAAGGAGAATGTCTCTACAGATGATATCTTTTATCGATAGCTATATACTTGATAAATGTATATGTGTGTGTTGTGTTTACTATATTCGAGAGCTGATGGATTTGATGTGGATCATGGTGGGTGGTGGTTGCGTGGTTGCGTGGTTGGCTACTCGTTTTGGCTTATCTGGAGTAAAGTAGCGTTAACAAAATGTATAGCAGAGCAAGCGATGATGCCGAGGCAGCAATATGCTCGGCGCCGCCATAGTACGCCTGTCCACAGGCCGGCGGGCAGACGGGTATGATCGTCTCGAAGAGATTGACGCGCGCCTCGGCATCGCCAAAGCGATTGGTTGCCTTGCACACATAGTCGCCATACTGACGCTTCTCAATGGTAATCACGCGCAGCGTCGAATCGGTATACTCATCGGCGGTGGCAAAATGCGATACGGTATAATGTTGATTGTTGGCCAGCTGGATGTCATCCTTGGTCCATACGATCGCTGGTGGCGGATATGCCTCAATGTGGCACTCCAGATCCATGTCGTATTGCAGCGCCTGGCCGAGACGTGGACGGGGCACAGTTATAACCGGCGCAAACTCCACCTCAACATTGATGTTGCGACGATCCCCTTTGCTGACACCATTGTCCGCCACACAGTAGTACGTGCCACGATCCTCCTTCTTCACCGACTTGATGCGCAGTATATTTCCCACATACGTGGCGCTGTCTGCAAAATAGATGAGAGAAGCAAACAGGGAAGAGATGCGCATTAATAAAGGGTGTTCAAGTGCGTCCAGCCAGTATCAATTCAACAATGCAATTTAAACGCTACGCCTTTTGTGCTTGTGCACTCGCAAGCGGATTTTAATGAGACATCCGTTTACATTTATACACTTTGGTTGTGGGTGACCTTTCAGTTGCGGCGTCGAGTGCCGTCTCTATAACAATGGCCACGTTAATGACCTCTAACAAGCAGCCAAACCATTTACAACAGCCACCTTTTTTTTTGCAACTAATTATACCCTGTAGTCATTAACATTGGCTAAGCAGGTTGGCATGTGGAAGATCAAAATCATGTAACAGGCAAACGGAAGCATATCACCTCCATTTCACAAGCAACTCGTTGATTTTACCTATAACTTCTCATCGATAAATATTGATATTGTCTTGAAGACCTACATAAACCTGGTGTTCTACGCATATTTACTTTCACACCTTGCAGGAATCTAATTTATGACATTTAAATATCGGTCTAAGGCCTTACAATAAACACAAAGTTATCTAAGCAATCATTTTTTTGGTTTTATTTTAGGTTAAATACAAATGGCTGTTAATTGTGGCTACAGGGTATACCCATGTCGCATACTCTCGACTAGAGTAGATTTACTTATTTTTCAACTGGGAAATAAGCAGAAGCTGCCGGGTAGGGTGTTGTGTTGGGTAGGGGTATTGCATCAGGCAACTGAAGCGTAAACGTGAATGGGAATGCGAATACGAATGCGAATGGGAATGTGAATGCAAAAGGTGCACTCTCTCGGCAGCCGTGGCAAGCATTCAGTTCATAACCGGAAGTTGAAACGAGTGCAATGTGCTCCGTGATACCTGTACAAATGCCACACCTCCCCATCCCCAGCCTCGCTGGCTGTGTGTCTGTGTCTGTGTGTGTGTGTGTGTGCAACATGGCATCTGTGGCTCTTCAAACATTTGCCAAAAACAATTCAAGCCTAAACAATTGACACAAACTACAGTTGAAAAGCAGCTATGCAACTAAAAGCTGAGCTCGAGGAGCGTTGACCGTAAATGCATATAAATATGTATTTGTTGGCAGGAATATGCTTGGCTATATGCTTTATAGACGCCATGCAAAATGCGGGCGAAACTCAACTGAACGAGGGAGCAAGGCGAGTGGGAGGTGGCCATGGCAGGGGAGGGGAGGGAATGCATGTAGGGTTTATGGACTTTTGCTCATTCGGCTGAAACATTTCAAATTAATTGCGCAAGGGAATCGAAGAAACGCATTTGATTAAAATTGAATTGACAGGCAGCGAGAAGGAGAGAGACAGATATAGCCAGAGTGATGAGCTGCAAAAGGAGAGGGTTAAATAACAATTGAATTGCTTAGCTCAGCTATAAATTCAATTGAAATACTTTAGATATGATGCGGGCAGCAGCGTGGCAAATGCAACAAATTCATTTTGAATATTGGGCAATCCAACTGAGACAATCAACAGCAACATCAACAACAGCAACAATAACAATAACAACAACAGCTCACGCTTCTGTCCGGCTTTTGTTTAATTAGCCAGCAGTGAATCACGTTGACCAACTATGAGTAAAAACATGCACAGAAAGCCTAGGCCCAAGAGTGCTCAACTAGCACATGCCCTGTAAACATATGTAACCCATATGCTACCCAAGTATGCATTCCTTATTGATAATTTTGGGTGGTTCATGCACTGCTACCTAGTTAGATCTATTAAGCCCCCTGCTGCGCCTAAAGCTCTTTTATCAATCATGATTCTTGCATGAATTCAAGAATTGTCGGCTTGAGCCGAGCTTAAGATATTTTTCCCCGGAATACTCCCAAGGGCGTGAACAGCTTTCCCCCTGTCTCCCTGCTCCCACCTGCGTAACCCCTTGGACACTGCATCTTCTTCTGCCTAAGGCAACAATAAATATTTTTGCTCTCACTGCTTAATTTAAGTAAGTTTTTGGGATACATCGAATATGCATCTTTTTAAATATGGTTACTGATATGAAATATATGCATACCAAAATTGAGAAATAGATGGATGGACATGTCTCGATAGACTGGACTTCTCTCTGACTGCTTGCCATTACTTAGCAAACTGTGACTCATTTCTAATGCTTACAGGGTATAGGGTATACGAGAAGCAAACCAAATGGCATATAACGTTGAGGAACGTGTCACTGGAAGCGTACCAAGTGCAGCAGCGTGACATGTCGAGGCTCCGACTCACGTTTAGGTTCAGGTTGAAATACTACACGCAGCTGCCATAACAAATGTGCCCATTCCCTATTAACCATTTCCACTGCCACTTCCATTCCCCGATGACAAATGGTTGAGTCAAAGCAAAGTGTTAAATTTTATTGTTTGCTGTTGCATGAAATGATATGCAGGTCAGGTTGAACACACATTTTAACCGTTAGTTAAGCGGTTTGCCAGTAAGTCACTGAGTAATCTAGTCAAAGTTGCAAAAAGTTCATTTCTGCTTAATTGGGGCGTGGCAGACTGGCAAAAACAAAAAAAGAAGAAGCCAAGAAAAACTGTTTAATTGCTTATTAAATCATATGCAACGCGAGTTTCGAGTCTGCGATCTACACACAAGAGTCATCGCTTTCTTCTGTCTCAAAGAACAAGGGGAGCGAGAGAGAGAGATGGGAGTAGAAGAATTGCTTACTGAATTGTTATTGCCTCAACTCATTTTGGGGGCATGTTTGTAATTAAAGTCGGGCATTATGCATAAGATGTGAGTTCGCATTTTGACATTTTGGGTTAAATTCATTAAGCGTTAGAAACTGTACGAAAAAAAATCAAGAACAAGAACAACAACTGAGTGCAACTCGTAGATGTAGGATGAATGTGCCTGTGTGGCATGTATACGATCGATACGAATGTAAATGCATTGTTGTTGCCACAACACAGTGAAGTGACGTTAATTAGGAGTAATGCGGCATTCAATTTCAGATCATAAATCATCCGGAAAAGCAGGCAAAAGGATGTTTTCGACTCTTTGACTGTACTAATTACAATTGCAGTTCATATTTCATCCCTTCAAGAATTTCAAGTTACCCCTTGGCTTGCGAGCCTAATCGAATCTGCGACTGTACTAATTAGAACTGAAGATCGTAATTAATTACATAACAAGGCAGAAGTACTTATAAATAACTCAAGAAGTTTGCGTATTGCTTTAGATTGCGCCTTGACTAACCGAATAATATAGCCTTTAATTATTTCCAGCTCTTTGATGCCAAGAAAAGATTTAGATCATATATCATCCCAACTCGAGTAACGAATTAACCCTATACTGACTCATACTGACTCTTCGATCATCATAATTTATATTTCAGATAGTTTATCAAACCCAAAACCAGATTAAAGACTGAAAAAGCGGAAATACTTTGAAGATCACTTGAGAGTAGACTATAAGCAAGGCACATCCAGTTCATACAGTATGTTTAAATAAATTCCTCTCTCATTTTGACACTCTTAGTAATCAGTATGTAAGGAACTACCTGTTATTCTTTCAATATAGACTCTACAGTCTTCCGACTGATTGCTCTAATAACACGTTTTTAATATGACAAATTGAGAAAATGCTGCTGCTGTTGATGCGTTGAAACCGAGCCGACACCAAGCCAACATCAATTAACGAGTAAATGTTGAGTGCCCGCATGCAGCGGGCTATGGAAATGATACAGCCAGAGAGTAAAGATACAAATAGAGCTACATATATTTTCAAATATATATTTATTTATATATATATATATATATGTGTGTGTGTGTGTGCAACTGCAAAGGCCAGAGCCGGAAATGATGCATTCACTCTCGGGCAGAGTCTCTTCTCAGCCAATGGTCTAAATGGTGCGTTGTAATTTCAGTTACTAATGAGAGAATTAAAAACACTTTGCTCCAGGGAGGAGCATGACAATCTGAAACACACTCAATATGGTTGTTTGCTTATGTGTGTGTGTGTGTGTTTTTGTCTGTGTTTGGATGTGTGTATGTGGATTGCAACGGCAGCCAACTAATGAAAGGAAAACAGAAAGGTAGACTTGGTGTTGGTAATGAAAAATCCGACAGCCGAGCATTTGTTTAAGCCAAGCTAAAGAACCTGTCTGTGCCAACAACAACAACAACAGCAACAACAGCAACAAAGACGACCTCCCTTAGGCAAACAGTCGGAGATAAATTGTCAGTTAAAGGCAGCAGCGGCAGCAGCAGCGAAGACGTCGAGCGTAGAAATGGAAAATTGTGCAAAGTGCAAGGGCAAGGTGAGAAGTAAAAAGAAGAAGAAGAAGAAGAAGAAGAAGGAAAAGCAGCAGAAACCAAGACAAGAGACCTTATCGCAGGTAAAAGCAGCAAGTGCAAGAGCAGCAGGTAATACCTGGATCTCAAAAAAACAAAAAAAGGATGCGAAATGTAACAAGGCCTCTTTTGTAGCACTCACAAAAACATGCCGACTCAGAGGAAATGCATACACTGCAATCGCAGTGTAGTTGAGGGGGGAGCGGAGCGTGTAAAGGTTATAACTGAAACTGAAAAGCCGTCAACGGTTTCTTTTTCATTTTTCAGGCAGGTTCACGCCGGGTTCACCTGGTGCAGCGCATCGCTACGCAGACGCTTGAGTGAATTACAGCCAGCGTTCAGTCAGTTCAAGCTGTTGAGTTTTTTGAGCCATATTTTATGAGCTACCCCTACCCCTACCCCTGCCGCTGACACTACCCCTAACCCCTGCCAAGCCAAAAACCACTTTCCACTTTTTTTTTTGTTTATCGTTTATTTTTGTTTAAATGTGTCTGCTCATTTTTTTTATTTGTTTTTTTTTTTTTATTTATTTTTTTGGTGTGCGCGCTGACTTGGAAAATTTGTGACAAGTTGTTGCTGGGAAAATTGAAGGGTTGCACTTAAATAACAAATATGTTTTTTATGCGAAACTACAGCGATTAGATGCCGCCATTTTGAGCTGTAACAACCACCGTTAC